CCATGAGTTCACCCACCTGTCGTGAAACATCAGCTTCCATTTGAGGACACAGTGAGAAGATCTATAGCCATCAGTCTATAACCCAGGAAGTGGGTTACAACCACTTCCTGGTTTACCAAATCTACTGGTGCTTTTGATCTTGGACTTTTAGCCTCCAGAACTGTGAGAAATAAATTTTTGTTGATTATAAGCCAGCCAGTTGATGATGGCACTTCGTAATAGCAGCCTAGTCAGGGGTCCACTGGCGAATAGGTCATCCTGGACCATGGCCAACCTGCTGTCAACACACCTTCCTCTCCAAGAAAAAAAAATCCTCTTCAAACATACATCTCTTCTAGCATTGGCAAGAGTGTGTCCGCAGTCTTGTTTTGTTTTTGACATCAGCAGACAAAGGGTTAGCCATTGAGAATAGACTGTTCTTTGAATGCTGTAACAAAGGCTGTCATAACACATGTATTTCAAGAGCTCATCTTACTGCCCTGTTTGATGGAATCCCTCACTGCGTAGACGAGTGTCACATATGGGAAAGTCAACCTGGATAAGCAAAATGCCCACAAGGCTGTATGCAACCGCCAACTCTCAGTGGAATTTCTTAATAACTGGTCATTGAAGACAAGTTAAGGAAAAGGCTTGGGCTTTTAGATACAGTGTGTTTGTGACAGAAACCTAATTTATGCTTCAAAAATAAAATACAGTATTGGAAAATAAGTTTTCCGGCCTGGAGTGGTGCTTCCTCCAGCCCCCACCTGCACAGATGTGCCTGCAGTGACCCCTGGCCAGACGGAGCAATTCTGTCCCTCCACTTATGCCCTTAATCCAAGTGTAATCTACTGAGAGGAAGGGCAGAGGTCAAACTGGGCCTCCAAGACAACAAACACCAGAACTGGAATTCCATCCCTGTCCTGCAACTCTGCCTCTCTTTCTGGGTGGACTTCTGACTTCACATTTGCTCTGGTTTTGGCTTACAGTGAGAGACATATGCCGCATTGACCCAGGGGAACATCTCCATTCTGCTTGCACTGAGGGTAGGCAGGACTGCCATATAAGGTTGTGCAGGTCGTGTACTGCATGACTCATGGGCGCACCATTCACATCATAGCCTATGGTTGAGAAGCAGAGATGTCAGGGGTGCTTGGGCAAGCTGATGACCCAGAAAGCACTTGACTTAAAGGAAAGGAGTTGTTTTCTCTAGCACATTCTTCTCTGGTGCAGCAGAGTCACCCTATGTTACACCATCTAATTCTTAAATGATGGTCCTTCTAATAAAGGCCCTTGAAAATATCTCTGAAGGACAACACTTTTGAGGGATTTTTTTCTCCAAGCTACTTGAGGTCAAGAGGAAGACTTTAATTAAAGCTGTGGCAGTGAAACCTGCATAGGATCATTAGACAAAAAGAAAGGTTTGCAAGCAGTAGGGGGGTTTCTGAGAACTGCTATTCTGAACTCTACCAACTGTTGCCCAGGCTGGAGTGCAGTGGCACGGTCTCAGCTCACTGCAACCTCTGCTTCCCAGGTTCAAGAGATTCTCCTGCCTTAGCCTTCTGAGAGCTGGGATTACAGGCACACATCACCACGCCCGACTAATTTTTGTATTTTTAGTAGATTAGCCAGTTTGGTCTCAAACTCTCAACTTCAGATGATCCACCTGTTTCGGCCTCCCAAGTTCTGGGATTACAGGTATGAGCCATCGCACCCAGCTTGATTTCTACAGCCTTTGACACTCGAGCTCTCAATTCTCAAAATTACTTTCTGGGCCAAGGATAGACACTTTCACCCTTTCTGAAGCTCTGGGAGGAGTCACCCATCTCTGAGGTCCCTCATCTAATATGTCTTGAGTGTGGGTTAGGACGTGTTGAGGCTGTACACCCCTCAGGGTGTCTGTGCTTTGCTTGTTCATGGGATGCTTGGCCAAGTCCCTACTCCTTCCCGAGTAGGCTCACCGGCAGGCCCTATCCAGCAAGGCTGTGTGTGTGGTGGGGGTGGGAGGGTGGGATGCAACGGAGGTAAAGGAAGGGGGAGCAGGTGTCAGGGAGCCTGCAGGTGGTCACATCCAGCTGTCACCATTGATAAAGATGCAACTGACTTCCATCTGCCCGACTCTTATGTCCACCTCCCCACAGTGGTGGGGTCAGAAGGCATTCACAGGGCAGAATCACCATTCCTGCCCTTCATTGGCACTGGGGCCAGGACTTTCCACCTGAAGTCTGTCAATTTTTTTGTTTTTTTGAAACAGGGTCTTGCTCTGTCATCCACTTGCATTGCAGTGGTGCAATTAGAGTTCACTGCAGCCTTAACCTCCCAGGATCAAGCGATCCTCCTGTCTTAGCCTCCCGAGTAGCTGGGACTACAGGTGCATGCCATCAAGCCCTGCTAACTTTTAAAAAAATTTTTTTGTAGAGATGGGATTGTACTATGTTGCCCAGGCTGGTCTCGAACTCCTGGTCTCAAATGACCCTCCTGCCTTGGTCTCACATTCAGTCCATAACATCCCCCAAAGGATTTCGAGATCCTGCTTCACAATAACAACATACACTTTCTTTTTTTTTTTTTTGAGACAGGGTTTCGCTGTTGTTACCCAGACTGGAGTGCAATGGTACGATCTCGGCTCACCGCAACCTCCGCCTCCTGGGTTCAAGCAATTCTCCTGCCTCAGCCTCCCGAGTAGCTGGGATTACAGGAGTGCACCACCATGCTCAGCTAATTTTTGTATTTTTAGTAGAGACAGGGTTTCACCATGTTGACCAGGATGGTCTCGATCTCTTGACCTCGTGATCCACCCGCCTCGGCCTCCCAAAGTGCTGGGATTATAGGCATGAGCCACCACTCCTGGCCCCAACAACGTACACTTTCTACTGATGCACTTTCAGCTAAGATCACAAGTGCAAGTCCCCAGGCCTGGCCCTGTGCTCATTTTCTGCTTTTGGTATTTCATTATTTTATTTGTTTTGTTTTATTCTGTTTTTTTGAGTCAGAGTCTCACTCTGTTGCCGAGGCTGGAGTGCAGTGGTACTATCTCAGCTCACTGCGACCTCCGTCTCCTGTGCTTAAGTGATTCTCCTGCCTCAGCCTCCCAAGTAGCTGGGATTACAGGTGCCCACCACCATGCCCAGCTAATTTTTGTATTTTTAGTAGAGACGGAATTTCACCATGCTGGTCAGACTGGTCTCGAACTCCCGACCTCAAATGATCCACCCTCCTCCGCCTCCCAAAGTGCTGAGATTACAAGCATGAGACACTGTGCCTGGCCTGTAATCTCAATTGTCCTGTTTTTGTTTGTTTTTTGTTGTTGTTCTTCATTTTTTTAAAGCCCCCAAGAGCCAAGAGCAGACTGGGACAAAAGGAATTTTTCTTACATTTCAGAATTAAGCGACTGCTCTCCTGTTGCTACAATGAACATTTCTCTTTCTTCTTTTGTATCACATTTAAAGATCATCTATTACAGGCCATGCGATGAGATGGGAAATACTGTCGGCTGGGCACGGTGGCTCAAGCCTGTAATCCCAGCACTTTGGGAGGCCGAGGCGGGTGGATCACGAGGTCAAGAGATTGAGACCATCCTGGTCAACAAGGTGAAACCCCGTCTCTACTAAAACAAAAATTAGCAGGGCTTGGCGGTGTGCGCCTGTAATCCCAGCTACTCAGGAGGCTGAGGCTGAACCCAGGAGGCGGAGGTTACAGTGAGCCGAGATCGCGCCATTGCACTCCAGCCTGGGTAACAAGAGAGAAACTCCGTCTAAAAAAAAAAAAAAAAAAAGAGATGGGAACTACTGCCCCATCCGGTTTCTAACTTGTCCACATACCAGCGCAGGGGTCCACTCCCCATCCCTGCTGCCTCTTCCTCTTCTTCCTCTTTCTCCCCTAAACCCTTAACAACCTTTCTTTTGCAACTCTGAAGGACTCCTATTTGAGTACTTCAAAAACCTGCCAAGAGCCAGATGCAGTGGCATGCACCTATAGTCCTAGATACTGGGGAGGCTGAGGCAGAAGGCTACCTTAAGGCCAGAGAAGCATGGCAAGACCTTGTCTCCAAAAAAAAGAAAAAGTCACCAAGGTCCAAGCATGATGACTCACACTGGCAATCTTAGCACTTTGGGAGGTTGAGGTGGGAGGATTGCTTGAGCCCAGGAGTTGTAGACCAGCCTGGACAACATAGTGAGACCTCCTCTCTACAAATTTTTTAATTAGCCAGGTGTGGTGGCATGTGCTTGTAGATCCAGCTACTTGGGAGGCTGAGGCAGGAGTATCACTTGAGCCCAGAAGGTTGAGGCTGCGGTGAGCTCTGATTGTGCCACTGCATTCCAGCCTGAATGACAGAGCAAGGCCATGTTTCAAAAAAACCAAAAACAGGCCGGGTGCGGTGGCTCAAGCCTGTAATCCCAGCACTTTGGGAGGCCGAGGCAGGTGGATCACGAGGTCAAGAGATCGAGACCATCCTGGTAAACATGGTGAAACCCCGTCTCTACTAAAATTACCAAAAAAATTAGCTGGGCGTGGTGGCGGGTGCCTGTAATCCCAGCTACTCAGGAGGCTGAGGCAGGAGAATTGCCTGAGCCCAGGAGGCGGAGGTTGCCGTGAGCCAAGATTGTGCCATTGCACTCCAGCCTGGGTAACAAGAGCGAAACTCCATCTCAAAAAAAAAAAAAACAAAAAACAGAAAACCACCAAAGCATACCACACCTCCAAAAAGCCGTCTGTCTTTGGAAATCCTATCACCATCACTATATATACACGATGTTGTATGTATTCATATGCTCAGTTGTTAATTTCTGTACAATTCACCTGGCTAGTGAAACGTTACCTCATGTGCAGGGCTCATGGTCTGTGAGCCTCAGCCATCCCTTGAGTAACCTTGTCCTGGGGAACAAATTAGGAGTATTTGTTCCCCAGGACAAGGTTAATTACACACACAGCCTAATTTTTGCTAAGTCAAGCCAAGAAAGGCCAAACAAAATGATAGCTCACGATGCCCCAGAGGCTTGAAAGTGTTCACAGAAGTCGAATGTGAGAAAAGCAGAAGGGTTTCCAAGGATGGAGATGGACCCTCCAAACACAGAAATTCTCTGTGCAGTTCCCCTACCTGTACTATTGATGACCAATACACAGGAAGCTGATGATCACTTTCAGATGCAGACACAGAGAGAGAGCAGTGGGTGAGACAGGGCGGGAGGCAGATGCCCACGGCCATGTGGGAAAGAGCAGCCCACTGCTGGGCGCGGTGGCTCGCGCCTGTAATGCCAGCACTTTGGGAGGCCGAGGCGGGTGGATCACGAGGTCAAGAGATCGAGACCATCCTGGTCAACATGTGAAACCCTGTCTCTACTAAAAATACAAAAAATTAGCTGGGCATGGTGGCGCGTGCCTGTAATCCCAGCTACTCAGGAGGCTGAGGCAGGAGAATTGCCTGAACCCAGGAGGCAGAGGTTGCGGTGAGCCGAGATCACGCCATTGCACTCCAGTCTGGGTAACAAGAGCGAAACTCTGTCTCAAAAAAAAAAAAAAAAAAAAAAAAAAAAGAGCAGCCCACCGAGCACAGAGCCCAGCAGCGGCCACCCCGTTCTCCAGACCCTGTCAGGTCAGATTTCCCTGCCAGGAGGAATTAAAGGGAATACACTTCTGGTAAAAGAGCGGGGAGACTCTTGGCTCTGGAAAAGATCAGGATTGTAGTTACAAGAACAATGGCAACAAATGGTGGGAACTCCTTTCCCTCATAGCTTCGTTTTTGGGATGATTAAACTGAGGTTAAGAACAGGACACAGAACTAGATCACGGCAGAGTGGATTGGGACCCAAGTGTCTCTGATGCTTCATCATTGTTATTTTATTTTTTATTTTTTTGAGATGGAGTTTCGCTCTTGTTACCCAGGCTGGAGTGCAATGGCGCGATCTCGGCTCACTGCCACCTCCGCCTCCTGGATTCAGGCAATTCTCCTGCCTCAGCCTCCTGAGTAGCTGGGATTACAGGCACGCGCCACTATGCCCAGCTAATTTTTTGTATTTTTAGTAGAGACGGGGTTTCACCCTGTCGACCAGGATGGTCTCGATCTGTTGACCTCGTGATCCACCCGCCTCGGCCTCCCAAAGTGCTGGGATTACAGGCTTGAGCCACCGTGCCTGGCCCCTGTTATTTTATTTTTAAATTTTTATTTTATTTGTTTATTTATTTATTTATTTATTGAGACTGAGTCTTGCTCTGTCGCCAGGCTGGAGCACAGTGGCACAGTCTCTGCTCACTGCAACCTCCGCCTCCCGGGTTCAATCAATTCTCCTGCCTCAGCCTCCAGAGTAGCTGGGACCACAGGCATGCGCCAAACGCCCAGGCTAATTTTTGTATTTTTAGTAGAGACGGGGTTCACCATGTTGGCCAAGATGGTCTCAAATCTCTTGACCTCATAATCCACCTGCCTCGGCCTCCCAAAGTGCTGGGATTACAGGCGTGAGCCACCTTGTGCCCGGCCTAAAATTTTATTATTTTATTTATTTTTAAATTTAATGTACTTTTACTATTTTATTTCATTTATTTTGTTTTTTTGAGATGAAGTCTCGCTCTGCTGCCCAGGCTGGAGTGAAGTGGTGCGATCTTGACTCACTGTAACTTCTGCCTCCTGGGTTCAAGCAATTCTCCTGCCTCAGTCTCCCAAGTAGCTGGGATTACAGATGCCCGTCACTACACTGGACTAATTTTTGTATTTTCAGTAGAGATGGAGTTTCACCATGTTGTTCAGGCTGGTCATGAACTCCTGACCTCAAGTGATCCACTTGCCTCAGTTTCCTGCAGTGCTGGGATTACAGTGCTCAGCCACCTTGCCTGGCCCGTCTACCTGTTTTCTTTTCTTTTCTTCTTTTTTGAGACAGAGTCTTGCTCTGTCACCCAGGCTTGAGGGTAGTGGCACGATCTTGGCTTACTGCAACCTCCACCTCCCAGATTCAAGTGATTTTCCTGCCTCAGCCTCCTGAGCAGCTGGGACTACAGGCAGGCACCACACGCCCAGCTAATTTTTGTATTTTCAGTAGAGACAGGGGTTTTACCATATTGGCCAGACTGGTCTTCAACTCCTGACCTCAGCCTCCCAAAGTTCTGGGATTACAGGCAAGAGCCACCACGCCTGGCCCATCTACCTGTTTTCTAAAACAGCATGGTGCTGCCAAGCTCCATAGATGCCCCATCGCACGCCCAGGAAGTGCTCATCACCCACATGGACTCCTGAAAGACACAGTAACAGAGGAGCAGTAAGAAGCTGAGGAGGAGAATGGACAGATATAACAGAATCTGCAGCATGGTGGTCACTCGTGGCCTGGGGATGGCATCTGGAGCTCCCGCAAGCCTCACATGGTCAGTTGCTGACTTCCCACCTAGACTTTGGGTGCCGACTCTTTGGACCAAGCTGTCCAGCCAGCCATGACTTCATCTCTTCTGGCAAGGGGCTCCAGGCTCCAGGGATTTCTCAGCCACTATGAGGTCACAGACTTCCCCCAGTCGAATCTTGTCTTCCCAGCTATAGTCCAATCCTCCATTAATGCAACCACTATGTTGAAAGAGGACTTCTGATATGTCTGCTTAGACTTGTTAAGTGGAAGTATCTCACCCCTGTCCCTAGAAAAATATCAGGCCAAAGCCTTAGAATTTTTCTGATCATTCTTAGGGAATAAAAAGTCTTGCAATCGCTAAAAATGGAAAACAGTTTCTATTCAACAATTTTATTTTATTTTATTATTTCTAAATAATACACCAGGAGGGCCAGGTGCGGTGGTTCACACCTATAATTTCAGCACTTTGGGAGGCCAAGGTGGGCAAATCACAAGGTCAGGAGTTTGAGGCCAGCCTGGCCAATATGGTAAAACCCCGTCTCTACCAATTAATAAACAAATTAGCCAGGAGTGGTGGTGCACACCTGTAATTCTAGCTTCTTGGCAACAGAGCGAGACTCCATCTCAAAAAAAAAAAAAAAAAAAAAAAGAACCCACCAGGATTAGCTCAGAATCTGCTGAATCCATTCAAGTTCAAATGTTCAATCTAGTGCATCGTTATGTTTTCAATGATCTTTCGTAGGCAAGACTTCTCTCCTCTCCACCAGCTTTCTTAGAAATACTGAAACATAACAACTACTAGGCCTGGGATATTTGTTCTGCTCTACAGTCTTGATAGAAATCATTTCATTTAATTGTCACAGCAACACAATGAGCAGGGAACTATGACTTTGCCTATTTTCCAGAACTGGAAACTAAGGCTGGACCGAGAAGTTAGGTCATTCAGCCAAAGTCACATGGAGAGTGACAGCAAGAACAGGAGGCAGAAGAGGACACCAGGGCTGTGTGACCACACATGTGCACACCTGACCCCCCTGCCCAGTGTTCTCTCAGTCACAGCATCTGTATTAGTCCATCCTCACGCTGCTATAAAGAACCGCTTGAGACTGGGTAATTTATAAAGGAAAGAGGTTTAATTGACTCACAGTTAAGCATGGCCACAGAGGCCTCAGGAAATTTACAATCATGGCAGAAGGGGAAGCAAAAACGTCTTTCTTCTCATGGTGTCAGCAAGAAATATCGAGAAAAAGGGGGAAAGCCCCTTATAAAACCATCAGATCTCATAAGAACTCACTCACTATCACGAGAATAGCAGCCTGGGGATAACACATCCATGATTCAATTACCTCCCACAACAACACGTGGGGATAATGGGAAGCACAGCTCCAGATGAGATTTAGATGGGGTCACACCAAACTTATAGCAGCATCCCACAGCCCCTCCCCATCACAGAGACTCCCAGTGTTCTCACAGTCTTGGAATCCCATGGACTTCTCCCAGGTAGAAAATATGGAGCAGATCTGACCTCAGGGACCCCCGTTTCCTTCACGATTGCATAGGTCAGGCCTGGATTTCCTTGTTCTTCTGACCTATTGAGTACCAAGAACCTGACTGCGGGGGTGGGGGCTCCTGCTCAGGCCCGAGCGTAGGCTGCTTACACTCCGGAACATGGGCAGAGTCCGTAGCAGGGCTGTCTCAGGTGCAAGAGGCTCACCCTGCCTAGGATGCAGGCAGTGCCAGTGCTTATGAGGATCTGTGGGCCATGAGTCCCCTCCCAAAATTGCCTCCAGTATGCTGTAGGGAACATGGGATATCTGTCTATAGTCTCTGTCACTGTGCAAATCTGATCAGGTTCCTCAAATGCAAATCTGGTCAGGTCTCTTCTGCTTCAGAGACTCTTTCCACCCTCCACCCCGTGTACTTTGAGGCCGGAGTTTAGCAAAGCAATGATCCCCTGTGTACCTCTCTGGCCTCATCTTCTCACCCTCACATTCCGGTCTCAGGCCAAGACTCAGTCATCTCAGTCTGACATTGTTCAGAAAACAAAGGAATGCGGGGGTGGGGGTAGAATTCATTCATCGAACTGTGCTAGCCACTGAAGTAGGTACTGAGTACAGTGGTGAATCCAAGGCAGACGCCTTTGGAAACTTGCAGAAAGAAGTCCAAACTAAGCACAGTTTCCTCATCGTAGTAGCAGCTCCTATCATGGGAAATTGACCATTCCTACAGATTAATAATGAATCAGTAACCAAGGAACATCTTCAGAACAAACAGAATAGCAAAGCAAGTGAGGGAAGTTTACTTCTAAACTTCTACACTGCTTTCGGAAATCATCCCAAGTCCTCCGGAGTTTGAAGTTGAGCTCCGCTTCGCCAGGGGACGCTGCAGGGCTGCTTGCGTCGGTTCAACCCGCTCTAGGCCGCGGTTCGCGCTCTCATCTGTATTTCCGCCTGCGCAAAACGAGTGTAGTTTCCTGGTCTTGTGGTCGCGGTCCTTCGCTGTCCCGCGCTATCGCAAGCCACCGCACGCCATCTCTCGAAATCTGCAGACATCCTGCTTTTTCCCGGGCTGTCTGCCACGTCTCCGCCGCCACTCGACGTCAGGGCACCGGGTAACTCAACAGCGGGGCGCGTTTTCTGTGTCACTCTCACCATCGGGGGAAACTGAGGCTCCGGGGAAGGCGGCCAGAGAGGTCAGGCCCGGCCCCTGGTGCAGTGCTTCGTCCCCTCTGCCGGAGCCAGCCCCCGGGATTCGCGTGTCCTCGGGAAAGACACTGGCGGGTGAGCCGCGCCCTCGGCCGCAGCTGTGCTGAGCCGGCCACGTGCATACATCAGAACCCCCTGTCCGCGCAGCCACTCTGCGGGGAGACTTAGTGCCCCTGAATGACGGGAAACAGGGCTCGGTGACTTTTCGCTGCCCGCCCCCGACTCCTGGCTTGGAAGCCCCCAAGCCACTTGTCGGATGCCTAGAGTGTTAGTGATTGTGCCATGTCCTTGGGACTGTTAAGTTGTTTTCCCCTGAATTAACTTTTGAAAGTAGTTGTTAGATGGAGTCAAAGAAGGCCAGTTCAGAGCTTAAAAAAAAATAAAATAAAATAAAAGTAGTTGTTAGAACCACCGTTTAACATGCCAGTTAGCTGAAGTTTAAATGGAAGACGCTCCCAGGACCCTAGTGGGACAGTCTGGACTTATGTCCCCGGGCTTTGTACTAAAAGCCCCTTCCCCATGCTTTTCCCTACCTAGGCCTTGTGGGCTGTGCGGCTAGTTGGACGGCCTCGCACCAGCCAGCGCCCCACTCTCTACTGCAGCACTTTGGTCTGCACCCCATGAGGGGCTTCCGGTGTCGGGGGGTGAGTGTTATGTCCCTGTGTACCTAATGCAGCTTATGTGCACCTTCAGGGAGGACCCTTCTATGGGACCCAGTAGAGGGGATAGTCAGAGCTCAGCCAATTCTGGGTTCTGAGAACTGTCTACAAGAGCGGGTGCAGAGCAAAGCTGATGTAGGAGAGGGGCTGGGCTTGGGGGTCACATCCTGGCTAAGTTCCTTCATTCTCCTGAGGTTGGTTTTCTGTAAAGTAGAGAAACTGCAAACGCTCTCTGAGGGCAGAGGCTTGACTATTTTTCTTAATTTTGAACCCATGGTGCCTGGCCACATGTAGATAACTCAGAATTGGTGGGCTGAATGTACAGCTGAGGCATTTTTACCAGAAGTCGGTTTTCCTTTGGACTCTGGGTGGGGGCACATGGTATCTGCCTGTGAAGTGATGATGGCTCTCAGGGTCCTGGGTACCTTTCTCTTCCCTGGTGGGGTGACTCCCGCTCTGGAGATCTAGCAGCTAACACGCTAAGGTGGGCTCACCTCCCCTTTATTACCCCTGTATTCGAAAGTGATCGTGGGCTGCCCATGCCCTGGTCATTGATAGTGCAGGGAGAGAAATCGCTGAAAGCACTTCCCCGTGTTTGGAGGGTCCACTCCTGTCCTTTCCAAACTCTGAAGTTTTCTCACATCTCTTTCTCACCATCTTTCAAATGCCTCCTGGTACTTGTCTGATTATGATTCAGTGCTCAGTGCAAGGCTGAGCAAGGCTCATTGCAGGGGTCTGGGAGGCACTCACCAAGTTCTATGGTGTGGGTCCCTGCCCTCCCACTGGTCACACCCTGTGGCAATTACTGATTTGATTGTCTTTGGCTCTCTATTTCAACCTTGAGGGCAGTGTCTGAGTTTTTGTTTAATATTTTGTTGTATTATTTTTAGAGACAGGGTCTCACTCTGTTGTCCAGGCTGGGGTGCAGTGGCATGATCATAGCTTGAACTCCTGGACTCAAGTGATCCTTCCAGCCTCCTGAGTAGCTGGGACAGACAGGGTATTGCTGTGTTGCCCAGGCTGGTCTTGAACTCCTGGCCACAAGTGATGGTCCCTCAGTCTTCCAAAGTGCTGGAATTACAGGTGTGAACCTCCTTGCCTGTCTCAGTATCTGAGTCTTGGTCTCTTGACTTAACTGGTGCTTGGCAGATGGTTGATTTTCAGCAGTTATGGAACAAATGGAAAACAGGAGGTGGGCTGGGTGTGTGGCTCACGCCTATAATCTGGGAGGCCGAGGTGGGTGGATCACTTGAGGCTGGGAGTTCGAGACCAGCCTGGCCAACATGGTGAAACCCCATCTCTACTAAAAAATAGAAAAATTAGCTGGGTGTGGTGGCGGGTGCTTGTAATCCCAGCTATTCTGCAAAGTGATGACAGGCTGCTTGTGTCTTGGTTATTGGTAATAAAAGAAAAGTTACAAGGTTTTCCTCTTGTGTAGAGGAGCTGTTGTCCATTTCAGATGGGGTGGTGTCGGGGCACTGTGTCACTGACCCAGGGTGGGCTAGACAAGCTGTCAGTGTGTTCACCTCCTGGTACCCTGTTTCCCCAGGTGTGATTTCTGTGGGTGAATGCAGTGGGTTCCTGGACTTGTCATAAGTAGTGCCGCATGCATCAGTCACATGTTGGCTTTTTCTTCCTGCAGGAGTGTCACATGACTGCTGCCCCATGTGAGAGATGTCCTCCAGGACAGCATGGGTCCTGAGGTTCCAGGTAAGTGGGGTCCTGACTGGTTCTCTAGAGCTCAAGTTCTCTGCAGTCTGGGAGGCCAGAGGTATTTGGGTGCTGGGGAGTGGGGAGCGAGGACACAGGTGAAGGCGGTTTCCCTTTGCCACCGTCTTTTCCCCCTCAGCAGGCAGGGACAAATCTGGGCCTTCTTCTGCCTTCATGGTGTTGCTGTTGAGAAGGTGCTCCCTGAACTTGATTTGAGAGTCCATGAGAAAGACCCTGTGATGTTGAGAGGAAAACAGTGTGTTGGAAGGAAGGGACAGGGGGCTGCATTTCAGATTCAAGCCTGGAATCCACTGGCTGGCTGAGTGGTCTTCTGTGAGCCTTAGTGGAAACAATGTCAGATAGTCAATATTGGTACCCCTCCAGCCCACTCTCTTATTTATTTATTTATTTATTTTTGAGACAGAGTCTTGCTGTGTTGCCCAGGCTGGAGTGCAGTGGCGCAATCTCAGCTCACTGCAACCTCCGCCTCCTGGGTTCAAGCGATTCTTCCTTCCTCTGCCTCCCAAGTAGCTAGGATTACAGGTGCCTGTCACCACGCCTGACTAATTTTTGTATTTTTAGTAGAGATGGAGTTTGCCATGTTGGCCAAGCTGGTTTCAAACTCCTGACCTCGGGTGATCTGCCTGCCTTGGCTTTCCAAAGTGCTGGGATTACAAGTGTGAGCCACCATGCCTGGCTTTTTTATTTTTATTTTTTTAATAGAGACGGGGTTTCACCATGTTGGCCAGGCTGATCTTGATCTCTTGACCTCATGATGCGCCCGCCTCGGCCTTCCAAAGTGCTGGAATTATGGGCATGAGCCAATGTGCCTGGACTTATTTTTATTTATTTGTTTATTTTTGAGACAGAGCCTTGCTCTGTCTCCCAGGCTGGAGTGCAGTGGCACGATCTCAACTCACTGCCACCTCTGCTTCTTGGGTTCAAGTGATTCTCCTGCCTCAGCCTCCCAACTAGCTGGGATTACAGGTGACTGCCACTATGCCTGGCTAACTTTTTTTGTATTTTTAGTAGAGATGAGATTTTGCCATGTTGGACAGGCTGGTCTCGAACTCCTGATCTCAGGTGATTGACCCACCTCAGCCTCCCAAAGTGCTGGGATAATAGGCATGAGCCTCTGCACCTGGCCAGCCCAGTCTTCTAGAAGAACCCCAGGATTCTCAATATTTCTGCCCACGTTTGCTTGCCTTTCCACTCCTGGTAGGGAGTGGTAAATGATCTCTGGGAATCAGAAGCAGCACCTGTAATCTTAGGCTGGAAGTCTGGTCACTGCCCTGTTAGCTGTTCTGTTCCAGGTAATCCATTGCCCAGAATGCTGGCATTGCCCTTCTTTCTGGGCTTGGCCTCTGCCCTTTCTGCTCCTGCATTCAAAAGTGATCATGGGCTGCCTGTGCCCTGGTCATTGGTAGTGCAGGGAGAGGAACTGCCGAGAGCATTTCCCCGTGTTTGGAGGATCCACTCCTGTCTCTTCGAAACCCTGGAGCTTTCCCACACCTCCTCCCTCCCACGCCTCTTAGATGCCTCCTGGTGCCTGGCATCATCTAGTGAGTTGTGTTGCTTTCTCCCTGGCTCAGGGCAGCTTACTCTGAGACATGAGGGAAGGGTGTGGAATGATGTGTTTGGCTTCAAGAACAGAAGGGCTGGGTGTGGAGCTGAGGCAGGGCTGCCCTGCGCCTTCCTCCCGGAAGCATTCTCCGCCTCCACGCCTCTCCTTCCACATCCTTAGCCAACCCCCTCTACACCATGCTGACCCTGTGGAGATTGTTGCCTGACTTGGCTCCTGCTCTCTTTGCTGTGGTCTTAAGGGCAGGGTCTGAATTTTGTTCCCTGCTTTGTTCTGTCTGCCAGATGGTCAGTGCTCTGATAGTGTGGGACAAAGGAAACAGCAGCCTGGGCAATCTTGCCTTTATAAGAACTAAAAAATTGGCCAGGTGTGGCAGTGCTGTGTGCCCCTGTAGTCCCAGCTACTCAGGAGGCTAAGGCAGGAGGCTCTCTTGAGCCCTAGAGGTCAAGGCTGCAGTGAGCCATGATCAGGCCACTGCACTCAGCGTGGGCAACAGAGTGAGACCCTGTCTCAAGTAAGAAATACAAGAAAGGGAGAGTCCCTCCATTGTAAGGAGATTGGGTTCATTGCAAAAAAAAAAAAAAAAAAAAAAAAAAGCTGAGTCAGCACCTGTGTGGGATTGGTGGGAGCAGATTTGGTGTTTTCCACCCCTTAGAGAATTCTGAGGTAATGCATTCGCGTTAGTTCCCAGCTCTTAATTCCTCTGCCTTTTGGGCTGCCCTTCATGGCTCCCCTGAGGATGACTGGTTCTCAGGTTGCCCCTGGAGGCATGGGTAGAGTTGTAAGATCAGGAACAAAGCTGGAGAGGGAGAGCCAAAAGGATGCAGCTGCTTTCCAGCTGTTCTACCCCACTGAGAGGTCGTTATCCTCCTGCTGAACATGTTGGTTAGTGGGATGTGTTACAACAAGTAATGTGTCTGGCTTCCTGCCATTGCAGGATTGTCAGCTGACCTCTGTCCTGTGTGCCCGGTGGCCCCAGGGGCCCCAGGTGACGTGTCTTCAAGAAGAGGCTGAACTGTGGTGTTTGTAAGGTCTGACTCCTGGGTGCTTCTCTAGAGAAGGCACGAATGTTCAGGCTGCAAGGACAAAGGCTTTGAGGTCACTGCAGGGAGGCAGGGGCTGCTTCCTCTTGCTTGTCCCTCCACTGAGGCCCCCAGGGACATGTGGCCCCCTGTCTTTTCCTCCCCTGCCACTCTACTGCTAGATCATGCCACTGCACTCCAGCCTGGGCAACAGTGAGACTCCATAAAAACAAAGGTGCAAGTTCTTAGACCCTGTCCCAGACCTACTAAATCAGAAGTTTTGGGGCTGCAGCCAGCAATCTGGCTTAACATGCTCATCAGGTGTAAGAATCAGAAGCAGCTGCTACGATTCTAGGCTACAAATCTGGTTACCGGCTTATTTCCAGGTCTCTCAGTTTGGGCCCTTCCTAAGCTGCTGGCAATGCCTCCCCTCTCAGCTCACTCACTGCCCTGTTTTACCCCTGTATTCGAAAGTGATCGTGGGCTGCCCGTGCCCTGGTCATTGATAGTGCAGGGAGAGGAATCGATGAAAGTGCTTCCCCGTGTTTGGAGGGTCCACTCCTGTCCCTTGCAAACTCTGGAGCTTTTGTACATGTGTTTATTCTCACCAGTGATGTTACCTCTTGGTACCTGGTTGTCATGTTAGACCCCTGTTGAGATGGAGTCTCCCTCTGTTGCCCACGCTGGAGTGCAGTGGTGCAAACATGGCTCACTGCAACCTCTGCTTCCCAGGTTCAAGTGATTTTTGTGTCTCAGCCTCCCGAGTAGTTGGAATTAAAGATGTGCACCACCACACCTGGCTAATTTTTGTACTTTTCATAGAGATGGGGTTCCACCATGTTAGCCATGCTGGTTTCGAACTCCCGGCCTCGTGTGATGCACATGCCTCAGCCTCCCAAAGTCTTGGAATTACAGGCATGAGCCACCCTGCCCAACCTGTTTTAAAATTTTTTATGCTCTATATTTGAAGTTTACAACATGTTATATAATAATGGGACAGATAGAGATAGCACAGTGCTTACTGTGGTAAAGCAGATGAACATACCTGTCATCTCACATAGTCACGGTTTTTAGTATGTGTGAGGAGCAGCTGAAATCTACTTGACAGAAATCCCTTATGTTGTGCATGAGGTCTCTAGACTTATACATCCTGTGTATCTGCTACTTGGTGTCCTTTAACCTACATCTCCCTATTTCCTTCCACTCCTGCCCATGATAATCATCATTTTATTCTCTATCTTTGTATATTTGACGGTTTTTTTTTAAACAACAACATTGCACACATAAGTGAGATGTGCACTTTGTCTTTCTGTGTCTAGCTTATTTCATTTAACATAATTATTATCCAGGTCCAGCCATATTGTGGCACATGACAGGATCTTTCTTCACTCTTTTTTTTTTTGAGACAGGGTCTCCTGTCACCCAGGCTGAAGTGCAATGGTGCACTCACAGCTCACTGCAGCCTCTGTCTCCTGGGCTTAAGTAATCCTCCCACCTCACCCTTCTGAGTGGTCGGGACTGCAGGTGCATGCCACCATGCCTGGATAATTTTTGTATTTTTTGTAGAGATGGGGTTTTGCAATGTTGCCGAGGCTGGTCTCCAACTCTTGGCTCAAACCATCTCCTTCAGCCTTGGCCTCCAAAAGTGCTGGAACTACAGGCGTTAGCCACCGCCCCCGGCCCTGTCATTTCGTGAAAGTCCTACTGCACGAAAATGAAGCCCTTCTCTGGCTGCCTACCCTCCCGGAGACGCCGCGCCCCGTCTGGCTACAAGGCTCCAGGCGCCTACTGAACCCCCATTTCGGGCGCGCACCCGGAAGCCTCGAGCTCTGGCCCCGCCTTAGCCGCCCCCTCCATCGCTACGCCCCGCCCCGCTCCACCGCGCCTGCGTAGTGGGCCGTCGGCGCCCGGCGCCGAGGAGGCTGTTGCAGTTGGTCTGGCGCAGTGCGCGGCTCCTCTGCCTGTTAGGGAGTCGGCGGCGTACGCGGCGAGGGAGCGGGGACGGGGAGGCGCCTTCTGGCTCGGGCTGGGGCCGGCGAGACCGCGAACGAGCGACGGTGGAAACCGCGGGCCTGTGGATGGCGGCATCAGCGGCTAGCAGGTAAGGTACGCGCGGGGCACAGGTGGGTCGTACAGACCCATGAGGTGGTGCGGGTTGCGGGCGGGCGAGGGGTTCTGCGGCCTGGCCTGGGGCGCAGGTGAGCGCGGCCCGCGCGGGGCCCGGCGGAGCATTAACCTTCCGTCGGCGCGCACACCGCGCTCCGTGCGGGCCCGGCCGCGGCGGGCTTGGGCCTCGGGGCTGGCACGCGCTCCTTGTACCCCGGCCCGCAGTCCTCCGTCACCCTATCTCCGCCGCCCCGCGCCAACATGGCCGCCACCCTCCTGGCCCCATTTGTTGGCCGCCGCAGGCCCCTTAGCGCGCGCTTTGTTTGAAGCAGAGCTGGGAGGCCCGCGGGCCGGACGGTGGTGACCCGCGGTGGGGCGCGGGGAGGGGGCGCTGCACCAGAATGCGGGCGAGGAGGGGGAGACTTGCATAAACCTGGGGCGGCGAGAGGGACGGCTTGGGTCACCCCGGGGTGACCTAGACCCGGGGGATGGCCGTGGTCATTGCGAACTGTGGGTTGCCGGAACGCCCACCGACCGGTCCTCGCGCCGGCGCAGCCCCCTTCCTGGTGCGCGCAGCAAAACTTGCGTGCTCTAGAGAGAGCCACGCACTTTTCTTCTCCTTACTGAGTGACCTTGGATGTATTCGTCTAGGAACGTATGTGTTGAAATTTTTATTTATTTGTTTATTGTTTTCTGAGACGGAGATTTGCTGTTGTTACCCAGACTGGAATGCAATGGCACGGTCTCGGCTCACTGCAACCTCCACCTCCCGGATTGAAGCCCTCTCCTGCTTCAGCCTCCCGAGTAGCTGGGATTACAGGCATGTGCCACCACACCCAGCTAATATTTTGTATTTTTAGTAGAGATTCTGTTTCACCATGATGGCCAGACTGGTCCTTACCTCCTGACCTCGGGTGATCAACCCCTCTCGGCCTCCCAAAGAGCTGGGATTATAGAAGTGAGTCACCATGCCCGGCCTCATATGAATACTTGTTACCTGCGTAGAATGTGTGATGATCAAGTCAGGGTACCTGGAGTATTCATCACCTTGAGTATTTATCTTTTTCTTTTTTAAGACAGAGTGTTGTTCTGTTTTCCAGGCCGGAGTGCAGTGGTGCAATCTCGGCTTGCTGTAACCTCTGCCTCCCTAGTTCAAGCAGTTCTCCCGCCTCAGCCTTTGGAGTAAACTGGGATTAAGGCATGCACCACTACGCTGGGCTAATTTTTGTATTTTGAATAGAGACAGGGTTTCACCATGTTAGCCAGGCTGGTCTGGAACCCTGACCTTAGGTGATCCGTCTGCCTCAGCCTCCCAAAGTTCTGGGATTACAGGCGTGAGCTACCGTGCCTGGCCGAGATTGATCATCTCTGTGTGCTGGTTAACATTTCTAGCCTTCTCTTTTAGCTACTTTGAAATATACAATAGGGATTTGCTAAGGTATTGCAAATGCTTCACGCGGTTGCACTCCAGCCCAGCTATGGTGACCGTACTCTGCTATAGAAATATTAGAATTTACTGTTTCTAACTGTACGTTTGTACCCATTAACCAACCTCTCCTCCTCACCCCCATCCCATCCCAGCCTCTGATACCTGCCATTGTATTAAGTTTCCGTGAGGTCAACTTTTTTTTGTTGTCGTTGTTGTTTTTAACTCCTCCATGTCTGTGAGAATGGGTGATGTTTTTCTTTCTATGGCTGGCCTGGCTTATTTCACTTAACATAATGACCTCCAGTTTCATCCGTGTTGCTGCAAACCACGCGCTTTCCCTTTGGTGTTTTTTTCTGGCTGAAGAGCATTCCATTTGTATATATGCCACGTTTTCCTTGCCTGCTAGTTGGTGGATACTTGGGTTGATTCCATATCTTTGCTGTTGTCAATAGTGCTTTGATAAACAAGTGAGTGCACACTGATTTGATATGCTGATTTCTTTTATGTTGGTTAAATAGCCAGTGGTGGGATTGCTGGATCATGTAGTAGTTTTGTTTTTAGTGTTTTGAGAAATCTCCGTACTGGTTTTCGCCACGACGTTACTGATTTCCAGTCCCACCTCGGTGTGTAAGGGTTCCCTTTTCTCCTCATCATGTCAGCATCTGCTGTTTGTATTTTTGAGAATAGATACCCTAACTGTGGTAAGGTGGTAGGTATCTGGTTGTAGTTTTGATTTGCACTTACCTGGTGAATACCGATGTCAGCATTTTTTAATGTATCAGTTGGCTATTTGTATGTTTTCGATGTCCTTCGCCCATTTTTTAGCGGGATTATTTGTCGTTTTTAATTGTCGGTTATTTGAGCTCGTTACAGGTTCTGGATTTTAGTCCTTCGTCATGAATAGTTTGCACACATGGTTTCCCATTCAACATGTTGTCTCTTTGCTCTGTCGTTTTTTTCTTTGCTGTGCAGAAGCTGATTGAAAGAGATGTATTGAGCACAGTGGCTCACGCCTGTAATCCCAGCACTTTGGGAGGCTGAGGCGGGTGGATTGCCCGAGATGGGGAGTTGTGAGACCAGCCTGGCCAATGTAGTGAAACCCCATGTTTACAAATGATACAGAAAAATTAGCTGCGTGGGTTGGTGGCCATCTCCTGGGTTCAAGCAATTCTCCTGCCTCAGCCTCCTAAGTAGCTGGGACTAGAGGAGCATGCCACTATGCCTGGGTAATTCTTTTTTTTCTTTTTCTTTCTTTCTTTCTTTTTTTTTTTTGGTAGGAGTTTTGCTCTTGCCGCAGAGGCTGGGGTGCAATGGCGCCATCTTGGCTCACCACAACCTCTGCCTCCCGGGTTCAAGTGATTATCCTGCCTCAGCCTCTGGAGCAGCTGGGATTAGCCCAGCTAATTTATTTTTATTTTTATTTTTGAGGTGGAGTTTTGCCGTTGTTGCCCAGGCTGGAGTACAATGGTGCTATCCCGGCTCACTGCAACATCCGCCTCCTGGGTTCAAATCTGTGTCTGCATCGATTACACACAAGAGTTCAGTCATCATATGGGAAGGGAATCACAGCTGTGGGGGGCTCCACGCGGGACCCCAAGTGCCCCTGAGGCCAGTCCCTGTGGCCACAGCAAGGAGCATCTGCTTCCGCCAGTTGGGCAAGAGTCTTTCCTGTCTAGAAATGGGCAGAAGGACTTCCCCTGCTCCCCACCCACCGTCGTATCCCAAACACACCCGTGTGGATGGATGCCTCGACATCTCCCCTCAGCCCAGGGCCTGAGCTCTTCCTGATGAGGGTTTAGCAGGAGTGACCGCCTCTCCCTGGGTCCATGTTGCGGGCAACTGCCTTCTCCTCAGCTCCCACGGGGCAGAATAAGAGCCAGCCAGCTCTCAACATCCCAGGATGTTCCAGGGATGATGCTAACTAAAGCAGTCGGGGCCTTGTGAGTGAGCGGTGGGAGGGATCAGGGTTTCCTCGGCATCTGTCAGTTCCTGGAGCATCTGAAGGGGCAACCTACACCTGGAGGGACGAGTGGGGCTGGCCTGGCAGCCGTGGGTACCCAGTGCCTGGCATCTCCCGGTCCCTCTGCACTCCTTCACAGACCCCCCTCCACTGAGCAGCACAGCCCTGAGGACAGAGGCAGCAGCCCGGAGAGCATTTCCAACACAACTGTACTTATTGAGATTTACACAGGAGACTCCCAAGGTATTGCTCCCCTCCCTCCCACCCTTCCCTTTCCCACCCTTTCCCATCAAGCTAAGGCCCAGCAAGGTCAGCACTGGCGGAGAAGTCTTTGCTTTGAGGCACCTGATGCCCTGAGGGTCCGAGAGTTGAGAGCCCCACCATTGGGGATTGGCACCAGAGAGCCTGCCCTGTCCTTCTACTGGCTACGATGCTGCTTTTTCTTCTTCTTAGAGAGCAAGAGGTCACCCTTTCTCTTTGGAGACTGTGAGGGGTTACCCGGCCCCCAAGCCGGGGATTGTGCCCCAGAGACTCTGAGCCCAGGCCTTAGGTGGGGCGTCTGAACAGCAGGGGATAGGCCTCTGCAGAGAGCTCGCTTCTTGGAGGTGGTGGTGGGCGTGGGCACGGGCACGGGAGCGGGAGCCGGTGCTGTTGCTGGGCTGAGGCCTCTTCTCTTTGCCCTCCGGGACTGAAGAGCTCCCTGGGGTCCCCGTCCTTCTGGACTGAGAAGGCCCGAGGCAGGGACAGGGCTCTGGGACAGCTTCCAGGGCCGCAGCCTGTAGTGGGTACCCACGACAGAAACCATGCCAGGGATTTGCCTCTCCTCCCCACTTGACCGCTTACACAGCCTGCGTGACTCCTTGACAGGAGAGGCTCCAGGGAGACCCCAGGTGTCCTGGGTCCCCACGCCTGGGCAGGTGGGTCTCTGGTCCTGGGGAGGAGAGTCTGGCAGGGCGGCCCTCAGCCTGCCAGAATCCAGCCTCTCCAAAAGCACCACCGGGTTTTTGGCCACCCCAATGCACACTCTGCCTTGTCCCTGAGGGTCCCGGGCAGCCGTCTGGGGTGGGCAGGTTTTCATGCTGACCCCTTGTTGGGGGCCAGGGACATCTCTCTCTGCTCCTCGGCCCGCTGCAGACTTGGAAGAGATGGAGTCCAGCTGGGTGGTGCCATGACTAGGGGCTGCCCTCTTACGCAGTTCCTCCTCCAAGGATTGGAGGTGCTTCTCTGCTACCTGCGGGGGGAAACAGGGCATTTTCTGGCGCTGCCCCACGTGTGAACAGGGCCCAGGGTGGTGGAAACCAAGGCACTTGGGCGGCAGGCAGGGAAGCCTGAGGCAGCTGGGCTTCCTGTCAGAGACAGAGGGTGTGTCTCTGCCGGGCATCTTGCTTGCTGGGCCTCACTGCAGTTTGCATCCTGACTCCCCTCCCTGGCTCCTCTCCATCCTGCTCCGTCTGAACCTGCACCTCCCCACCTCGGAGCGGCCCCCCAAGAAGCCGAGCATCCCCCAGAGGGTTGGGGTAGGCAGTCAGGTGGGGCACCTGGGTTCCCCTCCCTCCCTGCTCTACCTGGGCCAGGGTGAGTCCTTCCTCCTGCTCCAGCTGCTGGCTTAGGGCCAAGAAATCCATCTGTGGATCTGGGGAAAGCAATTCCTCCAGGAATCGGGGGTGAATGACGGCCTCCACCTGTAAACAGAAGGAAGATGGCGGGGGCATGAGGTTCCCGGGCAGGGAGTAAGGTGGAGCCAAGGACACCTGGAGGAGATGCAGAAAGCAGTGAGGGCCCCGTCCCCACCCTTCTGGAGCTGTGTTATATCAGGGCGACCACCAGCTCCACACACAGACCGCAGACCTGGTAGCCTACACACATGCAGACAGACACACACAAACCACACACAGACACACAAACAGACCCACATATGACACAGGAAAATAGACACAAGTAACATACACACTCCACACTCACACCCACACCAACACAGAGTAACCAGTCGCAGATACAAAGACACAGACACACTCACTGCACAGACCCTCAAATGGACGGCAACACACACAGCCATCTACTGTGGAGTCACTAGGGAACGGAGCTTAATTCCAAAGACCTGCGAGTGCCACCCCCTGGAATCCTGCAGACCCCAGCACTTGAGGCCAGCCCACCTTGGTGACGAAGTCTCTCTGGGAACACAGATGGTTGACGTAGCTCAGGACGCCTGGGTCTAGAAGCATCCCATCCCCTTGCTGCTCCGCTTCGCCCTCTTCCCATTGTCCCTCGAGCTCCCCCGTGGCCCCAACGGGAGTCCCCAGCAGCTCCTCCATGATGTCCACATACTCCTGCACCACTTGAGGGGGTATCTCCTCGGGGGCCTTGGTCTCCGCCGGCTGCTGGGGCCTGGGTGGTGGCAGGTGGGCCTTGGTCTCCGCTGGCCGCTGGGGCATGTGTGGTGGCAGGCAGGCAGGCGGGGCCTTGGGGCCGGCCTTGCTGGGAAGGTACACTGAGGCAGGGAGGGAGGAGGATGGGCATGGTGAGGGCTGCTCCTCCTGCCTGCATCACACAGGGGAGGGCAGGGCTCAGGGACCTGAAGTGGGTCCCAGCTGGGTCAGGACCACCTGAACCACAGTACCCCTGGAAGAGACGCCATAGGCGGGGCACTTGTGAGACAGCATCATTTTGGAGGAAGCTTGGAGTCACTGATAGACGCTGAGTACTCTACCCGCTCATCCCTGCTTCCTGGGCAGATTGTTGAGTTTTGGAATGGCGAGGGGAGAGAGTAGCTAGGAAACGTGACCAGGTGAATACCCACTTCATGACCACGGGCAGCCCAGCACTCCCCCCGCCCCCCCCCAGCTCCCCTGAGCTGTCTTGTCGGAAGGAACAAATCCCTCTCTTGAAGGGAGGCATGGGGTGTGGGGACAGTGGCCTCCCTTGGCCCTTCTGGCCTTTGCCGTGGCTCCCGTGGGAATGTGGGAAGCCGTTACCTGGCTCCTTGACCACCTCAGGGGCTGACGGTCCCTGAGGTTCAAGCCTCGGCAGGGCTGGAGGAGGCTGGCCCTGGGGTCCCTTCATCCACTGCGACTTCTGAATCTGCATCTCCTCCTCAGCCTCAAACTCCAGGAACCTGGGGTGAAGAAGGTGCAGGCCGTGCTGAGAGGGTCCAGGCCCACTTCTTGCAGGACCAGGCAGCAGCCGATGGCAGGGATGGGAAGGCGTGCCTCGGGCATGCTGTCCGGGCCCTCCCTGGGGCCCATCCCCTAGTCCCAGAGGGAACTGCTCCCAGAGTTCTGGGCTCTCCCCTCCTCACCCGGCCCCTACGGAGCCCATGGCATCCCCAGGGCTTTCTGAGTTAAGTGAGGGCTACAAGGCCCAGGAGGGCACCACGGGTTCCCCTCCTCCAGCCTTCAGCTGGCCAGGGGTGGGGTTTCTGGTAGAAGGCGTCCACGATGTTGCCCAGATGCAGGAGTCCTGAGGTTGGGACTGTGGGTCCCTGAAGGATAACCCGGGAAGATGAGGCCTGGGAGACCCCTGGTCGGAAGGAAGCAAAAGCTGGGCCCAAAAGACAGGGCCCCTTTCCCCTGAGGCTGAGGCTGCTGTCTTTGTGTCTTAAAGGAGGGGACTATGAGAAGCAAAAGCAGGCAGGCCAGAGATGGGTCTCATGGTGTCCTGGACGCAGGTCTCCCCTGACCCAGCGCAGGTGTCTCCACTCCTGGCCAGGCTGCGATGGGTGAAAACGGACTTCTGGCCGCTGCTGTCAGGAGAGTGCACCCCGCTCTGCCTATAGTTGCCAGAGCCCCTTCTCCCCATCGTCACAGCTGTCGGTGATCTCCTTTGGGTTGCTACCTCCCTGACCCTTAGTGTCAGGCAGGGGTTGGCCCCAGGTCGTGCCAGCCAGGCAGGGCGTGGCTTTTCACCAGGGCAGGACAGAGACCCCAGAGCACTGTAGGAGGGAGGAGCAGCTTCCTGAGGGCGCCAGGGGCCCAGGAGGGCCTGTGTTTGTCCACATCCTTCTCATGCTCCACGCTGAAAAGTCACCATGGCCACCGGGCCTCTGTTACCCTCTCTCACCCTGCCGTGTGGGCTCTGCCCCAGCACCCCAGACTCACTTTGCCGCCATCTGGTAGAAGATCTTGCGTTCAGAGTTGCTCGTGTGCTGCCATTCCCGCATGGCCCACCGCAGTCCCTCCTCCATGGTCATGCTGGGCTTCCGCCGGGCCAGGGATCTGAGAACCGGGCTGTAAGGCGGTGCAGTCAGTCCCAGTCCGTAAGCCCACCTGGTCCCAACACCCGGTCCCTGTCCTGTTCTTCCCCACGTGGGTGGGATATGTTTCCCAAGATGAGTCAGCAACACAAGCCACCGGCTGGCCTCTCCAACTGCCCCTCGAGTCCTCAGTATTACCGTGTTGACAAGGGAACTCGGTACTACGGGTGTAACATGAGTGTCCCCATCAATCCTGTGCTGAAGCCCTAAGCCCCGGTGTTTCAGTGCTTGGAGTTCATCAGGGTTAGAGCAGGTCATGAGGGTGGGTTCCCATCATGGCATCCGAGCCCCGATAAGGGCAGGAGGAGACACCAGGGCTCTCCCTCTTAGCTGCAAGAGGACATAGCCAGAGGCAGCCCTCTGCATCCAGGGCACCAATGTGCTGTTGCCTTGATCTGGGACTTCCGGCCTCTGGAACTGGGAGATGCGAATTTGTCCTGGTAAAGCACCCAGTGTATAGGACTTGTTTTGGTAGAGGCCGAACTGGCTGAGACAGCGCACACGCAGAATGACCGGGGAGCGAGGGTTAACGTGCAGGTTCCAGGGCCCAGGACTGAGGATTTAACCAGCTTCCTGGGGACTGTGGAGCAGGGCAGCAAGGCAGCCCCTGGGGACGCAGCCTCAGGGTCCTGGAGAGGAGCAGAAACCAGAACCAAGGCAGAGCGGCATGGAAGCCCAGTCCAGGCCAAGCCTGTGAGCCCGGGGCGACTCCACTCTGAGAATCAGGGTCCCCCAGTACACCTGGACTCGGCTCCAAGGGAGAATGCAAGCAGTTCCAGGATGCAGGGCAGCAAGATTTTTTGGGACACAGATGGGGCCTCCTTAACACCTACACCCTGGGCAGGGGACTTGGCTAGGGGACTGGCCAATGTGTCGCCTGGTGGGTGTGCTCAAGCTCCCGTGGTGTACAGGTTTGCTCATCTCGGGGGACACGGGGTCACAGAGGCACTGCAGGATGGAGAGAGGGAGGACTGGGACTGAATCAACAAACTCTGAGATGCTGGCATTGCTGCCTCAGTCACCACAGTCCACGGCCCTGGGTTGCCGGGCTCGTGGTGGTGCACTCAGAGCCATCACTGGAGCCGGTGGCTTTGGAGGGCACTGTCCTAGATGGCCTAGTCCTGATAATGATAGTAATGGGGGGTGGGGGGTGGGCGGTAATCATAACAGCTGTCATGTGATGTGTCACAGTACGTGCTGGGCACCTTGCTACATGCGTCATATGTGAGCTCAAGTCACCTCTTCACCATCCTCTGAATGAAGCATCATTGTCCCTTTTTCTAGAAGGGATCAAGGGCAAAGCTGCAGATACCTGCCCAGTAAGAAAGGATTGGCTGGACTCATGGGACAGTGAGGGGCAGGTGAGGTGAGGCCCCCTGAGAGTGTGTCCTGAGCGGCAGCCAGATGAATGTTGCTGAAAGTGTGCCCTTTCGTAGCTCCACCCGTCGCCTTCCAGACCGCCCCATAAAATCCCCTGAAGAGCGTGACCTCCCATTCATCCGGCAGCCTCTTGTATGGGTGAGCTGCAGGATGAGTTCCGGGGCCCCGAAGACACTCACATGAAGAAACAGGAAAGCGCTTCCGTGTCCGGACTCTGGGGAAGGTGCCTCCGGGCCAGGGGCTTGTAGCGCTGCCAGAGTCGGAAGTTCTCATACACGCTCTTGGGGTTGCAGGAGTCATCCGGTTGGGCCTTGGCCTGGGAGGGAGCCTGGCTGCCCTCTCCGTGAGCCCCTTGTGGCCATGGACAAGCATTTCCTGGGGCCATGATGGGGGCCAGCTGGGGAGCCGGTGGTGGTGTTGGAGGAGGAAGGCCCTGGGACCAGCCTCCCTCGAAGGCCTGGGTGCCCCCAACGATGTGGGCAGCCATAGCGGGCACCACGGGGGCAGCTGCCAGGGGTCGGGGAGGTGGACACACGACGCCCTCACAGACGGCACCTGGAGCCCGCCAGACGAGGGGGGCCCGAGTTAGGACCAAGGTCTGTGCCCGAGGGGCGTTCACAGGCCCCACTGCTGTCATCATCTGGCCAAAGATGTTGGAAGCCCCAGTCCAGTTTGGGCCGCGGCCATCCTGTCCTGCCACCAGGGGAGTCCTGGGGAGGGCGGACAGCACTGGAGGGCCGCCTGGAGGAACCACTACAGTCACGAGGGGCGGCCCGTGTGCTGGGCCGGGAGCAGGTGTGGCGAAGGACAGAGCCGTGAACACTGGCACGGAGGCGCCAGGGTTCTCGGTCACACCCGGTTCCAGCACTGGGCATGCTGTGGAGACAAAGGAAAGAGGTGAATGAGCTGGGGTCTCCAGGTCCGCCCTAGTCACTGGGGAATCAGAGGGGTGTCCTACAGCTGAGGGCGTGTGACAGGGAAACTCTGCAGCTTGCAAGTGTCCCTGAGTGTGCATCGCGTGCTCTGTTTCTTCTCCACAGGAGGGTCGCTTCACTACAGAGCCTGGCAGTTAGCCAAGATTGCACCACTGCATTCTAGCCGCGGTGACAGAGGAAGACTCCGTCTTGAAAAAGAAACGGTGAAAGAAAACCACTGGATGGAAATCTCTCCCAAGCCAGCACCCTGTGAACCCTGAAGATAAGCCATATGACTTATCACATCCAGTGTGCAAGTGATTGTTCTGGCACCATGCCCAGCAAGTGCTAAAACATGGGTCAGAGTCAGGCTACACTTTGCTCAGTGCTCGGTGGTCCTGGCTGCCACTCGGGAAGCTCTGTTCCCAGGGAGCAGGTCTGAGAAGCAGGGGTGGACTTCCCTGAGATAACTGTCATCGCGTAGCCAGCAAGAGTGGTAGCGGCCCACGATTGGAGCACGGCCAGCAAGCGGTGAGCAGTGGGGCTGTCAGGGGAGGTGTCCTGGGATTTTCACAGCTGCTGGTCATGTTACAGTAGGTCGTGGGACGACAAGCCCATCTCTGGTCCTTTTCCTTTGAGCTCCCAGGAACTGAATATAGTAACCACAGGCCGGGTGTGGCAAAGTCGTCTGGAGCTCATCCCTGTTCACTAGGACCTCATGCAGCCTCCACTCACGGGGCATAGGGATACAGCACATGCACCTCATCAGTCAGGACACACATCCTAGTTGAATAATAACAGTCATAACAGGACCCTCTTCCTATTTGTGCGGTACTCTCCTTCCTCGACTGAAAAGGAAACCAGTCTTTCTGGACCCTTCCACTGAGAACCAGCAAGAGTCCACACCTGTCCCCTGTTGGTGAGGTAGTAGACATGGAATAGAAGCAAATTCTTCCTCTTCACAGTAACACAAGGTTACTAGCAGAGGACAGGCCATGAGCTAGCAGACAAGAGGAAGTGGGTCTGAAGGAAGACCTGAGTTTCCCCAAAAGGACGAACAATTCAGAACAAGCTGGGAAGCCCAGGCCGTGTTGCCTGAACTTCCCCAACTGCCGCCACCCCAGTTCAGGTGGTAAAGCCAACAGCCACCTGAACTGACAGAGAAGCCACCTCTGGGGAGGGAGCTGAGAGGCTGCGGCAGTTACAGTGGCCCCGGCCTCGCCCACCCAGAGGCTGTCACTACGTGCTGTGTCACAGCCAACACACCCAACGGTTTTCTGGCCGAGACCACTTCTCCCCATTCCTCCCTGAGATCCAGAAAACTCCAGTCCAAATCCCTCTGAACACTATGGAAGGGCACCTTCCAGGTGCCTGAAGACACAACACAGGGCTCACAGGCTTGCCTATTATCCTCCCTGGGCCACCAGCACAACACGATCCCAGATCCCACCACTCCCTACAAACACACGGTGACATGACCTGTGCCCCTCTAGAGAGAATCAATACATCCACTCCATCCTTTCCCCTACATGGTGTATTCCCCCAGGCATCTTGGTCTACCTCCAAGGAGTGGTCCTCCCTAACCACAGACTCAGGATGCCATGGCCCTCCCCAGGTGTGGTGTCTTTGGGGACATCCAGATCTCCCTCCCTCCCTCTCTTTCTCCTTCCCTCCCTCCCTCCCTCCCTCGCTCCCTCGACACTAGCCCTACCAACTGTCCCCTGGGGCTGTGTGAAATTTGAATTCCCAAGGATTTGAAACATGGCAGAGACTTGGATGATGCCCCTGTCCCTACAGACTCACCTCCATTTGAAGCCATCCCCTCAGGCTGTCTGACAGTTTCCACAATGAGAAGAGTCCTCCCAGAGAGTGACCTGCCTCAACAGATTCTCCTGAGTTCAGGTAGGTCGGTGAAAATTTGAAAGTGAGTAGGTTTAGAACATAGGATCCCAGACATTCTGCAGAGGGGGAGGGGTGGCGCAGCAGGTACCGGTAGGGGTGGGGGACATTCTGTGAAGGGCTCCAGCCGGTAGGCAAGAACTGAGGTTTCCTTCCAGCCGGAGGGCAGCAGTGCAGACTGTGTGCGCCTCTTGAGGCAAATTTTAAGTTGTCCCTCTGGCTCACAGCACAAAGCTTCAACCTGCTGTCCCCTTTACTTCCATTCTTTGTCAACAGACCTACTTTGGTGTCTCTCAACCCATGCTTCTTCCCACTCGGGCTCTTTCCCACTCTTGATGAATCTCAACAGGGGCTACAGGTCCTGAATGCAATTTAGCACACTTCCTAAGAACCCTTGTGTTTGTCAGACGATCCACGTCTGGATCCTCTGCCTGCTTCAGGCAGAAACTTTTTGCTAGAAAGCCTCAGTCTGGGAAAGAGTGGCTGTGCGGCCAGAAAGCCTTTCATTCTGTTTGCCAGCATGTTGTGCTGGTACTAAATGTTTATTTTTTCATCTTTTAAATGATGTTAATTTAACCAAGCAATACTTTTGCATGGTTCCAGATTCAAATTGTGCACAGTGGAATAGGCAGTGACCAGTCTTCCTCCCACTTTCTTCCTGTCCACAACATTTTCTTTCCTGTAACAAACGAGCGTTCTGATTCTTTTTCCTCTTTCCAGAGATATAGTATACAATCAAAAGGATAAGGAAGCTATTTTTGCTGTCTGCAAATGCTTTCAGGTTTTTTTGGGTGAAAGGTATATTGCATATACATATATATATATGTATGCATATATATTTTTTTGAGACGGAGTTTCGCTGTTGATACCCAGGCTGGAGTGCAATGGGGCGATCTCGGCTCACCGCAACCCCCGCCTCCTGGGTTCAGGCAATTCTCCTGCCTCAGCCTCCTGAGTAGCTGGGATTACAGGCACGCGCCACCATGTTCAGCTAATTTTTTGTATTTTTGGTAGAGACGGGGTTTCACCGTGTCGATCAGGTTCGTCTCGATCTCTTGACCTCGTGATCCACCCACCTCGGCCTCCCAAGGTGCTGGGATTACAGGCATGAGCCACCGTGTCCGGCCCTCAGTTTTATTCTTTAGGGTGAAAATGGGATGGAAGATTGTGCCATGGCCCTAGAAACCTTGTTTAGTGTTCTGCTTTCCCTTTGCAGACTTACGGTAAAATGGGTGGCTTCTTTCTAGTACCCTTTGGCCTGCGTGCTGCCTTCGGTACCCACTTGCTGCGGCGTCCTCCTTGTATGTCTATTCTCTGTTACTCCACCAAAACCAGAAATAGACGTTTTATATAGCAGCTTATAGCTGTAGTTTCTTTTCAGAAATCTTGTTAGCTTATACATGTTAAGTAAGGACTAAGACATACTGGATGTTTTCTTCCAATCTCTGGTAGTATAGTGTATGTCAGGGTTCTTGGCTCGAGAAGGAGGATCTACGGTGCAAAGAAAGACCTCATCTTAATGTGGATTGGCGTAATTGCGAATGAGGGCGAAGTTCTTTGGCTAACACCTGTCCTAGCAAGTATTTCGTAAAAAATACTTTGACTTAGCGTTGAGAGGAAAACATGCAAGTAGTTGTTTGATGTATGTTCTTGTCAGTTCAAATATTAGTTAAATGATATAAAAGTGGAAAGCCTTCAAGTTTCTTTTTACCCTGTTTCTGCTACTCTATCTCTTTATAAGGCTCCCGTTTATTCCTTAACTGAAGGAAAATCTGCTTTGTACAAGGTTCTGTGCCTGATCCTCTCCATACCTGATCTTATCTCCTTCATCCCGTGAAGCAGAGGGTGTTTTCCCCAGGTTACAGATGAGGTTTCTGAGGTTTGGGACAGTCAGTCCTCTGTGCATATGGACTTGGCTGATCTATCATTAGGTTCTCCTGTTTCTATTTTAGACATCCTTCAGAATTCTAGAGATACTTTGGGTTTTTCTGGCTATAGACCTACAGCTGTGCTTCAGGGCTGTGAGGCCATTTCTCTTTCATGGGGCGTGTTTTGTAACCTCATGCCCATTTCAGTGCATGTTACTGTGTTGCTAACATGTTGAGTTGTTTCTCAGTGTAAATGAGGTCAGTTGTTGATGACTGCATATGACTGACATGATGTCCTGTGTCTTCATTACAGGCTCCCTACACGCCTTTCCTCACTGAATTATGTACCAGAATCTAAAGGTGCTGATTGACCCTGTTTCTTTTCAAGACAAGGACACTCTCAGCATCCACCACCTCATGCTGCCCTGTGCTCGGTAGGAATCAAATAGAAGTGTCTCACCTGTGCCAAGGAGGGAGGGTTGCTCAAGCCTGTGGGGGAGAGGAGGCATTTCCCGGTTCCAGCTCCCTCTGTGCCCTGCCTCCCACCCTAGCCCCCAGCTGACGTGAACCCCTCCTCAGGCTGCATGATGGGGCCCACATTGCTACATGGTAGCAGGGATGCTTGGTATGGAACCCTGTTGTAGAGCTGCAGCATGTGGGGTGTGGGCATGCCCCGTGGGGCCCCTTAGGGAGGTGCCGGGTGCTGAGGCAGGCTCAGCCTGCCGCCTCCTTCTCTGTTTGTCCCCCAGGCAGGCACTGCGCTGCCCTTCCCCCAGTGCCTCATCAGGAGGGCCTGGCCACACTTCGTAGCCTGACCCTCTTCCTCACGTAAGCAGGCCTAGTGTCTTGAATTTTTCTTTTGAGTCTAATCTCTTTCATACTCCTACCTCTACCATTCAGAGAAGAGTTGATTGATAAGAAAACACAGAGTGCAGTACCTCGGATGCAGTCTGCGATTGAACTTGAATGCGTGATCAGAGACCGCAAAACTATTCCCAGAAAGGTTTGAAATTTTACTCCTATTTTACATGGCACCGATCTAAACATTTAAGTCTTTGGGGTGTTTTCTTAATATAGAGAGCTTCCAGCAATGGCCTTTTTTCTTTTCTGCAGTGAGGGTGTGAATGACTTTGTACTAATCCAGCCTGACTAGTCTAGGGCTTGAGGTTCAAATAAACATTTAATATTCGTTTTTCTGCAGTTTAGAGGACTGGCTGCTCAGTGACCTTTCCCCTCCCTTTTCCTCGTAGTATCGTTTGAAAGAAATTGTGGTTATTCGTTAAGATCCAGAAGCTCTTAAAGATGTCAAGTCTTTGGAGAAGTATGTCATTTAAGTAAGATGGATGACTTGTCTGTTTTGGGTACAAATAGACTTTTCTTGAGAACAGTATTTTGATGGATAATCTTCAATAATGTACTCGTTGACTGCATTTAACAATAAGTGATATTTTACACTCTTCTTGGAATCAACATAAATTTGATGTAATTCTTTTTAAAATGTTTCAGGATCAGTGAATTTTTTACCTATCACCTATCATCTTCATTAACATCTTTTCCCTGAAGTACTTCTGTTTTCTTTTTTGAGGGAGAGTCTCTCACTCTGTCAACCAGGCTGGAGTGTAGTGGTGCATTGCCACAACCCCCACCTCCTCCTAGGTTCAAGCAATTCTTCTGCCTCAGCCTCTTGAGTATCTGGGACTACAGGCACTGCCACCACGACCAGCTAACTTTTGTATTTTTAGTAGAGGTGGAGTTTATCCATGTTCGCCAGGAAGTGACGAGTGCCCTCGCATTGGTTATAAATAGTCAAGGCACTCTCGTTGTGAGCCTCTTTCCACTCCATCTCTCCTGGAGTCTCACTTCCTGGCTACTTCATAATTTAAATGGTTGCTTTCTTGTTTTTTGAAATTTAGGTTTCTGATTACAAACAAAAGCTATGTATGTACATATATGCATATATCACTGTATGCATATTGGGTAGGTACCAGAAGTGGAATTTTTGAGTCAAAGTTTTAATTACGGTGTCAGTTGTCTTCCTAAACATGTTTATTTCATTATTTTCAAAAAACGAATAACATTTTTTATGATTATAGAAAAGAATTTTTTTTTATTTCATTGGTTATTTTCACGGGTAATATTTAAAATCGCTATTATAGAAAATATTAATTTCTGCATTTGGTTTTCAGTTGCTTGAGAATTCTAGAGAAATATGAGAAACTAAAAGTTAGATTGTAAATTCTGAAATTAGTGCCTGTTGTTATGCATAAAATAGGATTTTTTGTTTTGTTTTGTTTTGTTTGAGACAGGGTCTTATTGTGTCACCCAGGCTGGAGTGCAGTGATGTGATCTTGGCTCACTACGACCTCCATCTCCTGAGCTCGGGCACACCTCCCACTTCTGTCTCCCAGATAGCTGAGATTAGGCAGAGTAGTACAGCTTTTGTACAGATGGGGTTTTACCATGTTACCCAGGGCAGGCAAACTCCTGAGCTCAAGCAGTTTTCCTACCTCGGCCTCCTGAAGTGCTGGGATTACAGGTGTGGGCCACTGAAAACATTTTAAATAAATTACTTTAGTCACTTGAAATGAGATTAATGTAGGTAAATATCATGGCAAAACTAAACATTCCATAGTTTGCTTCAGACTGTTGTTCTCATGAGATCTCGTTTTCCCATCTACTGTGCCATCACCGTCCCTGCTGTAATCCTCAGTAGCATGACTGAAGCATGAAGAGTTCTGTTTACCTGATTCATCTGCTTCGTTGATAGTTAACCTCATGGTACTCTGAAATGGCTCTCACAAAGGTTACCTCTGAGGGATGAAGTTTATATTTCGGGTTCTGGGGTCCTTTTTCCGTTATGCTCAACTGTCTTGGTAGATCTTCATAAGAAACATTTTTTCTTACAATACAAGTCACTGGTTTTAAGCGTATTTATAGAATTGTACAACCATCAGCAGAGTTTTAGAACATTTTCATCATCCCAGAAAGACACCTAGTGTTCATTAGCACTCACACCATTTTCCCCTCGATCACTGACCAGTTCCCGGCATCCACCAACCTATTTGCTATCTCTGGACATTTCATATTAGTGGAGTCGTACAATTTGTAACTTTTATGTCTGGCATATTTCAGCTAGCATAATGTTTTACATTACTTTACGTTGTAGCATGTATGAGTGCTTTAGTCCTTCATATTGCTAAATATTTCATTGCATGTGTCTACAGTATTCTTTTTTCCATTCATGGTTGATGGACACTTGAACTGTTCTTACTTTCTGGCTGATGGGAGTAATGTTGCTGTGGACATATGTTTTTGTGAACATAGGTTTTCATTTCTCATTTTTGTTTCCTCTTGTGCACTAACTATAGGAATTGAATGTTCAAAAAGTTACACCGTCTACAGATAAAAACAAGTACGGCATTTGGCTAAGGTCAGAACCGGATCACATGGTCCTGGGGAAGCGTCTGAAGGGAGCCTTTAAGGCAGTGATGACGTCCATCAAGCAGCTGAGCAGTGAGGAGCTGGAGCAGTTCCAAAAGACTGGTAGGTGTCTACACAGACAAGTGCGCACCGTTCATGTCCTCAGGCTGAGGGATATTTTGTATTTACCTCATTGTTTGAGTTTAAAATTGCCTCCTTTGCTTTTATTTTCTTTTTTTTTGAGACGGAATCACACTCTGTCACCCAGCCTGGAGTACAGTGGCGCAATCTTAGCTCACTGCAACCTCTGCATTCCTTATACTGGAGTGAGGATAAAGGGCTGAGCACCACTGCTCAGCAAGGCCAGGCATCTGGGAAATGTTAACAGTCTATCTGCCTGTCCTAAGTTGGGTATTTTGATACTGGCAAGCGTGAGTCAATGTAGCATTTACACTAGTTAGGTTTTTAACTGATTTGAACTGGTCTCCTCATGAGCCTGAATTCTTCGTCTCTATAAGCTTGAGTCCTTGGCATGCTCACTGACTATTGTCTTAGATTTTAAAAATAAAACAAGATGGCTGAGTGTGGTGGCTCACGCCTATAATCCCAGCACTTTGGGAGGCCGAGGCGGGTGGATCATGAGGTCAAGAGATGGAGACCATCCTGGTCAACATGGTGAAACCCCGTCTCTAATAAAAATACAAAAAAAAAAAAAACATTAGCTGGGCATCGTGGTGCATGCCCGTAATTCCAGCTACTCAGGAGGCTGAGGCAGGAGAATTGCCTGAACCCAGGAGGGGGAGGTTGCGGTCAGCCGAGATCACGCCATTGCACTCCAGCCTGGGTAACAAGAATTAAACTTTGTCTCAAAAAAAAAAAAAAAAAAAAATACTTCTCAATGCCTTGGGGGCCGAGAAGTCCAAGATCAAGGTGCTGGCTGATTCGATTTCCGGTTAGAGTTCTCATTCTGGCTTGCGGATGGCCACCTTGCCATGACCTCATATGGTGGAGAGAGTGAATGGCCTCCCTGGTGTATCTTCTTATAAGGGCACTAATTCTATCAGATTATGGCTCCACCTTTATGACCTCATTTGACCTTAATTACCTTCTTAAAGACCCTGTCTATAAATATAGTTACACTGGGGGTTAGGCTTTATATTAGTCGGTTCTCACGCTGCTAGTAAAGACATACCAGGAACTGGGTGATTTATAAAGAAAAGGGGTTTAATAGACTCATAGTTTCACATGGCTGGTGAGGCCTCACAATCATGGCAAAAGGCAAATGAGGAGCAAAGTTATGTCTTAAATGGTGGCAGGCAAGAGAGCTTTTTCAGCAGATCTTTCATTTATAAAACCGTCTGATCTGAGACTACTACAAGAACCATATGGAGGAAACCGCCCCCATGATTCAATTATCTTCAACCTGCCCTGCCCTTGACAAGTGGGAATTACTACAATTCAAGGTGAGATTTGGTGGGGACACAGACAAACCATATCGGGCTTCAATATGTGACTTGAGGGTACAAAATTGAGAGCTGCCCTGGGATCCTGAATGGTCTACAGCAGCCCAGAGGTGGCTGAGGATGTGGCTGAAGCATTTCCTTGCAGGGGCCACAATACCAGAGTGAGGTACCAGATCTGTACCCCGTTTAAAAATCCAGCATGTGCCATGGTATATTGCTGGCACTTGGCAAATATTTATTGAAAGAAGCTGTTGTGCATCTTCTTTTTGCATGTGTAATAGGAGTGTCCCTTCTTCAGAAGTCACCCTTTCTCGAACATTCTCCGAATATCAGCTCCAGATCTGTAGTAAGTCCATTTGAGTCTTCAGTAAATGCTGATATGTTTTTTCTCTTTTTCTTTGAGATGGAATCGCACTCTTGATGCCCAGGCTGGAGTACTCTGGCTCAATCTCAGTGCAACCTTCATCGCCCAGGGTGAAGTGATTCTCCTTCCTCAGCCTACTGAGTAGCTGGGATTACAGGCCTGCATCCCCATGCCTGGCTAATTTTTTTGTTTTTAGTAGAGAGAGGGTTTCACCATGTTGGCCATGCTAGTCTTGAACTCCTGACCTCAGATGATCTGCCCACTTTAGCTTCCCAAGGTGCTGGGGTTACAGGCATGAGGCACCACACGCAGCCAGCGCTAGTGTGTTCTGAGAAATCCATCCTGGTGGCTGTTTGTTGTGTTTTTCTCTGAATAGCTTTATTGCTTCAGGCCTCTCTGTGGTTACCTATGGCTTCCACCTTTCCTCCTACTGCTGTTCTTTTCCTATGCTACTTTGCTTTAAACATCCTTATGATCAACTAGAGCTGGCTCCAGGACAGCACAGACTCCAAACTCTGGCCCAGATTTGTTTTCTGCCTCAGAAATATGTGTTGTTACAGCTGTAGATAGCCATCAAGATGTCGCCTAGCTCATACAGGCAGGTCTGCTCTCAGAGGTTCCACTGGGAGAATGTAACAGTGTTCTGGAGCTTGATCGTCTCCTGTCATAGTGATCTCTGAAAAGGTCTTGCTACTCACCTGAGCACTTAGATCAAATCCTCCAGTGGCCTCTGAGAAGGTGTTGCTGGTTTGTGAGGGAGAAGCGATGGGAGAGAATGGGAGAAAGAGAAGTTGCTAAGAAGTGAAATAAGAAGGAAAGAGGAGGCTGGGCGTGGTGGTTCACGCCTATAATCCCAGCACTTTGGGAGGCCGAGGCAGGTGGATCACGAGGTCAAGAGATCGAGACCATCCTGGTCAACGAGGTGAAACGCCGTCTCTACTAAAAATACAAAAAAATTAGCTGGGCATGGTGGTGCGCGCCTGTAGTCCCAGATACTCGGCAGACTGAGGCAGGAGAATTGCTTGAACCCAGAAGGCGGACGTTGCGGTCAGCCGAGATCAGGCCATTGCACTTTTGTCTGGGTAACAACAGCGAAACTCTGTCTTAAAAAAAAAAAAAAAAAAAAAAAAGAAGGAAAGAGGAAAGATACTACAATTTAAATTAACTCAGGGCCGGGCATGGTGGCTCATGCCTGTAATCCTAGCATTTTGGGAGGCCGCAGTGGGTGAATTGACGGATGAGACCAGCCTGGACAACATGTGAAACCCTGTCTGTGCTAAAAATGCAAAAAATTAGCAGTGAGTCACGATCACACCACTTCACCCCAGCCAGAGTGAGACTCTGTCTCCAAGGAAAAAAAAAAAAAAAAATTAATTCAACTCAAACTGGAGTATGCATCTGAATCACCTACAATGTTTGTTACGCACAGATTGCTGCGCCCCTCCCCTGAGTTTTAGTTTAGTTTAGTTTTTTTGAGACAGAGTCTCTGTTTCCCAGGCTGGAATTCAGTGGCTTGGTCTCGGCTCCAACTCTGCCTTCCGGGTTCAAGGGATTCTCCTGTGTCAGCCTCCTGAGTAGCAGGGGCCACAGGTGTGTGCCACCACGCCTGGCTAATTTTTTGTATTTTTAGTAGAGACACTGTTTTACTGTGTTAGCCAGGACGGTCTTGATCTTCTGACTTTGTCATCCATCTGCCTCTATCTCCCAAAGTGCTTAGATTGCAGGTGTGAGCCACCACGCTCGGCCTCCGCTGAGTTTTTGATTCAGTAGATTTGTGATGGGGACCAAGCATCTTCACTTCTTTTTTGAGATAGATTCTCACTCTGTCGCCCATGCTGGAGTGCAGTGGCATGATCTCAGCTCACTGCAACCTCTGACTCTTGGGTTGAAGCAATTCTCCTGCCTCAGCTTCCTGGGTAGCTGGGATTATAGGCGCTTGCCACCACACCCAGCTAATTTTTGTATTTTTAGTAGAGATGGGGTTTTACCATATTGGCCAGGCTGGCCTTGAACTCTTGACCTTAAGTGATCCGCCTGCCTCAGCCTCTCAAAATGCTGGGATTACAGGCGTGAGCCACTGCGCTTGGGCACATTCTTGTGTCTAACAAATTTCCAGGTGATGCTGATACTGCTGGTCAGAGGACCACACTTTGAGAACCACTGACCTAACCCCCAAACTGGTTGAAGATGATGCACTCCATCCCAGTATAATATTTTTCTCTTCATGATGGGTAGGCAGATCTGCTCTTTCCAAAATATCCTTGCAGCCAGCAGCCAGACCCATCTGTTTGTTCATACAGTAGCAAGATGTCCAACAACTCTCTAAGGAACTTAATGAGCAACTTGGATCCAATTCTTCATTGTCTGTCAGAGGAAAGGCATCCATGCTTGGTAATGAGCCTTTGGTGGCTCTAACAGGCTCTGTGGCCAGAACAAAGCGCCTTGTCATCTCCCTGAATGATGGAGCCTTTTTTATGGTGTTGGACAGAAAACCTAGTGAGTCACATTCTCCAAATAGCACAAACTCATACCCAGTGAACCAGGGGGAGCAATGAGTGGTCTTTCTACTCTCAGAAGGCTGTTTCCATCTTGGTGGTGTGGAGAGGGTGTGTGTCCCACAGTATGCAAAGGCCTGGGACTTGATGGCCACTGCTTTCTCTCACATCTCTCATCAGCATGTTGTGGACACCTGCAGAGTCCTACACTGAACCAAGCATACTGGGGGGTGGGGGCATCAATGATGAAATGCATCCAGAATCCGCTTCAAAGTTAAGCCTGTGACACAGCTCCAGAGTACATTCAGAGTGAAGGCTCAGGAAATGTCAGCCATGATTTTTTTTTTTTAAGAGACAAAAATCTGGCTCTGTCACCCAGGCTGGAGTTCAGTGGCGCAATCTCAGCTCACTGCAACTTCTGCCTCCAGGGTTCAAGCCATTCTTGTGCCTTAGCCTCTTCAGTAGTTGGGATTACAGGCATACTTCACCTCACCCAGCTGATTTTTGTATTTTTTAATTTTTTTTTAATAGAGACGGGGTTTCACCATGTTGACCAGGCTGATCTTGAACTTCTAGCTTCAAGTGATCTTCCTGCCTGGGCATCGCAAGGTGCTGGTATTACAGGTATGAGGCACGGTACTCTGCCAACTCTTATGGGCCTGATTAAGAAGAGCGTCCCATTCATAGCCTGGGATAGAACTCTTTCGTGATACAATTCACAACTCCTTCTGGGAGGACATTAGCATTCCTGATAAATGCTGAAGCAATTTTCTGATAAACTTTAACAAGATTAAAACCTCTCTGGGGAAATTAGCTCCCCAAACACTTGGGTGATTATCACACTTTCTTTGTCTTGTATTCAGTTTAATAATGATTATCCAACCATTCTCTTTTCCTTTGAAATATCCTTAACAAAAGGGAAGTATTGACTTGGCTTTGTGACAAGCTTAAAATAAAACTTCGACACATGCTTATAACAAATTTTTGTGGGGAAAAAAAATAGTCATTATGGAGACAGGACATAAAAATAGTAGCTAACACTTATTAAGTACTTACTGCTTGTCAGATGTCATATTAAATGCCCAACAACTCTTTATAATGAATTGGGTTAAAATGCCTCTGGTTTTTTTTTTTTGAGATGGAGTCTAGCTCTGTCACCCAGGCTGGACTGCAGTGGTGTGGCTCATTGCAACCTCTGTCAGTGAGCCTTCAGGTTCAAGCGATTCTCCTGCCTCAGCCTCCTGAGTAGCTGTGATTACAGGCACCTGCCACCGTGCCTGGCTAATTTTTAGTAGAGACAGGGTTTCACCATGTTGGCCAGGCTGGTCTCGAACTCCTGACTTCATGATCCACTCGCCCCGGCCTCCCAAAGTGCTGGGATTACAGGTGTGAGCCACCGCGCTCAGCCAGTATTTCTCTTTGACTTAAAAGATGCTGATATGGTTTGGATATTTGTCCCCTCCAAGTCTCATGGTGAAATATATCCTGAATGTTGGACATGGAGCCTGGTGGGAATCTGGGTCATGGGGATGGATCCCTCTGAAGTGGCTTGATGCTCTCCCCATTGTAACAAGTGAGTTCTTGCTCTGTTAGTTCACAAGAGAGCCGATTGTTAAAGGAGCCTGCACCTCCTCCTCTCCCTCTTTGCTCCCTTTCTTGCTATGTAATGCACCTGCTCTTTTTCTTTTTCGCCTTCTGCCACGATCAGAAGTTTCTGAGGCCTCACCAGAAGCCGAGCAGATGCTGGTGCCATGCTTGTATGGCCTGCAGAACTGTCCACTAAACGTCTTTTCTTTACAGATTGCCCAGTCTCAGGTATATCTTTATAGGAAAGCAGAATGGACTAATACAAATGCTAAGAGAGGCTGAGTGATTTGCTCAAGATCAGAAAGCCAGTGATGGGTAGAGCCAGGTTTTGGATCCAGGCCTGGCTGAGTCCCCAGCGTAGCTAGCTACAGCTGCATTCTTGTGCTTTGCTGGGGGAATTGCAGCAGGAGATAAAGAGTGAGATAATCTGCCTGGCATGGTGGTTCACACCTATAATCCCAGCATTTTGGGAGGCCAAGGCGACATCATCTGAGATGAGGAGTTCGAGACTAGCCTGGCCAACATGGCAAAACCCTGTCTCTACCAAAGATACAAAAATGAGCCAGGTGTGGTGGCACACGCCTGTAATCCCAGCTACTTGGGAGTCTGAGGCAGGAGAATTGCTTGAACCTGCGAGGCGGAGGTTGTGGTAAGCTGAGATTTTGCACCATTGCACTCCAGTCTGGGCAATAGAGTGAGACTCTGTCCCTGTCCCCCGAAAATGTGGGATAGTTCCTGAGAAAGGGGCAGGTATAGGGCTGTGGAATCACAGAGCAGGGAGAATGTTCTCCCAGGTAGAGCGCTTGGGAATGGGACGTGGGGGAAAAGATAGTCTACTGCAGAAGAGGAAGTGGGGGAGGGACTGATGGAGACTTAGCAGGACATGCCAGGAGCAGCTGGAGGTTGGGCAGAGGCACAGCAAAGGCCCAGGCACATGTGAAGGCGGTTGTTGAGTTTAATCACAGCTATGGGGTCGATCCTTCGTCCTGTGAACAGTATGAGCCCTGCAATCCAGTGTTGTGGACCCTACGTGCTGCTACTTGGACTTTTTGAATTACTCTGGATTCAGAGAGCACAGCAGCCCGGTTTCATCACTTACTGGCTGTGTGACTCTGAGCCAGAGGTTTCCTCATCTGAAAACTGGGGGTAATGATAGTAGCATCTCCCTCATAGGATTGCTGTGAGGATTCAATGAGATAAACCTTAAATTAGCACATGCCTGGCAACTACCAAGGGCTCCATGGAAAGGTGAGATATTACTGCTTTACTGTGTAATTGAATTCCTGGTGGCATTATAACATTATTTTTCAGGAGACTTGTGAAAAAATCAACTTTTCATAAAAAAATACTTTTAGACTTTAAAAAGTCACAAAAGTAGCACAAAGAATTCCTTAAAATCTTTCACCAATATTACAAATATACACAGAAAGAAACCCAAATATATACGTAGACATATATATGCACACATAAAGATATAACAGGTATATACATATTTCCCCCTGAACTCTTTGTGAGTCAAGTGCAGACTTGTTGGCCCTTTACCCCTAAATACTTCAGTGTGCATTCTTTAAAAGCAAGGACATTCTCCTATATACAATTATAGCATAATTGTACAACATAGTACAATTATCAAAATCCTGAAATTAACATCCGTACAATACTATTATCTAATGATCAGACCATATTCAGATTATGTCAGTTTTCCCACAATGTCCTATATAGCAAAAGAAAGTCTCCACTCACGTCTTGCATTCATTTTCCCTGTCTCTGAAGTCTCCTTAAGTTGGTAACATTTCCCCAGCCTTTCTGTGTATCTCACAACCTTGAGATTTTTTAAGAGTGAAGGCTAATCACGTTGTAGAAAGTTCCTCTTTGGGTTAGATTGGTGTTTCCTCACAGTTTGATCTAGGTCGGGCATTTTGGGCAGGAACACCATAGTGACCTAGTCAGTGCAACACAGCCTTGTGCACGTTTTTGTTGACAACTTTATTTTTAAATTCTATTTATTTATTTACTTACTTTATTTCTTTCTTTTTTTTTTAAAGACGGGATTTCACCATGTTGGTCTTGCTGGTTTTGAACTCCCGACCTCAGGTGATCCGCCCACCTTGGCCTCCAAAGTGCTTGGATTACAGGGGTGAGCCACTACACCTGGCCTATTTATTTATTTTTGAGATAGAGTCTCTGTTGCCCAGGCTGGAGTGTTATGGCATGATCTCGGCTCACTGCAACCTCCACCTCCAGGCAATTCTCCTGCCTCAGCCTCCTGAGAAGCTGGGAGTACAGGTGCCTGCCACTACACCTGGCTAATTTTTGTATTTTTAGTAGAGACAGCGTTTCACTGTGTTGACCAGGCTGGGCTTGAACTCCTGACCTCGAGTGATCCAACTGCCTTGGCCTCCCAAAGTGCTAGGATTACAGGTGTGAGCCACTGCGTCTGGCCCTTTGACAACTTTAAAATAGGGTTTCCAGATGGGAGGAGGAAGATAATTACTGAACCACTTGCATGTGGTATCAAGTCCTTCAGGTATAAGCTATCTACTATCTCTGCATTAACCTTGCACTTATTTAGTAACTTAAATGTCCCTTGCATGTGTCTTTATCAGTGTACCCTGTGTGTTTAGAATTATTAGACTATGTGTGTTTATCAATACCCTTAAGGACTATATAAACGTGAATCTCACAAACTCTGAGTCTGTACATCAGTGTGCCTAGGAACTTCCAGGGTTCATGCGACATTCCCAGGCATGGCCAAAAGATGGCGCTGCAGGCTGCACTTTGAAAGCAGTTTACTTTCTGGAGAAACCTGGGCTTTGGTGAATTCAGGATTATTTCTACGAGGAGCACTTGATACCGCCTCTTTCCTCCTGGGAATCGGGCCTTTCACCACTGCTATCTTTTTATCACTTCATGGTGACTTTTCTGGATGCCCCATGACCTCCCAGGAGTTGGAATTCACTTTGTGATGAAAAAGTAATTGTGGTTTTGGAAAAAAAAACAGAGATTCACTTTTCAATTCCTAAGCCAGAGATGATCACTCCTCAAGGTAAAGAGAACACTCCCCAGTTTTCTGAAGAGCAAACCAAGAACTATTAAAGTAGTAGTAGGCCTGGCACAGTGGCTCATGCCTGTAATCCCAGCACTTTAGGAGCCGAAGCAGAAGAATCACTCAAGCCCAGGAGTTCCAGACCAGCCTGGGAAACATAGCAAGACCACATTTCTACAAAAACTAAAATTAGCTGGGGATGGTATGTGCCTGTAGTCCAAGCTACCTGGGAGGCTGAGGTGGGAGGATCGCTTGAGCCCAGCAGGTAGAGGTTGCAGTGAGCCAAGACTGTGCTATTGCATTCCAGCCTAGGTGACAGAGAGAGAGCCCCTGTCTAAAAAACAAAATAATAAAACAAAGAGCAGCCACCATTCTTAGGGCTAAGGTAAAGTTCCCCCCTCAACTCCCTACCTTCATTCTTGCAAGGCTGAGATCCAGACTTTGTTGCAGAGGGCACAGCTGTGGTTCCCTGGATGGCAGAGAAGCCATGTGGTCTTTGCTGGTAGAATCTGCTAGAAATCTGTTCTCTGGAACTTGCAAGAAAACTGTCCTCTATGGCATGAGAGAATGAGAGAAAGTCATTCACAGAGAGGTTTCTTACTGGAGGCACTCTGCTACAAAATTTCCAAAGGCGGGGACACTGGGGAAAGTTGCTGGCCTTGTGGTGCTGCTGGCTGCTGTGCACTGCAGGATCGGCATCCTGGAGTAGCTGCCTGCATAGTAGGAGGCTGCTAAGTGACCACACCTGAATCAGGAAAAGGTGGGCTCCTGGAAAAACCCTTGAAAAGGGATTAAACTTGTCTAATTTGTCCATTTTGCACTTTGATCTTCTCTCTTTTTTTTTTTTTTACTGGACAACAGCATCCCTCGGGAGCATGAGGAAGAAGGCGACATTCTCAGGATGGTGGAGAGAGAAGCTAGGAGACTGGATATGTGATGTCCCACTGGTGCTCCCCTGTTAACTCTGATCTGCCTTTCTTCCTATTCCTCATTAAAAAAAACAATCTCTGTCTTGACTGGGGCACTTTTATTTATTTTTGGTTCCCTGCAGTTGAATTTAATTCCCACTGATAGAACTGTGTCTAGTGCAAAGACTCATCTGGGTATGATTGTCATGAGATCACTTTAGCCAATAAACAGAAATTATGTGAAATCTTTTTTGTGTGTGTGTGTGACAATCTCACTCTGTTGCCCAGGCTGGAGTGTAGCGGTACAGTCATAGCTCACTGCAGCCTCGAACTCTTGGGCTCAAGCCAGCCTCTCACCTCAGCCACCCAAAGTGCTGGGATTATAGATAGAAGGTACTACGTCCAGCCAAAAATCACTTTTCATAGTTTACACACATTGACTTTCTTAGATGACAGGCAAGTCATGATTATAAAAAAAAATATTTCTGAGCACTTTTTACCCAATATGTTTTTTTAAAGTTTGATATCTAACACCTGTACAAAAATGGACAGTCATATGTTGTACATCTCAAAGAATTTTCAGAAGTTGGACACAAACATGTAACCACCCAGATCAAGAAATGATATTATTCACACCCCGGAAGCACCCCCTCAATTACCCATTCAGTCAGCACTTATACAAAGGAAACTGCTTACTGACTTTTAATGACGTAGATAGTTTTGCCAATTTTTGAGTGTTACATAAGTGGCATCATATAGCATTTGGTTTTGGTGTCTGCCCTCTGTTAACATGTTTGTGAATTCCTTCATATCATTGCCCTGGGAAGACACGGGCCAAGCTCAAATCCTGAGGAACAGCTTGAGGGAAATGATGCATGTGAGATGAACAGGCATTGCTTTTCACTGGTGTATGCTGGGAAGAAGCAGTCCATGGCCAGGTTGAGTAGCTGCCAGCCCATCACATTCATCAGGAAGCTCATCTGCAACTCTGATACACAGAGCCAAGGTTCTGCGGCCAGAAGGATGGCTGAGATTCTCTAGACAATAACTCATTTGGACTCACAAACCTTTTGAATCATTGTAATGATCCTTTGGCACTTTGTGGAAAATGAGTTCTGTCCTCTGTACATAAAAAGGTGTGTTCAACCAAGTGTGGTGGCTTACCCTTGTAGTCCCAGGACTTTGGGAGGCCAAGCCAGGCAGATTACCTAAGGTCAGGAGTTTGAGACCAGCCTGGTCAACATGGAGAAACCCTGTTTCTACTAAAAATACAGAAATTAGCCGGGCATGGTTGCACTCACCTGGAATCCCAGCTACTTAGTAGGCTGAGGCAGGAGAATTGCTTGAACTCGGGAGGCAGAGGTTGCAGTGAGCTGAGATTGCACCACTGCACTCTGCCCTGGGTAACAGCAAGACTTTGTCTCAAAAAAGAAAAAAAAACCTTTGTGGTCAACTTAATATGGGCCAGCCCTTTGAGTTATATTCATTATAGTATATAGGAATGTTTTATGCATTTTTCTGGATGTCTGTAGTATTTCATAATAAAAACACATGCAAGGGACATTTAAGTTACTAAATGAAATAAGTTAATATATATAGAGTAAATTGCTTATTTGTTCTTCTGGTAGACTGCATTATTTGTTCAAAACATTTGCAGCCACTCCATCTCAGTCCTTCCTAGCAGGCTCTCCCTACAAGTCATCCTTGCTGGAGGATTCTATTTCCCATGACATTGACATTAGGTGCAGCCATGGGATTTACTTTAGCCAATGCAAGATGAGTGGGAGTGGCCTGTGGCACTCCAGAACAGAAACTTTCAGAGCAAGAGGATGGTTCTGCCACTTCTCTTTTCCCTCTGCCAGGATAATGTCAATGTTCCAGATAACAGTTGCTCCTGCAGTCTGAATCTCAGGATGACGAGGGCCTGGGGAAGAGCTACAGCTGATGTGTAATGTGAGTGAGAAATAGGCCATGGTGGTGGGAAGGTGCTAAGATCTTGGGGTTCTTTGTTCTGCAGCATAACCTGGTGAAATCTGACTGATAGGCACATGGAATGTTTTCACACCATAATAGCTAGTTAAAATAAATAGAAGAGTCCTCTGGGCTAATCCTGACTTCTGTAGATAAGGAGGTGAAGGGAAGATAATTAACAAACACCTAGCCTCGAATTTCTCTTTTGTAAAGGGACTTTGGAATTAACTTGAAAAATTGGGGTAGGGTGCACTCTGACTTGTACCCATATCAAAAATCAACTTTCTGCATGGTCAAGTATCAGAGAAATTTAAGCCCTCTAGCCTTTTTTTTTTTTTTTTTTTTATTAGAGTAAATAATTTTTGGCTGGGCACGGTGGCTCATGCTTTTAATCCCAGCACTTTGAGAGGCCGAGGCAGGTGGATCACCTGAGGTTGGGAGTTCAAGACCAGCCTGGCCAGAACCATGAAACCCTGTCTCTACCAGAAATACAAAATTAGCTGGGCATGGTGGCAGGTGCCTGTAATCCCAGCCACTTGGGAAGCTGAGTCAGGAGAATCACTTGAACCTGGGAGGTGGAACTGAGATCGCAACGTTACACTCTAGCCTGGGCAACAGAGGGAGACTGGTTTCAAAAAAAAGAAAAGATTAAATAATTTAAAAAATAGATATTTTTGTAAAAGACACACTGGGAGGAGGAGGTAAGAGTTACAACAAAAGAGTTAATAAGGTCTTGTTCAAGGAAAAGTGGAGTCATAAAGTACCTCCTGGACATTAGAAATACTGGTGCTTATGGGCTAGCCGCGGTGGCTCACACCTATAATCCCAGCACTTTGGGAGGCCGAGGTGGGTGGATCATGAGGTCAAGAGATCGAGACCATCCTGGTCAACAAGGTGAAACCTCGTCTCTACTAAAAATACAAAAATTAGCTTGGCATGGTGGTGTTTGCCTGTAGTTTCAGCTACTCAGGAGGCTGAGGCAGGAGAATTGTTTGAACCTAGGAGGCGGAGGTTGTGGTCAGCTGAGATCATGCCATTGCACTCCAGTTTGGGTAACAACAGCGAAACTCCGTCTCCAAAAAAAGAAATACTGGTGCTTACAAATTTGTTACAGGATCAGGAGACAGAATAAAAGGAACAAAATGGAAAGGAGAAAGTGAAATGTAAAACACTATAGGAAAAGCAAGGAAACTTTTAAAATACTATAATTTTTAAATTTTTAAGTTAAAAAAACTTTAAATTATTTTGTAGAGATGGGATCTCACTATGTTGGCCAGGCTGTTCTTAGACTCCTGGGTTCAAATGATCCACCACCTTGGCCTCTGAAAGTGCTGGGACTACAGGCATGAGATACCTCGCACGGTGAGAATACCGTATTTATATACAACTTGATAAACTCCCTGATGTTGCAGAGGAAGTGAAAAAGAACATCATTAAACCTGTAAAGCCTGGTTGCTGCTCACCTGAAGGCCACACAGAGTCACCCTTGTGAGATAGGACTGGCAGCATCTCTCTATCCTTGTGTTATGATTTGGAGGCACTGTGTTCTCTCCTCACCACATGTGTGTGTGTGTGTGTATATATATATATATATATATATACATTTTATTTTATTTTATTTTATTTTTTTTTAGATCGAGTCTTGCTATCACCCAGGCTGGAGTGCTGCAGTGGTACCATCTAGGCTCACTGCAACCTATGCCACCTGGGTTCCAGCAGTTCTCCTTCCTCAGCCTCCCGAGGAGCTGGGATTACAGGTATATGCCACCATACCCAGCTAATTTTGTATTTTTAGTAGGAGTGGGGTTTCTCTATGTTGGTTAGGCTGGTCTTGAACTCCCAACCTCAGTTGATCCTTCCGCCTTGGCCTCCCAAAATGCTGAGATTACAGGCATGAGCCACTGCCTTTTTTTTTTTTTTTTTTTTTTTGAGGCAGAGTGTAGCTCTTGTTGCCTAGGCTGGAGTGCAATGGTGTTATCTCTGCTCACTGCAACCTCTGCCTTTCAGTTCAAGCAATTCTCCTGCCTCAGCCTCCCAAGTAGCTGGGAATACTCAGGAAGTACTCGGGGTGCATGCCACCCCGGCCGGCTGATTTTCGTATTTTTAATAGAGATGGGGTTTCACCATGTTGGCCAGGATGATCTTGATGTCTTGACCTCATGATCTGCCCGCCTTGACCTCCCAAAGTGTTGTGATTACAGGCGTGAGCCACCGAACTGGGCAAATGTTATTTCTTAATTACAATAAATAATGCATGGATATATGTGCATAAGAAACAAAAGTCAACTAAGAAAGAATAGAGCAAAAAGCTTAAGTCCTCTGTATTAGTTCGCTAGGACTTACCTAACAAAATACCAGCTGGGTGGCTTAAAAAGGGAAATGTGTATTCTCAGAGTCCTAGAGCCTTGAGGTCTCTGATAAGAGCTTGACAGGTTGGGCTTTTTCTGAGGCCTCTCGCCTTGGTTTGTGGATGGCCACTCTCTTGCTGCCTCTTCACAAGACTGTACCTCTGTACACAAGTGCCCTGATGTTTCTGTGTGTGCCCAGATTTCCTTTTTTAAGAACATCATGTCCAGGCGTGGTGGCTCATGCCTGTAATCCCAGCGCGTTTGGAGGGAGGCAGGGGTTGGAGTGAACCGAGATTGCATTCGGACCTACCCTCGTGGCCCCATTTTAACTTAATCACCCCTCTAAAGGCCATAACTCCAAATACAATCACATTTGGAGGTACTGGGTTCTACGGATTTGACATTGAATTTGGGGGTACATAATTCAACCCATAACACCCCTTTTCTCCTGTTTCCCCTCAAGTCCCAGCCTCTTCCTGGAAGTAAGTGATGAACAAGGTGTGCTTGTAACATTGGTGGGGTAATCAAATAGAGGCTGGGAAGGTTTCTGTAAACCGAACTGACGAGCAGTTGAATAAAAATGTTCTGTCCTCCTATCTGGACAAATGTGCCTTTATAATGACGTGGAAAGTCAGATTTGGATTTAGAATATCTTGACTCTCCACTAGTTCCTTGCCAGAATGTGGCAGTAAGGCCTCCCTTTTCTTCCCATGCCCAGCTCTGTCTGCATCACAAAGGCCTCCTTATGCACATGTGTATGGAGACTCACATTCAGATTCCTCTACACCCTCCTCAAACAGCCACCTATTACTTATTGGTTGGGCCTAGCAGTGGTCATGATAGTGGTACGCTCCATCCTCAAGAGGACATACCTAGGGTGAGCCCCTCAAAGGCCCTGGAAAGGAATTCTAGGGTTCCAGGCGCATGAAGCCTGTTCTGGGAGGAGGGTGGTGGCTCTAGATGGGCATGTTCCTCTGGCATATCCCCTGTGGGATATGGTGCATCTAGAGGGAAACTGGAGCGGGTTTCTTCAAAATCAGAGCCCAAGGCAGGGATCCTCCTGACTTCTGTCTAAAGATGGTACTGCTATCACGTAGTTATTCGTGGGTACATTTCAGAGTCCTTTACATCAATTTCGTATAAAAATTCGAGTTCTAATTTCAAAATAAGATTTTTCTGTTAAAAAATGGATTCTCTATTTTTCTGCATTGTGCTTTTTAAAAATTATGTCTTGTAGATCTTTCTATGTCAGCATACATAGTTCCACTTTTTAACTATTGCATGATATTATACAGAAAAGAGGTGAGAAAAAGAATTATAAAAACGTGTTTACCACAATCAATGTTGGTCCTGTTGAAAAGTAACTTGATTTAAAACCAAAGTAAGCTTACAAAATGCAAATTACCAAAATTGACTCAAGAAGAAATAGAAAACCTAAACAAATTGGTAACTCTGGAATTAGTTGAGGAAGCCTTCCAAGAGGACTTCCTAGTTTCTTTCAATAAGGTAATTCCAAAGCTCATCAAACTTCCAGAGCATAGAGAGAAATAAGACAAACTGCCTTGTTGTTTTTATGAAGCTACAAATATGCAAACCTGACAAGATAGCAGAAAGAATTTCACAGGCTAAGTTTATGAATATTGAAGCAAAACTGTTCTATAAAATATTAATAAATGGAATCTAGTAGTATAGTAAGAGAATCACAAATTATAGTCAGATGGTGAGAGGTTGACACATAAAAATCAGTCGTATTTCTGTAACCTAGCAATGAACAATTGGAAACTGAAATTGATAATGCAGTGCCATGTATAATAGCTCCAAAAGATGCAGTGCTTAGGTATAAACCTAACAAGACATATGCAACATCTGTATGCTGCAAACTGTAACATGCTGGGAGATCAAAGACCCAAATAAAAAGAGAGACAAGCTGCATTTCACAGAGTGGATGACCAACACAGCAAAGATGACAGTCCTCTCAAACTTATTTCTGTGTTTCATATAATTCCTATCAAAGTTCCTGCAGGATATTTTGTAAATGAAGACAGGCATAGGAGGAACAGACTCACAAATCCAGGTAACAGAGGAGAGAGTCCAGAAATAGATCCACGCAAGAATGGGCAACTGATTCTTGAAAAAGTTTCAAAGGCAACTCCACAGAGAAAGAATAGTGCTCTTGACAAATATTGGTGGCACAATTGGACATCCATAGGTCAAAAAAGTAAACCTTCACCCCAACTGTACACTTACGCAAAAATTAACTCAAAATGGATCATGAGCTAAATATAAAATGCAAAACTATAAAACTTTTAGAAGAAAACGCAAAAGAAAACCTAGGTTTTGGTAAAGATTTCTTAGATATCACACCAAAAGCACAAGCCATGAAAGAAAAATAATAAGTTGAACTTTATCAAAATAAAAAACATGTAGTCTGTGAAAGGCCTTATTAAGGGAATGAAATGGCAAGCGACAAACTGGGAGAAAACATTTGCCAATTCATGTATCTGACAAAAAACTTGTATTGGAATATATATGTGCTTGTGCATGCACACGCGCGCGTGCACACACAAAATCTCTCTAGAGTGAACATTAAGATAAATAATCCAATGAGACAATGTGTAAAAGACTTGATTAGATAACTCACCAAATATGCTCAACATAATTAGCCCGTAGGATAATGTAGATTAAAGCCACAATGAGATACCATTACACTCCTATTAGGATGGCTAAAATTTAAAAAGAAAAAATGTAATACCAAATGCCAGTGAGTACACTTTTGTACAGCCTTGACTGTCAGAACCGTAGTAATGTTTCACATACCCAGTAAACAAACACATCATCAAAACCAACTGGGATATGTGGAGGAACCCCAAATGGCATATAAGCTATAGTGAATGAACCTGTGTCACAAATGAATGAGACAATCCCACTGAAGGGTGTGAGGAATAAAAGAACTAACCTAAGCAACTCTGGAGGACATCATTTTGACTGAATACTGTAAGGCTCAAGATAAAAAGAATTGCATGTGAATATTGTGCTCTGTTTAGTCTATGTGTGTACTAGGATTGAACAAAAAGGAAAGCAGATTGTGGATGAGAACCAGGGTTCTCCTTGTTCAGAAAAAAGTTAGAAATAAGGAAAGGGCTAGAATGAACCCTGTGTGGTGTTGGCTGAGGATCAGAAATATCAGTATGAACCTATGGTTTTAAACATATATACAGATGCAAAAATACAGAAATAAATATGGCTGTATGTGTATGCTCATTGGTATACACAGATCTTGGTTTCCAAATACCATTTTCCAATAAAAAGGACTAGAGCTCCTTGGAGATTGCAAGTCTTGGGCAGGGGAAGTAAAAGATACAACTGGCAAATATGACGCTAGAATGAGGAGGTGCTCAGAAAATCATGGGGCCTGATACGGTTAGGCTTTGTGTCCCCACTCAAATCTCATCTTGAATTGTGATCCCCATAATCCCCATGCGTCAAGGGAGAGACCAGGTGGAGGGAATTGAATTATGGGGGCAGTTTCCCCCATGCTGTTCTCATGATAGTGAGTGAGTTCTCACAAGACAAGACGGTTTTATAAGGAGCGCTTCCTGCTTCGCTCAGCACTTCCCCTTCCTGCCACCTTGTGAAGAGGTGTCTTGCTTCCTCTTTGCCTTCTGCCATGATTGTAAGTTTCTGGAGGCTTCCCCAGCCATGCCAAACTGAGCAATTAAACCTCTTTCCTTTATAAATTATCCAGTTTGGGGCAGTTGTTCATAGCAGTGTGAAAACAGATTAATACAGGGCCATAGCCAAAGGATGTAGGGGCCATTCTGAAGTCATTTCTAATGACGAAGTTAGGACTATTTGAGGAACAAAATGGATAAAGATTGGATTATAACCCTGTTCTATTTTCTCCCATAACCATTATTATTTCTTAACCTACTGTCTAATTAACTTTTGTTCTCATTTATTGCCTGTCTCTTCCCACACTAGAATGTAGGGTTTACAAAGCTGGGCATTTTTTGGGTCTGTTTTGTTTACTGATAAAATCCAAGCACAATGACAGCACTTGGCGTACAGTGATGGCTCAATAAATATTTGTGGAATGAACGGATTTTCTCTCCCCACTCCCAAGGGCACACAGATTGGGGAAACTGAATGTTCTAGTGGAAACAAAAAGAATTTCTCCGGACCGTTGGGCACCAAACATCATCGGCCATTACCATCTGATATTCTGCTTCAGCACATCTGAGACTCATACAGGTGCAGGAAAAGTCCCAAGGGAGCTTAGTCTGGAACATTCCTTCAAAAAAAGGGCTTGGCAACCTGGGAACCCATCTCCCGGGGAACACTTTTAAAGGTTTTCCTCTCAAAAGGATACTTGGAACAGCTGCGGTTATTTTGGAAACTCAGTGAGAAGCTGAATTCTGCATGGCTAACTTCAATCTTTATTTCAGCTAAAACCCTCCCGTTCTTGAGATGTTGACATTAGGTGCCCTTTTGTGAATATGGGAAAGGAAGCATGGATAAAGGGAAAGTAAGTGTATTCGTTTTCTTGGGCTTCCATAAAAATTACCACAAAGTAGGCCGGGCATGGTGGCTAACGCCTATAATCCCAGCACTTTGGGAGGCCGAGGTGGGTGGATCACAAGGTCAAGAGATTGAGACCATCCTGGTCAACAAGGTGAAACCCTGTCTCTACTAAAAATACAAAAATTAGCTGGGCATGGTGGTGCGTGCCTGTAGTCCCCCTACTCAGGAGGCTGAGGCAGGAGAATTGCTTGAACCCAGGAGGCGTAGGTTTCGGTGAGCTGAGATCCTGTCATTACACTCCAGTCTGGGTAACAACAGTGAAACTCCGTCTCAAAAAAAAAAAAAAACCACAAACTAGACCAGGCACAGTAGCTCACGCCTGTAATTTCAGCACTTTGGGAGGCTGAGGTAGGAGGATAGCTTGAGATCAGGAATTTGAGACCAGCCTGGGCAATACAGGAAGATACTATCTCTACAATACACTAAAAAATTAGCTACATGTGGTGGTACATGCCTGTAGTCCCAGCTACTCGGGAGGCTGAGGTGGGAGGACCACTTGAATGCAGGAGGTTGAGGCTGCTGTGAGTCATGATTGCACCAGTGTATTGCAGCCTGCTGGTCGACAGAGTGAGACCCTTTCTTAACTGCGCCCCTATCCCCACAAACTGGGTTACTTAAAACAACAAAAATGGATTGTCTCCCAGTCCTGAAGGCTAGAAGTCAGAAATCAAGGTGCCCACAGGCCATGCTCCCTTTGAGACTGGGTGGAATCCTTCCTTGCCTCCTATTAGCTTCCAGCAGCCTCACGCATCCGTAGGGTGGAAGCTGCATCAGGCCAGTCTCTGCCTCCAGCATCTCATAGTTGTCTTCACAACATCTCCCCTCTGTGTGTAGCTTGTCTGAGTCCACATTTTCCCTTTTTGTAACGACACAAGTCATATTGGATTAGCGCCCACCTTAATGATGTTATTTTGATTACCTCTGTCAAGAGCCTATTCCAAATAAGTTCACGTTTTGAGTTCTGGGGCTTAAAGGTTCGGCTTTATTTTATTTATTTATTTATTTGTTTATTTATTTATTGAGAGTCTTGCTCTGTCACCCAGGCTGGAGTGCAAACCAGACTGGTTTGATCTCAGCTCACTGCAAACTCCGCCTCCCGGGTTCAAGCAATTCTTCTGCCTCAGCCTCTGGAGTAGCTTGGATTCCAGGTACCCACCACCATGCCCTGCTAATTTTTATATTTTTAGAAGAGATGAGATTTCACAATGTTGACTAGCTGGTCTCAAACTCCTGACCTCAAATGATCCACTTGCCTCGGCCTCCCAAACTGCTGGGATTACAGGCATGAGCCACTGCTCCTGGCCGGCATATCTTCTTTGGGGGTACCACAACTGAATCCACAGTGAGAAGTAATTACAAATACTGGAGTGTTAGATCGACGGGGACTATTTCAGTTGAAACCACCCCACTCTCTACTCATTCTCTGCAAGACCTCAACCATGCCCAGGCTCTTCAGAAATGGGAAATTGTTAGGTAAACTCACCAAAATGTTAACTATAGCAAAGGTCACCTCAACCTGCCAGGGACTCCCTTCCCTTTGGCCCTTGATCACCCGGTGAAATGTAGACCCTCAAGGTCCTCTCTTACTTCACGCTGCCCTGTGTTTCCGCCCTCCTGAGCTAACATTTCATGGCTCATTTACCTCCCAAGTACCTTTCGAAGCCCCAGTGGACAGCTTAGAACCATCAGCAGTGAGAACAGGGAGAGATATCCTTTGCGGGCGGCTCTGCGATCTGAACAGGAGAAATTAAAATGAAACGTGGGGACTTCTGAGCATGCACAGAAGCGAAGCAGCAACGATCTGGAGATAATTAACAGCTGGCTATAAATTGAAGGAGCTATATGATAAAGGCCTAGGGCGGCCCATAACTGGGGAAAGATTGGAGCACTAGGTTAAGTGACAGGAGACTTGAAATCAAATCACTGGATACATATTAAGTGCCCAACTCAGTACTGCATTGAGCCGTGGGTGATACAAAGACATGTAATATCTATTTCCTGCCTTCAAGGCAATTATAATCTACTTAGGGAGGTTAGACATAAAACTAGGAGAAGTTAGATAGCAAAATATTTAAATGGCACTTCAAAATACCACATGATCAGTTGCCAATTGAACTATGGAGCTGAATTCTGAAGAAGGAGAGATTATTTGGTTATTTACGGTGTTAGGCACATATTTTCTTGCTGAGGGAAAGGAAGAGTTAACTGAGCAGGGCAAACTAGAAAGCCTCTCGGAGGGAAAGCAGGGGAGAAGCCTGATGTCCAGGGAGTGTGTTACTACTACTAATATCTTCCATTTGTTGAGCATTTACTGTAGATTCAGCAACTTACAAACCTTAATATACTTAAATGTATTCAACAGTCCTGTGGGTTACTATATTTTCTGTGCCAATTAAAACCAATACTAGCTCCTGTTTAATGTTTAAATCCCCAAGTCTTAATGACTGTGACAGGTTTATTTCTGCTCTTGTAAAGTTCAAATGCTGGAGTTGGGGATGGGAGAAGCTCTGCCCCATACAATCATTCAGGGACCAAGGCTGCTGCTGGAGGCTCTGCCATCTTCAATACATTTATCCCAAGTCACCTTGGGTGTCAACATATTGACATCCAGCTGGTCAATGGGGAGCCGGGGTAGGGGGGAAGGGGGGATCATACAGGTGATGTTTATGGCTTTGTCAGAACTTAGTCGCATAGCGGACAATTAATTGCAAGGGGTGCTAGGAAATGCAGTTCAACCATGTGTCTGCATGGAAAGAGAAATAGTTTGATGGACAGCCAGCTAGTGAGACTACTGTACATGTGTGATTTTTTCAGATGTGAAAACGGTCTCAGAGAGACCCATCAAGGTCACAGAGTGAGTAAAGGGAAATCACATAGGTATAGTTGATAGAGCACAAAATATGCGTGAATATATTATCTAAAATTACAAACATACCAATAGAGAAATCAAAAATATTATATTACATAATATTTTGAGACAGGAAAGGGAAATGGGGCAACAAGCTAAGTCCGTCCTCATGTACTCAGCAAATTTTTAGAAAATTGGTAAATGAAAAAAAATGTAGGAACATTACTTGAGATCTTGAGCTATTCATCAAAAGAACTAAAACCAGAAACAGTTAAGGCATTAAAAGTGGTCCCTTTGAGACCACTGCTTCTTATGATAAGCCCTTTTGCACATTTGATTTTTTTTTTAATGTGTGGCTAAATTGCTTTGATACTCATCTGTGATAGGTTGAACAATGGCCTCACCAAAGACATCCATGTCCTAATTCCCCGAACCTATAAATATGTTACCTTGCATGGCGAATGGACTTTGCAGGTGTGATTAAGTTAAGAGTTTTGCGATGGGGAGATTAGCATGCATTATGGGTGGGCTCAGTACAATCACAAGAGTCCTTATGAGAGAAAAGCAGAAGGATCAGAGTTAAAGAAGATGTAAGGCCAGAAGAAAGAGGTCAGGGAGGAGAGAAGATGCTCTGCGGCTGGTTTTGAAAATGAGGGAAGTGGCCACAGGCCAATGAATGTAGGCAGCCTCTAGGAGCTGAACAAAGAAGGGAACAGATTCTCCCTGAGAGCTTCCTGAAGGAATGCAGCCCTCTTGACCTCCCAAACTAAAAGATAATAAGCTTATGTGGATTAAGTTACTCAGTTTGTGGCTAATTTATAAGAGCAGCAATAGGAAATTAATACATTAAAAAATTTATTTAAAAATTGTATTTGTTTTTATTTTCTTTTTGTAGAGACAAGGACTCCCTATACCCAGGATGGTCTCAAACTCCTGGCCTCAAGCAGTCCTCCCATTTGGCCTGCCAGAATGCTGGGTGTGAGCCACTGTGTGTGGCCAGAGAAGTTACTTTTAAGGAGTGATATTTGCTTGCTTAAAATATCCAAATAATGCACAATGGTACAAGAAGGAAAATAAAAGTTTCCCAGCTTTACCAATGCTTCATTCCCACTCTCCAGAGGTAACTTCTGTTTCAGTATCTTAGGTAACCTCTTAGTGGTTTCCTGTACACATATAAGCATGCATGAGTGTGTCTGTATTTTTTTTTATACAAAATGTGTTTATTGAGATTGTTTCCCACTCATCTTGATTCAGAGTGCTTTTAGTGCTGCTTCCTCCTGAAAGAACATCCTCTGTAAGCCTTGCTTTTCCTCCTGTAGGCTGGCAGAGGACAGTGGAGCAGCCAACACACAAAAGTACTGTTTGTGCCTGGCTGAAGACTGTGGCGATATGACAACATCCTGGGCATTTCACATCCATGAAGTAGGAATTGGGGCTCTGCACCAGGCATTTCTTCTTGTTTTTCCTCTTCTCCTCTTCTGGAGTGGGATGAAGGAGATCCTTTGTGAGAGGCATGTTCTTGTGGATGGGTCATCACTGCTGGAAAGGACCATGCATGCATCTATATCTTTTTAAAGTAAAGAAGATAACACTGTACCTGCTGTTCTGCAGCCTCCTATTTCCACCTAATAATTCTTCACATTCTTCTCTGTCTGCACACATGCATGGGCCTCATTCTTTTCATTATTTTTAATGGCTGCATAGTTTTCCTTTGCATGGCTATATACCATAATTTAACTGCAAGTATCCTATTAAGGACCATAGAGGTTTCTTTCATTCTCATTTTGTTATTACTTTGCTATAACAAACAATGCAGACAATGCTCACTAAGGAAGCAGCTGTACACAATGTATATCTTGATATATTTGCATGAAAAAATCTAAAAAATGGTGCTTTGTTCATTGTGAGCCTAAGTAATCAAAGACACTATAAGGACTCTCATAAATACGGAATACCCTTCTGATAGATGCTTTTATTTTGAAGTATAACGTATGTACACACAAGTATATAGAGAGACAGATGTTCTCAAAGTGAGCTCACCAATGTAACCAGCACATGGATCAAGAAGCAAAACATTACTGAAACCCCAGAAGCCCCCTCGCTTCCTTTTCTAGTTACTATGCCCCCTTCCCACCTTGAAGCCTGACCACTTGTCTAACTTTTGCTTCCATGAATTAGTTTTGCCTTCTTTTGAGTTTTGTATCAATGGAATTGTGCCAGGCATCTTTCACTTAGCATCTGTTTGTGGGATTCACCCATGTTGTGGCGTGTGGTTTAGTTCATTCATGCTCATTGCTGTGTAATATTCCATTAAACAAATGTGAATGTGCCACCATTTATCCATCTACTGTTGATGAGTGTTCGGGTTATTTCCAGTTGGGGGCTATTATGAAAAGTGCTTTATGAACATACCTATATACATCTTCTGTTGAACATATGTGGGCATTTCTGTTGAGTAAATACCGAAAAGTGGAGTTCCTGGGTCAAGGGGCTCAGCATGCATGTTCAACTTTAGCAGATACATCTTGCCAAACTGTTTTCCAATGGTTGTACTACTTTGCACTCTAAATTTATAAGCAAATTTATAAATATTCTGTGGACTGAATGTTAATGTTTCAATTCATATATTTGTAGTGGGGAAGAACTGGAAGCCACCTGAATGCCTATCAATGGGGGATAGTTGAACAAACTGGGAAATAGTCATCCAAGGGAATATTATGCAATGCTTTTTTTTTTTGATTCAAGGTCTCACTATGTTGCCAAGGTTGGACTTGAACACCTGGGCTCAAATGATCCTCCTGCCTTAGCCTCCTGAGTAGCTGAGACTATAGCCGAAATTCAAATGTGGAAACCCTCATCCCCTATATGATGGTATATGGAGATGTGTCCTTTGGGAGGCAGTGAAGTCATGAGGATAGAGCACTCACGATGGGATTAGTGCCTTTATCAGAAGATACACAAGAGAACTTGCTTCCTTTCTCTCTACTCTCTTACGTGTAGATACCATGAGAAGATCTGCAAATCAGAAAGATTTTTGGTGCCTTTACCACACACCAGCTCTGCCAGCACCTTGATCTTGAACTTTCCAGCCTCTAGAACTGTCAGAAATAAATGTTGGTTGTTAGAGCCACCCAGTCTATGGCGATTTGTTATAAGCAGCCCAAACTGATGGTGACACATTCCCACCAAGGGCACACGTTTTCCATTTATTCCATGTTTTTGCCAACACTTTGTATCTGTGTTTTTTTATTTCAGCCATTTGATATTGACTCTCAACAGGGCACTGTGCAGGGGCAGTTCTTAGAGAAGTCCTTTTTTTTTTTTTTTTTTTTGAGATGGAGTCTTGCTCTGTCGCCCAGGCTGGAGTGCAGTGGTGCGATCTCGGCGCACTGCAACCTCTGCCTCCCGGGTGAGAACTACTTTTGATTGAACTGAAGGTTTTAGAAGGCTAGCTGGGGGGCAGAAGGGTGGGACTGAAAGCTGGGCTGGATGGGGTCTGGAGGATGCAGGTGATTGCTCTCGGCCGAACGCTCCACCCCAAGGTGAGATGGTGAGAACGTTCTTTTAAAAACAGCCCACCTGGCCCTGAGATTTCTCTGTTCTGTCTGTATTAATGTCCCCATGAGATCACTTGAGACAGAAGGAAAGCCTTCTCTAAGGGAAAGTAGAGAATTGAGCCCTAGATGCTATAGTGGCCCCAGGTGGGAAATCGTTTTCTTCTGGCCCATAAAGCAGCCGTCTGTTCTGCTGTGTTTTACTAACAGCGTTCCTCTGCCGGCTAGGAGAAGCAGGCCCAGTGGATGTGCTATGGGGGAATTTATGCATCAGACACTCCAGGAGCAGTCCCCAGGATGTCTCTACCTTTTCCCTGGCACACCAGCTGGGTGCAGTGCCCCAAATCCAGTTAGTCTGATAGGGACATCAAGCCTGAAGTTACGGGATAGGCTGGCATCTCACAAGAGAAGGCTGGACTAGAAACAGGACAATCGGGGATAGTCATCAAAGTTTTGGAGGCTGACATCCCCTAGGAATGTGAGAACATACGTCCTTTTAAAAATAGCCAGATGGCAGAAAAAGAAGAGGGCCCAGGTTTGAGCCTAAGAGACCTTCACAGAGCCCTGGGTCAGGAGCAGAGAGATGTCTAGAAGAAGCCAGGAAACAGCCTTTGGGAGCATAGCTGGAGGACTGTGGGGAGCAGCCGTGGTGTTATTTTTATTGGGTGAGGAGTCTGAGCTGCGGATGTGCTTCCCTGATGGGGATTTTTTTTTTAAGAGACGGATTTTGCTGTGTTGCTCAGGCTGGTCTTGAACTCCTGGGCTCAAGCAATCCTCCTGCCTCAGCCTTCCAAAGTGCTGGGATTATAGGTGTGAGCCACTGCTCCTGGGCCTGATGGGGAATTTAAATTCTTCAATGACAGCATTCTGAGGCCACTCATTAAATACCAGTCACCCACCAAGGTGTCAGCCAATGGGGATTTCATTCCTAGAGAAGACACACTGAAGAGGAAAACCTAAACCCTCTTCCTGCATCTGTGATACAAGATCGGTTCTGAAAGGCATTTGAAACCCTGTTGTGTAGATTCTGTTGGCTCCCAAGTTCAAAGTAGCCACCAACAAAGCAACTGCTATCGCCATCTATCGGGGAGGACTGTGCTGATGACCTTTCTGGCTCCCGATTTCCTCTGTAGATAATTGGTGACTTCTGATCATGGACATTCTGCCAATGGATGAAAATTTTTTTTCTAAGTTTAAAAGAAATTTTGTTTTTTGAGACGGAATCTCCCTCTGTCTCCCAGGCTGGAGTGCAGTGGTGTGACCTTGGCTTACTGCAACCTCTGCCTCCCAGGTTCAAGCACTTCTCCTGCTTCAGTCTCCCAAGTAGCTGGGATTACAGGTGCCCACCACCACACCCAGCAAATTTTTGTATTTTTTTAGTAGAGACAAGGTTTCACCACGTTGTCCAGGCTGGTCTCGAATTCCTGACCTTAGGTGATCCACTCATCTTGGCCTCCCAGAGTGCTGTGGTTACAGGCATGAGCCACCATGCCCAGCCTAAAAAAAATTTAAATGAAATTGTTATTTTGGAATAGTTTTAGATTTACAGAAAATGATTTAATAGTTTTAGATTTAAAAAACGAAACCGGACCAGCACTTTGGGAAGCCAAGGTGTGTGGATTGCTTGAGCCCAGGAGTTCAAGACCAGCCTGAGCAACATGCTGAAACCCAGCCTCTGCAGAGAGCTCAAAAACTAGCTGGGTGTGGTGGCAAGCACCTGTGGTCCTAGCTACCCGGGAGGCTGAGGTGGGAGGATTGCTTGAGCTGGGGGGTGGAGGTTGCAGTGAGCTGTGATCATACTATTGCACTCCAGCCTGGGTGACAGAGCAAGACCTTCTCTCAGTAAATAAATAAACCATAATTTTTTATTTCTTTACCAAAAAAATTTAAAAAATAATTTTGGATTTGTAAAGATCATAAAGAGAATTCCCATATATCTTGTCCCCAGTTCTCCTACTGTTGGCATCTTATATTAATATTATGTTTATCGCAACTATAATTGACATATTCTTATTAGCTCCATAACTTTATCCAAATTTTATTATTTTTCTCCCTAAAGTCTTTTTCATTTTCCAGGGTCCCACCCAGGATGCCACACTGCATTTAATCCTTGAGGCTCCTGAGGCTCCCCTGGGCTGTGCTAGTTTCTCACACTGTCCTTGCTTTTGATGATTTTTGACCGTTTTGAGGGGTTTTTGTAGAATGCCATTGCATTTGGGTTTGTCTGATGTTTTTCACTTTGAGTGTAGGAGGAAGACCGTCGAGTGCCATTCTCATCTCACCACGTCAGGGACACCTACTGGACTGAATATTTGTGTCCTGCCCAAATTCATATGTTGATATCTAAATCATCAGTAGGATAACATCTGGAGGTAGGGCCTGTGGGAGGTAATTAGGTCATGAAGGTGGAGCCCTCAAGAATAGAATTAGCACTGTTAAAATTAAAACTTTATTTAATTAATTTATTTTTATTTTTATTTTATTTTATTGAGATGGAGTGTTGCTCTGTTGCCTAGGTTGAAGTGCAGTGGTGTGATCTCATTCTCACTGTAAGCTCCGCCTCCTGAGTTCAAGTGATTCTCCTGCCTCAGCCTCCTGAGCAGCTGGGATTACAGAGGCACGCCACCATGCCTGGGTAATTTTTGTATTTTTAATGGAGACCAGGTTTTGCCATGTTGGCCAGGCTGGTCTCCAACGCCTGACCTCAAGCGATCTGCCCGCCTTGGGCTTCCAAAGTGCTGGGATTATAGGCGTGAGCCATGGCATCCAGCCAAAAGAAGAAATTTAGCGGAATTAAATTTAGACGAGTTTAACTGAACAAGAACAATTAGCGAATTGGCAGCCTCCCGAGCCACAGCAGGCTCAGCGAGTCCAGTGCAGCCATGTGGTGGTAGAAGATTTACGGACAGAAAAAGGAAAGCGATGTACAGAAAACGGAAGTGAGGTACAGAAACAGCCGGATTGGTTACAGCTCTACGTTTGCCTTAATTGAACGGTTTGAAGAGTTGGCCACCTTTGATTGGCCAGAACTCGGTGATTGGCACAAGAGTAGGGTATAGTCTGTTTACAACTCCATTTGGGTTATAGTTCACAATGTACAGAGGAATCTTTAGGTTGAACTCCTAAATATGTAAGGCAGCTTTAGGCCAACCTGGATGAAACAGCGCCATCAGAAGACAAGACCTGAGAGAGTTTGCTTTCCTCTCTTTGCTCTCCCCCATGTGAGGAGACAGTGGGAAGTCAGCAGCCTGCTACGCAGAGGAGGGCCCTCGATGGCCTTGCTGGCATCCCAATCCCGGACTTCCAGCCTCTGGAACTGTGAGAACAAAGGTTTGTGGTTTAAGTCCCTCAGTCTACGGTAATTTGTTACAGCAGCCTGAACTGAGATGCCTACTATCAACATGACTTATCACTGAGGATTTTAACCTTGATCAGCTGGCTAATGGAGTGTTTGTCAGGTTTCTCGATAAGTCTACTCCCCACCACTCTTCCATACTCTATTCTTTGGAAGCAAAGCCCATACTTAAGGGGTAGAAAGTTGTGCTCCCCACTTCTTGCAGGGCAGTATTTATATACATTACTTAGAATTTTTCTATATGGGAAATTTGCGCCTTCACCCTACAAGGGAGTTTTTCATTGAGACCTCACGTGATCTAGCAATATTGCAAAAATTGGCCACTTGACCTCAGCAAGGTGGCTGTATTAGTCTGTTTTCACAGTGCTATGAAGACACACCCAAGACTGCGTTGTTTATAAATGAAATAGGTTTAATTTACTCACAGTTTGGCATGGCTGGGAAGGCCTCAGGAAACTTACAATCATCACAGAAGGAGAAGGAGAAGAAAGTTACCTTCTTCACAGGGTGGCAGTAAGGAGAAGTGCTGAGCACAGGGGCAAAAGCCCCTTATGAAACCGTCAAATGTCGGCCGGGTGTGGTGGCTCATGCCTGTAATCCCAGCACTTTGGGAGGCAGAGGCAGGTGAATCACTTGAGGTCAGGAGTTCAAGAGCAGCCTGACCAACATGGTAAAACCCCGTCTCTACTAAAAAATACAGTTAGCTGGGTATGGTGGCAGATGTCTGTAATCCCAGCTACCCGGAGGCTGAGGCAAGAGAATTGCTTGAAGCCTGGGAGGCAGAGGTTGCAGTGAGCCAAGACTACACCACTACATTCCAGCCTGGGTGACAGAGCGAGACTCCATCTCAAAAAAACAAACAAAAAAAGCCCATCAAATCTTGTGAGAACTCACTCACTATTGCAAGAGCAGCGTGAGGGTAACCACCCCCATGATTTAATTACCTCCCACTGGGTCTGGCCCGTAATACGTGGGGATTATGGGAACTACAATTCAAAATGAGATTTGGGTGGGGACACAGCCAAACTATGTCAGTGATTGAATCATTTTGTCATGACTTAGCTTTTGAGAAATTTTCAGTTTTCTCTTCTGGGCTCCTGACCACTGGAGATTCTGAGGACCAACAATTCACATAGTGCTAGACGGAGGGGGAAGCTGGGCCACATTTGATCTATGGGCCAAATCCATTCGTGTGACAAATGTCTAACTGTGCACCTACAATGTGCCAGGTGCTGTTCTAGGGGGTTACATGGCAGTGAGAAAATTCTTACTCCCACAGAGTTTACTTGATCTTGCTACTCAAGGAAGAGCAGCATTGGAATTACCTGGGAGATGGTTAGATTCTCAGCTCCTCCCCAGACCGGCTGCATCAGAATCTGCATTTTAATAAGATGCTCAGGGGTTCATAGGCACATTAAAGTTTGAGAAGCCCTGCGCTAAGAGGTATTTCACAAACAAGATAGTTGAACATTAACTGAGTGTTGCAGTCTTAGATAGTTAAGACAAGGGGATCTTCTAAGTGTATGTTGATCCTGGTGTATGATAGAATACCTTAAAAATCAGTGGGGTTAATGAGAAAGTGAGATTATGTGTCCTGGTGTGGTCTGCATCTGATTAACCCGTGACCAGTTTGGAAGCTCAGCCTCAACTCTGTTTATTCTCCCAACCATTTGAGAACAATCAAATGTCCTTTAACAACCCCCCTTTCTGCCTATACTAACCAGAGTGGATGCTAAAGTTTGCAAGTAGGAAGCCTGATCAATAAAGGGTTTGTAGCACCAAGAGCAGATCTGAGAATGAAGCAGCTGGGGGCAGGAGGTGAGGGACCTTCAGGCCCTGACCAGGCCACAGTGACTAGGCCTCTGTGTCTCTGGCCTCACGCTGAGGCAGCATGTCTGGCCAGCAGCATGTCCAATGAGTGGAGGAACTGGGGAGGAGAAGACTCCTTGTGTGAAGTTAAAAACAGCATTGTCCACAAGGCCACTCGCACTTCTGACAGCAATTGCAAGTTTAGGAGTGGCCGAGACCACCCTTAAGTTTGAAAACTTGCCAGAAAGATTCACAGAACTCACTTAAAGCTGTTACACTCATGATTTTATTTTATTACAGCAAAAAGATACCAATTAAAATTAGCCAAGGGGCCGGGTGCAGTGGCTCACGCCTGTAATCCGAACATTTTGGGAGCCTGAGGCGGTTGGATCACCTGAGGTTGGGAGTTTGAGACCAGCCTGACCAACATGGAGAAACCCCCATCTTTACTAAAAATACAAAATTAGCTGGGAGTGGTGGTGCCATGCCCATAATCTCAGCTATTCGGGAGGCTGAGGCAGGAGAATCACTGGAACCTGGAAGGCGAAGGTTGTGGTGAGTCGAGATCAAGCCATTGTATTCCAGCCTGGGCAACAAGAGTGAAACTCCGTCTCAAAACAAACAAACAAAAAAATCAGCCAAGGGAAGAGTAACACAGGGCAGAGTCCACGAAAGTTCTAACATGGAGCCTCCGGCTGCCCTCTCACCCTGGAGTTGTGGACAGCATCATTTTTCTAGCATTGATGTGTGACAATATGCATGAAATATTGCCAACTAGGAGCACGCAGCCAAACCTTCTTTCCAAAACAAATGCAGTTATCTCAAGACCCTCTTCCTAGGAATCTCATCAAATAGCTAGGAAAGATTAAGCAGAGGAAAGACTCGGAGTAATCACCATGCCCAGACTTCTCCATCTCTCCTTTGAATGCAGCTCAAAGATTAGCTGGGGGACTTCATCTGCATAATAAGACAACCCTTGTTCATCGTGAAGTTCTGCCCCTCACCTTCCCACCATCTCCCGCAGCACTCATAGGAACGTCCTTCCAGGCTATTGTTCTTTGAACTCAGTCGTTTTTCCTGAGAATCATCTGGAAATCCCCAGCGTCTTTCTGGGGCTTGATCATGCCATCCTAGTTGGCTGTCCATGTGGCTGGGCTCGGTCTTCAGCATCTTCAGAGGTTAAGCTGATATGATGTGACCAAAAGCCCTACCATGGCTTCCCTCCTTAAGACTATCTGTCATGGACCAGTGCCCTCAGGAAAACAAAGACATTCTTACCAGGCAAGCATTCCAAGGACTTAGAGATTACCTTCCAGGTGCCACGGACAAAAGCCAGGTCTCTCTTTGAGCAAAGTTAAATTCTTTACTATGCCCTGCTTCACTCCACTACCGTGATGCCATGTGGACCCCTTAACATCCCTGTATGCCTAGGCACCACCTCAGGAGAAGGGGAAAGTCTGGGAAGAGGAGAAAGCGAGCAAATGCCAGTTTGCTAAATTAACTGAAGAGTCAGAGTGACTGGATTTGATTTCTGGGCATTTATCCTAAAATGTACCTGCACATAGATGAATTGGCGTATGAATATAGCTATTCACTGAAACATTTATAAAAGCAGAAGTTTCAAAACAACCCAAAGACTTGTAAGTAGGGATTGGTTAAATAAATTGTATATCTCACCAGGAGATCCTATGCATCTTTAAATGCATGAATGAGAAATCTTTTGTACATACGCAAATGTGGAATATTACGTAGCTTTGTTAAATCTTAAAAATCAAATGCAGAAGATCTCTGTGTACTAACAGGGAAATATCTTTTGGAGTTTTCCAGTGAAATAAGCGAAGTGCATTGGCTGTGCTACCCCTGCCTGTCTGATGGCTGGGGCCCAGTGCTACACTTAGTTTTGGGTTTGTTTTGTTTTCTTCTCCTGCCCTTCCCACACATGCAGACTTATTGATGCTATTGTTTGCCTAACCCCTTGATACTATACCCCGCAACTCTCATCTTTCAACCTGCTCAGACCTGTGGCTGACCCTGACCTTGTTACCTACATTGCCAGGATTTCTCCATGTTGCCGTCACTTACATCACAATATGGACTATCCTGGCATGCTAATGTCTTTTCTTCTAAGCTGCTTTTCTTCTAAGGAGCTACCTCTTGGGCTCCTTAGAAAGAAGAAATGCAGGCGGTGCAAGGTGGCTCATGCCTGTAATCCCAGCACATTGGGAGGCCAAGGTGGCAGGATCGCCTGAGGTCAGGAGTTCAAGACCAGCCTGGCCAACATGGTAAAACCCAGTCTTTACTAAAAACGCAAAAATTATATGGGTGTGGTGGTGGATACCAGTAATTCCAGCTACTCGGGAGGCTGAGGCTGGAGAATCACTTGAACCCGGGAGACGGAGGTTGCAGTGAGCTGAGATCAGGCCATTGTACTCCAGCTTGGGCAACAAGAGCAAAACTCTGTCTCGGAAAAAAAAAAAAAGGCTAAATTATAAACTTAAATTATCATGTGACCCAGCAATTCCATTCCTAGGTATAAACGCTAAAGAATTGAAAGCAGGGACTCAAACAGATGCTTGTATATCAGTGTTCACTGCAGCCCCAGGAAGTGACTACTACAATCATCGTCATCATTTCGTAGATGAGGACTTCAGGGGGAAAGTGACCTGCCCAAGGCCTAACAGCTAGTACCAGATGAAGCCTGAGCCCTTCACCAGTCTGCCGTAGGGATGGACAAAGGTGGCAAACAAATGAACAAAAGCAGAGAGGAGAGAGGAGGTGGGGCCATAGCTTCCCCTTCCACCAGCTGGGCAACACACATTGTCCCATCTTGGACCACATCTCTGTCACACACAGGGTAAATGGGACTATTCCCTGTGAATTAACTGCTAGCCTGAAGCACCATCCATCTGCTCATTAACACAATAAAAAAAATTATCAAAGGAGTCTTCTGACTCCCAGTCCCTGGGAGCCCAACTACACAACTTGGAAACAACTCTTCATTAAGTCTGATCAAAGGCTCATTGTTCAGTAATTAGAAATCATGGCCTCTCCCTCCAGGCTTGGGGCTCATAAACAACAGTTGGATGAGCTTTTTATTGGGTTGGACCAAAAACCTAGACAGATCCATTTCCTCCTAGTTTACACCTGCTTCAATGGGGGAAAGCAGCGGGAGGCTGAGTTTTGCTCCGAGAGATCATTGGCTCCCCTGGCAGGCAAGAAATGAGGGAGGGAGAGATGCTGAAGTGAGCCTCTGCCTGAGACAGGACAAGGGCCTTAGGGATGGAGCATCAGCACCAGGTCCAGGGCTAAGTGATGTACAGAATCCCTGGTTCTCTCATTGAGGTTCCCATAGCAGCAGCGATGAGAAAGGGCCTTGGAGACCACAGATGGGGCTGACTATCCAAAGACCCCTGAGGCCAGAAGAGGGTGGGCAGTGATGAGGTTCAGCTAGAATACCAGGTGATTCCTTCATCTCATCATTTAATAAATATTTATTGAGGACCTACTAAGTGCCAGCACTTTGCTAGGCATGGAGATCAGATGGCAAATAAAAAATACAGTGCCTGCTTGTAAAGATATCCAAGGTCGGTGGGGAGGGTGGTCCCTCCTGGAAGGGAAAGCAAAGTCCAGAGAGAGCACGCATGCATCTGGTGAAGATGGGGAGGGTGGAGGTGGAGGCCAGGCAGACTTCACCCCCAGAGCTGAGAACAGAAATGTCTTCCTTTTTCAAGAATCTCTGAGACGTGCTGCACAGCTGGAAATGCAACATGCAGACCCAGCTGTGGCCTCCAAGCTTCATCTTTCTTGTCCTCAATCTCTCATGTACTGGACGTTGGCACCCAAGAACAGGAAGTCCTAGGAAAAACAGGACAGGACAGGATGGTAAGGGCGTCCTCTACTCTGAAAAGATGCATCTGCGATTGAAAGGGAACCCATGTCTTGGGAAACACAAGCTCTGCCAGAATCCAGGTCAGTGCATGAATTGCGAGTGTGCCTCGGTCCCCAAGGTCTCCGTAAAGCACAGCTTTTCCCATCTGCCTTCTCTAAGGCAGTGATTGATCTGTCATTCCCCGAGCTGCTGCTGCCTGACAGGCCTCTCAGTGTCCTTTTTGTCACCTAAATTTTCTCTTCTTAACAAATAATGAAAAATTGTGAACTGCTAGGGTACACGCTCCTGCTCTTCTTATGCTTCTATCACCCAGAGGGGCAGGAATTCTGAACCAAAAGCCAAGTTCAGTTCTTTTTCACAGTGATCCATCCTTTTTTTTTTTGATGGTTTGACACCTGGGCAGAGTTGACCTCAAAATTCTAATGAATATGGTAATATATAACAAATCTAATTACTTTCCATGTGTCAAACATTGAGCTAGAAGCGATCACACTTGCCCTTTAATCATCAGAAAAGCCCAGTGACGTTTCTAGGTTCCTAATCATCCCCCCGTTTTTCATTCCCTTTAATGCCTATTATTTTCTGATGTTAACGATGTACCAGTCGCAGCGCAGCATCCCCTTCCTGCTAACGAGTCTGCCAACCCAGTTCATTTCACCTCAAAAGAGAGCCTGAAAGCTGGGAGCACAGATAGATCACAAAACGCTTGGTCAGAATAATAGTTTGAGCAGTGAAAAATCAGACATATTTCCTGATATTAAAATAGTTTTTAAGTTAAGCTTAAAAAAGAACCTTAAGTTAAAAAAATTTTTAAGTTTAAAAAAAGGGAAAGAAAAAAACAGTTATGAGCACTAGTAATACAACTGGGCAAAACAAACAAACAGACTTAAAATCCTCAAAACAAAAAGCACTAGAAATACACCAGAATTCAAACTGTGCTTGTAGTGAAGCAATAGGTTTACGAATAACTTTTTCTTTTATTTTTTGGAGACGAAGTCTCACTCTATTGCCGAGGCTTGAGTGCAGTGGCGTGATCTCGGCTCACTGCAATCTCTGCTGCCCAGGTTTGAGCAATTCTCCTGCCGCCTCCTGAGTAACTGGGATTACAGGCACCTGCCACCGTGCCTGGCTTTTTTTTTTTTTTTTTTTTTTTTGAGACAGAGTCTCACTCCGTCACCAGGCGTTAGGCTGGAGTGCAGTGGCGTGACCTCGGCTCACTGCAACCTCCACCTCCTGGTTTCAAGCAATTCTCCTGCCTCAGCCTCCCCAGGCGGACACCACCATGCCCAGCTAATTTTTTGGTATTTTTAGTAGAGATGGGGTTTTAGCATCTTGGCCAGGCTGGTCTTGAACTCCTGAACTTGTGATCCACCCACTTTGGCCTCCCAAAGTTCTGGGATTACAGACGTGAGCCACTGTGCCTGGCCTATGAATAATTTTTTAAAATGTATATAGCCTTGGCTGGACACGGTGGCTCATGCCTGTAATCTCAGCACTTTGGGAGGCCGATGCAAACGGATCAGTTGAAGCCAGGAGTTTGAGACCAGCCTGGCCAGCATTGTGAAGCCTCATCTCTACCAAAAATACACACACACACACACACACACACACACACATAGTTTGGAGTGGTGGCAGGAGCCTGTAGTTCCAGCTAATTCAGAGGCTCCAGCACAAGAATCTCTTGAACCTGAGAGGCAGAGGTTGCAGTGAGCCAAGATTGTGCCACTGCACTCCAGCCTGGGTGACAGAGCGAGACTCTGTCTAAAAGAAAACAAGATGTATATATGGTAGTAGTACTTGTTTAAGGGGGAGGCATGCCAAACATGTATTTATAATAACGTCTTCAACCTAAAAATTTAGAAGAAAACTTAAAACTTACAAATGGTTTCAGAACCTGACCTAATGCTATGTCTAGGACTTACGGTATTTTCTTTTTGATGGAGTCTTGCTCTGTTGCCCAGGCTGGAGTGCAATCGTGTGATCTCAGCTCACTGCAACCTCCACCTCCCAGATTTAAGCAATTCTCCTGTTTCAGCCTCCCAAGTAGCTGGGATTACAGTTGCCCAGCACAAAGCTTAATTTTTGCATTTTTAGTAGAGACAGGTTTCACCACGTTTGGCCAGGCTGGTCTTGAACTCCTGATCTCAGGTGATCCACCTCCTCAGCCTCCCAAAGTGCTGGGATTACAGGCGTGAGGCACTGCTCCCAAACTGCAGTATGTTCAAAACGAGCTGGTCTTGAGCTTCCCTCACGCCCCTCATGGTGGGGGTGAGAGGTGGTGGTGGCACAGGGCTGTGTCAAATGCCGCCTGCACCGGCAGAGGGGCCACTTCTGAAGGGCACATGGATGGCTTTGTGGTATATGGCAAGGCCCAGGAGCACCTGTTCTGCCCCGGCCAGACTTTTTCAGCTGCAGGGCTGGGCGAGGTGTCACCCGTGAGTCATAGCCTCTGAAGCTAGGATGTGAACCACCTGCCCCCTGACATATCCTCAGAGCCCCCTGAACCCGCTGACCTTATGGATCTGGAGCCCAAGGTCGTAGAGCTGAACCTGCTTCAGCAGGGGGAGGTGGAAGCCTTCGGCCAACTTATCTGGAGGTTGAAGCACAACATTGAGAGAGATTGGTGAATATGTAATAACTAGAGACGGATTTTTACTGAAAATGTTGTTCTCTGCAAACTCTATATTCAGTGTATTCCCATTTAAGGATTACCAAGACTATGAGGTAGGTGTGATTATTCTTTCCATTTTACAGATAAGGAAACTGAGGCAAAGAGTGGCCAAGTAACTTGTTCTGGGTCACACAGGAAGTGACAGAACTGGGATTTGAACCCAGGGAGGGTGACTTGGGAACCTAAGCTGCCAGGCATGGTGCTGTCTGGAGAAAGCACACGTTCATAATAAGTTAAGGAACGGGGCATCCACTCCCTGCCCTTTGCCCTGTCCTGCTCTCTGTTGCAGCCAAAAGAAGCAACGCTTCATGGAAACAGGGTTTAAGTCTTTTGCTTTCTTCTCTGACTGGGCAGTTGGGCAATTGACTGAGAGACGTGAGATCAGAGGCGGCTGCCTTGTGCCTTGTATATTAACTTGGTCCTCAGTCTTTCGCCTGCCTCTTCAGGCTATGGGGCATTTCCATGTTGCCCTCTTTCCCGCTTATAAGGTGGTTTCCCATGCCCCAAAGAGCTGTCCCAGCCCCCAACCCTCATTAGAGCCCTAGAGGGCGATGAGGCCAACTTCAGTGATTCCATGTCACAGGTAGGCTGCTAAGCTCAGAGAGAAGTGACTTGCCCATGGTCACACAGCCCCCAGGAGAGCCCTGTTTTCCAAGTCTGACTCTCTTTCCTCCAATGTCCACTTTTGACTTGGCAAAATCCACAGTGATTCTTACCGTTGAACCTGGGGTAGAGGTTGTTGAGGATGTAGTAGTTGAGGATCGCTTCCAACAGCTCTGCCTGGAGGAGAGCAGGAGAGGCACACTGCACATCGCCACGAGGCCACCCTGGGGCGGGGTGGCTCTGTGTGTGCCAACATAGCAAAACGCTTGGAAAAAGCCAACTGTTAATACCTCATGCTACTATTTTATAAGATAAAACTCTTTTGAGATGAACGTTTAGTATGCAAGTAAATAGAAAAAGTTTAGGAAGTTACACACCCAGCTGTCTTTCCTCTAAAGAAAGAGCATCAACATTTGACTTGTCCTTAGCCTTATCGTTAGTATTCAATTTTATTCACAGTGAGAATGTTTTTCCTGAACTACTTGCATAATTTAAAAAATTTTAATAAAAACAAAATAAGGATTTCTACCAAAATCATGAAACACAACTTTTAACCCCCACTATCTGCCAGGCAGAGAACTCAGAGCTTTATGTGTATGTCTGATTCAATCTTCACCACAACCCCTCAAAGTTCATATTAATGTCCCCATTTCACATATCAGGAAACTGAGGCCCACAGAATGAAAGGGACTTACAAGAAACTGGGCGGCAGCATGAGGACTTGAATGTAAATTTATCTGAGTCTGTAGTTCTTGTTTTCACATTTCATGTTCTGAAAACCCGATAGGGTGGATTTTTGTGAGACTTTTGACTTCCATGTTTTACTTTGCAGTAAACGTGCACAGTAGAATAGGAGTGCGCCACTGCTCACTCCACCCTTTATCTTCTGAAAGGAGTCATCCTCAGTGTCCCTGTGTCTCTCCCCACAGCTTCTGTGTTTGTTTCCGTTTCATAAATGCTTCGGGAAGGTCTGGGAGGCAGGGCACGGGTGGAGGTGCACATTAAAGTCTACCTGGTTCCTCCTTCCCTCTTTCCAGAAAGCTCTTCTCACCACTTCAGCTCACACTGATCTTCACATTCTCTTTTCTCCTTTTATTTTATTAAAAAAATTTTTGAGACAGAATTTCCTTCTTGTTGCCTAGGCTGGAATGCAGGGGTGTGATCTTGGCTCACTGCAATCTCTGCCTCCTGGGTTCAAGCGATTCTCCTGGCTCAGCCTCCTCAGTAGCTGAGATTACAGGTGACTGCCACCACACCCGGCTAATATTTTTGGATTTTTAGTAGAGATAGGGCTTCACTGTGTTGGCCAGGCTGGTCTCAGTCTCGAACTCCTGACTTTGTGTTCTGCCCACCTTGGCCTCCCAAAATGCTGGGTTTACAGGTGTGAGCCACCTGGTTGCTTTCCTCCTTTTATATGGGACCATCTACTTCACCACTTTTTCTACCTTGTGGAAATTACTTCTTGCTTTTACCTGCCCAGCACTCAATTCCTCTTGTTTTGATAACAGTTTACTTCCCCCCAGGGAACAACCCTCCTCGCCAATCTTAGTCCATAGGATTTGGATGTAGCTGACTGCAAATCCTGCCTCCTGGAGTGTAGATGAGATCCACACTGGGCTAACTGGGCTTGCCCAACTTCTGGCCACAGTGCTTGGCTTAAGACTGGGTGCCTAAGATTAATCCAATGAGAGCTAGCACAGGGATTTTAAAAAAATTTTTGTTAATTTTTTTTTAAAGAAATCGAAACTGTAGGAAACTCTGGGGCTTGCCACCAATTGGAAGAGGTGCCTGAGAGTGAAATGGACACAAATGAAAACAGAACAGAGAGATGGAGAGAGATTCTTGATGCACTAATTTGAACACCTGGATCCAGCTATGCCTGAAACCTCTGGTCTTCAGATATTTTTGTTTATTTTTACTTTTCAGTTATATAATCCTATATATTTCTCCTCGTTGTGTAAGATGATTTCCATTGGCTTTCTGTCTCTTGCAGTTAAAAGAATTCTGTCCAGTAGATGACTTAAGTATATACTGTTTTATATTAGGATATAACTGTTCTTTGGCCCTGTGTCTTGTGTTTTCAAGACCTTCTACACTTCTCCAGGGCAAAAATCAACTCTTCTCCTTTTGTATTTCCTATTATAGGTGCCATAGCAATTGCTTAGGAAACACCCCAAATTAATTAACATTCTAATCGTGTCGTCAATAAAAACAACAACTTACATTGAATACTCCAGCTTTGGATTCTTTCAGTTCCACTTTTAACCTATAATGAATCAGAGAAGAGTCAGAGGTGTGGGCTTGATGCAAGTCTAAGCAATATGGGGGTCCCCAGAAGTGAGAAAGGATGGGCTTGAGAAGGCAGAGGGTTGAAGGCGGGGTGGGAGCAGGAGTGGAAAAGATGACTGAGTATCTAAAAGCAGTTATTCAATGATATTGGGAAGACTGTCAGAGGGCGATGGGGTAGTGTCAAAAAGCTGACTCTGTCATTTCAGGAAGTTAATATAGCTGGCGACTAAAATTCACAGATTAAGAAGTAACAGTCTCAGTGAATTCTTTAACAATTTGAAATTTATGGGGGCAGGACCAGTGGGGCAGAAGAGTTAGGCCAACTGGGGTGAAATGTAAGTGTCATTTCCAAATGGTGTCCCCCCCCCACCGCCCTGCCACCAGTTACAGAGAAGCAGCTACAGTATATAGATGGAGCCCAGCTGGGCACCCCCTTGTGGGCAGGAGGCCAACTTACTTTCCTGGCTTCAGGAACCCAGTGATCTTGCTGGTGTTGAAGGTCAAGATGGCGGACACATTAGTGGCCTGGAAATGCCGGTAGAAGGAAGCAGGTGTAAGTGATGGAGGTTGTATGTATAGGAAGGGTGATGACGAGGGACCAGCTGTCTCCTCTCAACAAACAGCTCAGTGAGCTAAAGCAGGTAATCTGCCCACTAGATTATAAACTCTCAGAAGGCTCGCTGTAGGTGCTTAATCAATATTTGAACTTGGACTTGAGCATTTTTATTTGAAATTGTTGTCCATGATAGCAGTTAAACTTTGAACAGACTACTAAGAGAAGGTATAGAGTACCTACCCCTGGAAAGCTCTAAAAAGGATCATTTCTAGTTACCTCAGGTCAAGATTCAGCCCTAGTAACAACAATAATAATAAACTATCATCATTATTTTAGCATCTCTCAAAAAGTGAGTGCAATCATGGCTCACTGCAGCCTTGAACTCCTGGGTTCAAGTGATCCTCCCATGTCACCCTCCTAAGTAGCTAGGACTACAGGTGTATGCCATTATGCCCAGCTATTTTTTTTCTTTTTTGTAGCAATAGAGTCTTGCTATGTTGCCCAGGCTGGTCTCAAACTCCTGGCCTCATGCGATTCTTCTGCCTGGACCTCCCAAAGTACTGAGATTATAGGTGTGAGCCATCACACCCAGACGATAAATTATATTTTAATTTAAAATATATTAATAAAGACACTTTTGATAATAACAATATTAAATTGCAGATATAGCATCTAGGAAGAATTATCCTGTCAGATTTGACTTTTTTTTTAATTTTTAATTTTTCTTCTTTGAGATGGAGTTTCACTCTTGTTACCCAGGCTGCAGTGCAATGGTGCCATCTCAGCTCACTGCAACTTCTGTCTCCTGGGTTCAAGCGATTATCCTACCTCAGCCTCCCCAGTAGCTAGAATTACAGGTGTGCACCACCATACCCAGCTAACTTTTTGTATTTTTAGTAGAGACGGGGTTGCACCATGTTGGCCAGTCTGGTCTCGAACTCGTGACCTCAGTTGATCCACCCGCCTCTGCCTCCCAAAGTGCTGGGATTACAGGTGTGAGCCACCAAGCCCAGCCAGATTTGACTTGTTGGTTTCAAAAGTCAAGAAACAAGAGAGCAGATTTCTTCATCCAGCGAGTAGGGCCCCCAAAGGACTCAGCATCTCCTCCCTATTAGACAGAGCCCATCGAAAAAGGAAAACTCACTCTCAATGTTTAATGCAGAGGGAATTTAATACAGGGAATTGGTTATACAAGTGATGGAATTGTTGAGAAGCTAGTAAAGCATTGGTGAGCCTACCCGGAGATTAGCAGAGACAGGAAGCTGTATCCACCCCAGGACTAGAGGAACAAATGGTTGAGTTGGAATTATGGAAGTCACCATGGAGGAGACATAGTCACAGCCTGAGCCTCTGCCTGCCGCAAAGAAAGAGGAAAAAATACCCTGGCTTCATCTTTCCTCCCCGCCTCCAGCCTCCTGACAGTACCTCCCATTGGTACTGTCTGATTTCCTGGGTGGAAATCAGAGTGCAAGGAAGCAGGGGAAATGTAGTCTTCCAAGGTCAAATATAGACAAAGAACAGAGCAAATAAGCAAAGACCGGTATACCTTCCTCCCTACAATAGCCCAGACCCACGTAGTGAGAGATACATGCGTTAACCAAATACACCTGCAGACAGCTACAAAGTACCTTTGTAGTAAACACTCAGAAAAAGATAATGGAATGTTAAGAAAAAAGTAGCAAGGGGTGTAAGGTAGATTGGGGGTAAGAGCCAGCAAGAAAGTCCTCTCTCGAGAGGTAGAATTTAAATTGAGAACTGGAGGAATTATCTAGGTGGTGAGTGGGGAGAAAGCATGTGAGGAAAAGGGAACAGCATTTGCAAAGGCTCTGAACCTTACCACACTGAGCCGGAAGACAAGCTCCTTGCTGGAGCTGGGCGGGAGTACAAAGGCGTCTATCTCCATATAGGGCTCCACAGACAGATTCCCAGGGCTGAAATTCAGGAGCGGGGCAGAGGTCACTGATCCCTGGAGCTCCAAGTTCATGTTGGGGTAGAGCCTGGCTAACTGGGAGCAGAATTAGGAGATTACATCAAGAGAAGAAAATACGTAAGTCTGCTGGAGAGGCCTGTGGGAGTCAGATCAAGCTGGGAATTGCTTTTGGCTGATTTTATTTCCCACAAAATTCTCTGTGCCTTTTTCTCTTAACTGCACCACTGGCCAGCTCTCCATGTCAGACACAGTCTGCACCATTATTTCACAGCTGCATTGTATTCCACTGTATATGGTCCTGCAATGGATTAAACTCTATTGGGCATCAAGTTGTCTCCAAGGTTTTGCCATTATAATGACCACCTCCTTGTGAGTGCCCTTGGTTATTATTTTCAGGAAAACATTCCTAGAGGAGGAATTGCTGAGTTGAAGGGCAGCAATGATTTTTTTTTTTTTTGAAATGGAGTTTCCCTCTTGTCACCCAGGCTGGAGTACAACGGCACCATCTTGGCTCACTGCAACCTCTGCCTCCTGGGTTCAAGCGATTCTCCTTCCTCAGCCTCCCAAGTAGCTGGGATTACAGGCACGTGCCACCATAGCAGGGTAATTTTGTATTTTAAGTAGAGACGGGGTTTTACCATGCTGGCCAGACTGCTCTCGAACTTCTGACCTCAGGTGATCTGCCCTCCTCGGCCTCCCAAAGTGCTGGGATTACAGGCATGAGCCACCGCACCTGGCCAGCAATGCTTTTAAAGCTTTCAGCTGATATTGCCAAATTGTCCTTTCAAAAAGTTGGGCCCATTTTTTCTCCCTCCCTACCTCTCCTGAGGCTGTGGGGGAGCCCTGCTGATTCTCCATCCCCCCATTACACTCTGCTAATTGGGCATGCAGAGGTCAGAAGCCAGTGTTTTTGAACACAGCTGGATTCCATCATTTGTTTTTAAAAATATTTAATTTTCTCTTATTTTAATGTGATATTCCACAGAACATTTCTGTGTTCTTTTAAAACTTTCTTTCTAAAATAGAGACAGGGTCTTTCTATGCTGCCCAGGTTGCTCTTGAACTCCTGGCCTCAAGCAATCCTCCTGCTTTGGCCTCTCAGAGTGCTAGGATTATAGGCGTAGTCACCACAGGCAGCCCTAGATCCCACCATTTCAAAAGTGCTCTTAAGCTTCTGTGTAACTAGAGATAGATAGGTACAGAGTTTTATTTGGGGCAAGACTCTTCATTTTTAGGAGGATATTGGTGGGAAAACGATACTCCCATGAGCCTTTTGGTTACATAAACCTAAAACCTACATCCTCTTCCAGAAGGGAGACATTTGGAAGGCTGAGGGGGTAAAATGCTTCACCCAGCAGGGAGGCAGAGTTGCCTTTCCAAGCATTTTGGATAAGATACTGAACCTGTATATACGCGGAATATCATCAGAAAGGTATGCATAATCTGTAATATTGGCAAACTTGAGATGGGAACTGGGCGTTAGGGGACAGGAGTGAATGTGAGACTCTATTCTATAACCTTTTAGATCTTTTGAATGTTGAACCATGAGAATTTGTTATCCAGCCAATATATATATATATATATATATATATATATTTTTTTTTTTTTTTTTTTTAGACAAAGTCTCACTCTGTCCCCAGGCTGGAGTGCAGTGGTGTGATCTCAGCTCACTGCAACCTTCACCTCTTGTGCTCAAACGATTCTCCTTCCTCAGCCTCCCGAGTAGCTGGCTCTGCAGGCTGGTGCCACCACCATGTCTGGCTAATTTTTGTGTTTTTAGCAGAGACGGGGTTTCAGTATTGAAATTGGTCAGGCTGGTCTTGAACTCCTGACCTCGTGATCCAACTGCCTCACCTTTCAAAGTGCTGGGATTACAGGCATGAGCCACTGTGCCCAGCCCAAAAACTAATATTTTTAATGATTATTTTAGAGACAGGGTCTCACTCTGTTGCCCAGGCTGGAGTGCAGTGGTGCAATCACAGCTCAGTGCAGCCTCAACCTCCCAGGCTCAGGTGATCCTCCCACCTCAGCCTCCCTGGTGGCTGAGGCTTGAGCTTCTGTGCCACCACGCTGGGCTAATTTTTGTATTTTTTGTAGAGTTGGGGTTTTGTTATGTTGCTCAGGCTGATCTTCAACTCCTGGGCTCAAGCAATCTGCCCACCTTGGCCTCCCACAATGCTGGGATTACAGGCATAAGCCACCATGCCTGGCCAAAAAGTAATTTTTTAAAGCACCAAGAACATGCCTGGAGCCTAGGAAGCCCTCTATAATTGTTAGCTCCTATTCATAAGGGTACTTTTCTCTTTTTTTTTGAGATGAAGTCTCGCTCTGTCACCCAGGCTGGAGTGCAGTGGCATGATCTTGGCTCACTGCAACCTCTGCCTCCCAAGTTCAAGCGAATCTCCTGTCTCAGCCTCCCTGCTAGCTGGGACTACAGGCGCACATCACCACGCCCAGCTAATTTTGTGTATTTTAGTAGAGACAAGTTTTCATAATGTTGGCCAGGATGGTCTTGATCTCCTGACCTTCTGATCCACCTGCCTTGGCCTCCAAAAGTGCTGAGTACATTTTATGGAATATGCCAGCATTCCTTGGGATTCTTAGATAACACCAATAAAAGATTAGACAAGCTGTGGTTCCACAAAATGTGGGGCTCGGCCTCTGTTATTTGGGCTTTAAAGGGAGCAGTACCCCAGCCTTCAGTGGGAGTCTCATCCCAGCCCTCTGAGTCTTGGCCAAGCTGAGAGAAATGCAGAGGTTTTAAAGAGAAACCTCTGGAATCTAATGGGGTCAGTCTGCACTCATGGGGAACTCAGGGACCCCTTACCCGTGGGACGAAGGGTCGGAAGGACTTGGTGGTCAGTCGGATATCAGAGTCGGGCGGTATCTGCAGCAAAGAGACACGAAGAAGTGTTAGGGTGCTCCTGCTGGAGCTGAACGTCTAAAGAGGACTGGGGAGGCGCCGGGGTGTGCAAGCCTGTCGCTTCTCCACGGCCTGGGTTACCCTGGCAGGGCTGAGATGCCTGTCCTGCATTCACCCAAGCAGAGCACATGGGTGCCCAGCGTCCTGCCTGCTCTCCCAGGGGTGGAGCTGAGGTGTGGGTCCCACTCAGAGGGTCTGCAAGGGTGAAGTTTGCTGTCACACAGACCTGGGTTTGTGTCCTGATTTTTGATCTCGGCCCAGCCCTTTCATCTCCCTGAACCTCAACTTCCTCATCCATAAAATGGGGATAACAATAGCCCCCACCTTCAAGTCACTGTGAGGGCTAAATGAACATCTAGCATGAGGCCCAGCACGTGGTGAGTCCCCCATGAAACGTGGCTGTTATCATCCCACGGAAAGAGAGGCCTGTGCTGCAGGTGGGATGGGTAAATCAAAAACCATGCCACAAGCCAAGGCCTGTGCAGGTGTGGGAGGCCATTTGAAGGACAAAACTATCAGAGAGTCTGATAGTTTTCTCTCCATCTATCAGAGAGTCCCTGATGGACACCAGGGTAGTCTGGGCCGTTCGATCCCAGCCACACGGTTGCTCTCACTCTCCTGATGTTGTTCATGAGGCCTCAACTTTGATGAAGTGCTTCAAGAAACAACTTTTTGAAACCCGGAAGTATTAGATAAACTGGAGACCCATTAAAGCATGACCCGCTATAACATTCAGTCCTCCCTACACAAAGCCACATTGGAAACAGTTGTTTTGGGGGTGTGAGAAAGACCGTTTCTCCCTTTCAGTATGAATCATGAAATCATACATCCTTTTCACTTTAGCTACAAGGAAGCTCCCTGATAGGTTTGAGATGTTAAAGAAATTAATTTCTGGGCTCAGTGTCTTCATAATTGTGCTTTATTTTTCAATTGGTCTTTGTTTCCTTTTCTCTGAAACTAAATTCATTTATCAGTGCATGTATTATCCTGCCTCATTCACTGAAATATATATATATATATATATTGGAGATGGAATCTCACTCTGTTGCCCAGGCTGCAGTGCAATGTGAGATCCTGGCTCATTGCAACCTCCGCCTCCTGGGGTTAAGAGATTCTCCTGCCTCAGCCTCCCATGTAGCTGGGATTACAGGCATATGCCGCCATGCCCTGAAAATTTGTGTATTTTTAGTAGAGACAGGGTTTTGCTATGTTGTCCAGGATGGTCTTAAACTCCTGACCTCAGGTGATCTGCTCACCTCGGCCTCCCAAAGTGTTAGGATTACAGGTGTGAATCACTGTGCCCGGCCTCATTCACTAAAATTTTTTTTTTTTTTTTTTTTTTTTTGAGACGGAGTTTCGCTCTTGTTACCCAGGCTGGAGTGCAATGGCGCAATCTCGGCTCACCGCAACCTCCGCCTCCTGGGTTCAGGCAATTCTCCTGCCTCAGCCTCCCAAGTAGCTGGGATTACAGGCACGCGCCACCGTGCCCAGCTAATTTTTTTTTGTATTTTTTTTTAGTAGAGACGGGGTTTCACCATGTTGACCAGGATGGTCCCGATCTGCTGACCTCGTGATCCACCCGCCTCGGCCTCCCAAAGTGCTGGGATTACAGGCTTGAGCCACCGCGCCCGGCCCCACTAAAATATTTTTTAATAAACCTCCAGAAATCATCAGGATGAAAGGAAATATGAATTAGACTAACAAGTCTAGACTAGAAAACAGGCCTAGAAAAGTAAAACACAGAAAAACAAGCTGCCAAGTCTTCCACGGTTGTTATAAGGCAGAAAGAACTTTTTTTTTTTTTTGTCAGAGTCTCACTCCGTCACCCAGGCTGGAGTGCAGTAGCACGATCTTGGCTCACTGCAACCTCCACCTCCTGGGTTCAAGTGATTCTCCCACCTCAGCCTCCTGAGTAGTTGAGATTTACAGGTGTGCACCACCATCACACCTGGCTAGTTTTTGTATTTTTAGTAGAGAAAAGGTTTGGCCATGTTGGCTAGGCTGGTCTCGAACTCTTGACCTCAAGCAATCTGCCCCGCCTCAGGCTCTCAAAGTGCTGGGATTATGGGTGTGAGCCACTGTGCCCGGCCAAGGGAGAAAGAACTTTGGCTTTGAGTTTCCTGGCTGCCGAAGTAAAAAGGGAGATTGTGCTAACATACTTTTCCTGGTCTTGATTTTTCTCTTAGCTATAACTTACTATTTTTCTGATGTCAACAGGGGCGAAAAGGAAAGAAGGAAGAAGCGGTAGGTCACATGCTCATTTGAGAGACCTATTTGCCACCATCCTCACCATGTCATCTGTGATGGAGAAGTTCAGATGCCCTTCCTGGTGGTAAACCAGGCTGGCTGTGTTGAAGACATAATCTGAGACGGCGAAGTAGACCATTTTGTCGTGTTCCTCAGGAAGGCTCATGATGGGAGCAAGGAGGGCAACTGGGGAACGGTGGTTGCGATGGAAGATTTCACCCTGGAGAGGGAAATAGGGTCCAGTTGGACTTTTCAAAGCCTGTCCCGGGGCTGGGGCTAGGTGTCCCTCTACACAGCCTGATGAAAGGATGCTGGCTGGGGCACTGCCTGAAACTCCACCATTAAAGCAGTGTTATGTCTTTTAATGAAGAGCTCCCTAGAAGCTTTCCTATATTAACCCACAGGATGTCCTGGCCAGCCCCTCTATATGCCCTAGGCCCATCTACACCCCCCAGGCCCTGCTGTGATTGGCCTTTTCTGCATGGTGGGCACGGCAAAGTAGGGGAAGAAGGAGGAGGGAAGCGTTAAGACCTGAGAGGTGTACAGCACCCGTGGGGGAATCCTAGCTCTGGGTACACTCCCCACCACTCCATATAGCCGGGCCCTCGACACAGTGGGAACCACTGGGAAGACAAGGACAGATCTGAAGTTAGGGGGACGGGTGGCCTAGGGAATGGCTGACCCTGGGGGAAAGCCTCACCCACCCAGCCCGGCCCCAGGACGCTCACCTTAAACATCACCTCCAGCATCTGGGCTGTCGCTCGAGGGGCTTCCACTAAGCTGTAATCAATGCCGGCGAAACTGTCAATCTCTTTTGTAACTGTGAACCAGGACAGGGCAGAATTAGGGTCTAGGTGCCGCTTTCAGCTGCTGGAGGAGGGGCAAGGGCTCTGGCTGACTCACACTCCCTGTGACTTTCTTCAGACTCCCCCTACCAGCTGGGCCGGAGGCAAAGAATTGCTTCTTCAAGAAAGAGACTACATGGGTTCCCTTGGGGGATTTAACAGTGATGGGGGTGTTATGCTCAGCATAGAGCCTACGCAGTTTCCAGACACACACCATGAGTCCAGGCTTCACCTCTCCAGCCACACCTGGAGCTTAATGCTGAACAAATAACCCGAAGGTCAGGCAGGGCATGTCCAGAGGGCCAGACACTTCCCTCCAAAGCCCTGAATGAACGAGTGTTCCAAGTCCCAGTATTGGATTGCTGACTTGGACCTCTGGTAAAGGTGATGTTGACAAGTAACCACATGGGGGCTTGGGAGCCCAGGCATCAGAGAACACCTCAGATCATTGATCAGGGTCTCCCCCTCTGCACTGGATGTGTGCACCCTGGATCCAGGGACTCCACCTGTAGATGGCTCCCTGCAGCCCTGTTGGCATCAGCAAGGGAAAGGCAGACACTGAAACGTCCGTCAGCGGGGACTTATTAAATAAACGAAGACACATCCATGTGATGGAATACGACATAGCTGTTAACATAATAAGGTCTGTTACAACCACTTTGGGAAACTTTTTGCCAGGATCTGATAATACTGAATCTGGGCATATCACATGAGCCTGCAATTTCACTCCCAGGTATATATCCAAAGACATGTGACCACAGGTATAGGATATTCATAGCTCATGGGCTAAAACTGAACACTGCCCCCAGACAGCCTTCAATAATACAATGGACAAATACAGGCAGAAACATCTACACAGTGGTGTACTATGCAGGAAGGAGAACGAACCGGCTACACCGCAGGTGCATGCAATGATATGCATTGACCTCATGTTTTATTTTATTTCAGTTTTTTTGAGATAGGGTCTCACTCTGTGGCCCAGACCGGAGTGCAGTGGCACAATTTAAGCTCACCAAGTGATCCTCCCACCTTGGCCTCCCAAGTAGCTGGGACTACAGGTGCATGCCATTACACTTGGCTAATTTTTGTATTTATTGTAGAGACAGGGTTTCACCATGTTGCCCAGGCTGGCCTTGAACTCCTGAACTCAAGTGATCCTCCCTCACTGGCCTCTCAAAGTGCTGGGATTACAGGTGTGCATCACCACTCCTGGCCTGATCTCATATTTAATTTATTTATTATTTATCATTATTATTGTTTTTGAGACAGAGTTTCGCTCTGTCACCCAGGCCGGAGTGCAGTGGTGCAGTCTCGGCTCACTGCAACCTCCACTTCCTGGGTTCAATCAATTCTCTGCCTCAACCTCCCAAGTAGCTGAGATTATAGGTGCCTACCACCACGCCTGGCTAATTTTTGTATTTTTAGTAGAGACAGGGTTTTACCATCTTGGTCAGGCTGGTCTTGAACTCCTGCCCTCGTGATCCACCCGCCTTGGCCTCCCAAAATGCAGGGATTATAGGCATAAGCCACAGCACCCGGCCTATTATTTTTTTCTTTTTTGAGACAGTCTTGTTCTGTTGCCCAGGCTGGAGTGCAGTGGTGTGACCTCGGCTCATTGCAATCTCTGCCTCCCAGGTTCAAGTGATTCTCCTGCCTCAGCCTCCTGAGTAGCTGGGATTACAGGTGCTCACCATGACGCCTGTCTAATTTTTGTATTTTTAGTAGAGATGGGGTTTCACCATGTTGACCAGTCTGGTCTCGAACTCCTGACCCCAGGTAATCTGCCCGCCTCGGCCTCTCTAAGTGCTGGGATTAAAGGCGTGATCCACTGCACCCAGTCCTGACCTCATATTTTAAAGTTGAACAAAGAAAGGCTTCTGGCTTTTGAAAAGAGACTCAAAATATGCCTGATTCCATTCATGTGCAAAGTGCAAAACTAATCTTTGCTGGTAGAAGTTGGGACGGTGGTGACCCTGGAGGGCTGGATAGTGATCGAGGGGGACACCAGGGCTCTGAAAAACCAGCCATGTTCTGTTTCTTGGTTGGGAGCTGGTTACATGCATGTGAAAACTCTTTACCTATACACTTATGATTTGAGCACTTTTTCTCTATAAATACCCTTCAATGAAAAGTTTTGAAAAATTAAATCAGGCTGGCATGGTGGCTCACTCCTGTCGGTACTTTGGGAGGCTGAGGTGGGTGGATCACTTGAGCCCAGGAGTTCGAGACCAGCCTGGGCAACACAGAGAAACCCTGTCTCTACAAAAAATACAAAAAGTAGCCGGGTGTGATGGCAAGGAACCTGTGGTCCCAGCCACTCAGGTGGCTGAGGCAGGAGGATCACTGGAGCTCAGGAGGTTGAGGCTGCAGTGAGCTGAGATCACACCACTGCACTCCAGTCTGGGCCACAGAGTGAGACCCTGTCTCAAAGAAAAGAAATCTAGAACAATGTCTATAGTATGTATATGAACATACAGGTTTATAATGATGCAAATACATACAGATTCATGAACAGAATAATACATGTGTGAATGTCTATTCATATGCTTACATATATTTATATTTGTACATGCAAATAAATTATCTGAAAACATACATTCAAAACAGAGGTTTCTTCTTGGAAGAAAAGTTGGGGAGAAAAAGCAATTTTCAATTTTTACTTTTTTTTTTTTTTTGAGACGGAGTTTTGCTCTTTGTTGCCTAGGGTGAATTGCTATGGCGTGATCTCGGCTCACTGAAACCTCTGCCTCCCAGGTTCAAGCAATTCTCATACCTCAGCCTCCAGAGTAGCTGGAATTACAGGCATGTGCCACTATGCCCAGCTAAGTTTGCATCTGTAGTAGAGATGGGGTTTTGCCATTTTGGTCAGGCTGGTCTCGAACTCCTGGCCTCAGGTAATCCGCCCACCTCGGCCTCCCAAAGTGCTGGGACTGCAGGTGCAAACCACCACACCCAGCCCTTAATTTTCACTTTCTATATTTCTGTCCCATTTCCTATTTTATAAGGTACACATATGCTGTTATAGAAATGAACAGAAATAAAGTGTCCCGCGGTGGGTGGGGTGTCCTACCTGGCAGAGTTTGGAGATAAGGCTGTAGATTGGAGGACACTGATTTCTGGATCATTTCACAGATCTGAAAAAAATGGGAAGAGAATGCCTGAGTGAGTTCCCCAGCTCTGGTCTGGCATGGTGCTGATGACCGCAGCCACAGTATTTCATATGTATGCTATGTGATCATTGATTTACAAATATTTATAAGTGCTTGCCATTAGCCAGGTACCAAGGAAATGGAAACAATAAAAATATGTAGGCTCCCATGTGGACTCCACTAGGGTCCAATTGGACTTTTCAAAGTCTGTCCCAAGACTGGACTTCTGAGCTAGGGAGTCACTTATGCAGCCAGAGGAGGGGGCGCTGGCTGGAGACAGTGCCTGAAACTCCACCGTTACAGACAAAGTTTTCCTTTGGGAGGTCCTGGCCTCTGAGAATTTAGAGTTTAATAGCAGAACTAGACACTAACTAGAAATAATCCCGCAAATGAACGTACAGTTAATGTAGGTAGCTCTTTGTTTGTTTGTTTTTGAGACAGAGTTTCACTCTTGTTGCCCAGGTTGGAGTGAAATGGCGTGATCTCAGCTCACTGCATCCTCTGCTTCCTGGGTTCAAGCGATTCTCCTGCCTCAACCTCCCGCGTAGCTGGGACTACAGGTGTGCGCCACCACGGCCAGCTAATTGTTGTAAATTTAGTAGAGACAGGGTTTCATTGACCATGTTGGCCAGGCTGGTCTTGAACTCCTGACCTCAGACAAACCACCTGCCTCTGCCTCCCAAAATGCTGGGATGACAGGTGTGAGCCGCCGCACTTGGTGTGTGAATTGTTCTTAATGGTCATCTTGAACAGGTTGGCTGGATTGATGAGTATTACCCATTGCCGCTGGTATGCCTGGAAGACTGAATCTGGGGTCTGTAGGCTACTCACACACAGTTGCCACCAGTTGTGTGGCCAGCTTCTGAAGAGAAGGAAATGTGCATTTCCAAACTTGATTGTTATACTTGCTACTGTAATTACTGGAATTATTTATTATCCAGCCTTGGGATAGATTTTGAAATGTCCAGCTGGACCTACAACCTGTTTGCTGCATGTGCTTTTGTAAGCACTAGAATAATTTATTCTGTAAACGAATGCAATATAATTGAGAAAAGAGTTGTTTGTCTTTATTTTTATTTTTATTAAGACACAGTCTTGCTCTGTTACCCAGGCTGGAGTGCAATGTGCAATGGCATGATCTCAGCTCACGGCAACTTCTGGCTCCCAGATTCAAGTGATTCTCCTACCTCCACCTCCTGAGTAGCTGGGATTACAGGCATGCACCACCACACCCAGCTAATTTTTGTATGTTTATTAGAGACGGGGGTCTCACCACGTTGGCCAAGCTGGTCTCAAACTCCTGACCTCAAATGATCCACTCCTCCACCTACCAGAGTTCTGGGATTACAGGCGTGAGCCACCAGGCCCGGCCCCAGCTAAAAGCGTTCTTTCTATGTAAACCTAAGATAAATACTCTGGAAGGTTAAGGTGCTTAAAAAAAAAACTCATCTAAAAACATAGTTAAATTTGGACCAGACAACAGAAAATCTTAGGAGGAAAAAAAATTATAAGGCTCTAGAAGGATTCTATACTGGGATGACTTCACAATAAATTCTCACTGCGGTCAAAGAAACCTAGGATGGAATTTGTAGCAGGTCAATGTTTTATGCAGGAAAGACCATGGTAATGTCAATCAAGAGACCATTTTCAAACATTAACTGTGGGCATTCACTGACACAGCTGGATGAAGACGCTGCCTGAAACTCCACCATTAAAACATTTGGGTTCGGCTGTGCGAGGTGGTTCATGCCTGTAATGCCAGCACTTTGGGAGGCTGAGGCTGGTGGATCACCTGAGGTCGGGAGTTCGAGGCCAGCCTGACCAACTTGGAGAAACCCCGTCTCTACTAAAAATACAAAAAAATTAGCTGGGCATAGTGGTGCGTGCCTGTAATCCCAGCTACTCAGGAGGCTGAGGCAGGAGAATTGCTTGAACCCAGGAGGCGGAGGTTGCGGTGAGCCGAGATCGAGCCACTGCACTCCAGCCTGGGTAACAAGAGCGAAACGTCGTCTCAAAAAAAAAAAAAAAATACAAAAATTAGCCGGGCGTGGTGGTGCATGCCTGTAATCCCAGATACTCAGGAGGCTGAGGCAGGAGAATTGCTGGAACCCAAGAGGCGTAGGTTGTAGTGAGCCAAGATTGCGCCATTATACTCCAGCCTGGGCAACGAGAGTGAAACTCCATTTCAAAAAAAAAAAAAATTGGGTTCATATGTCAGTATTGTCTCTGTTTATGTGCGATGAGAAAGTCCTCATTTTAAACAGCTTTTTGTTAGCCAGTTACCTCCTATTGTGCAAAGAATCCACATATGCAGTGAAGGAGAGGGCTGTGCAGGGGTCACACATGGCTTCTGTGCTAATGGGTGAGCAGGCACCATCCATCAGGCATTGGGCTGTGGGGAAGGATGATGCTGGGGGCTGGGAAGGCAAAGGGGTATATCTTAACCTCTCTTTGCAGCTGCTGTACTTTCTGGGAGAGGAGTTTAGCAGCGAGGAGCTGCCAGAAAGCAAGGTCAAACGTGGTGAGGAACATTCACAGTTGTTTGCAAGGGAACGAAGAAACTCTGTCCACCTCCGTGCTCCTTTCTTGCATTTCCTTCACACAACAGCCCATCAGATCATCCCAAAATCCTGGAGTCTGGATGCCCCAGGCTTTAGGGACCCCACACAGCAGGGCCTCCTGGAGAGGCAGCTGGGGTAGTGGTTGGGGCGTGGCAGGAAAGCCAGGCAAACTTGGGTTCAAATCCTGCCCAGTCCTCAATGGCTGCTTGACCTTTGCTGAACCTGTCTCTACTTTTTGGTTCTTACCCACAAGATACAATGGCAAGACCAAGTGTTTCCCAGGGTGTTTTTGTCAGTGGTGTTCGAGCTAGAGTGACTCTATCTTGAACAGGGGCAAAATGAGGCTAAGACCTGCTGGGCTGCGTTCCCAGGGGGTTAGGCATTCTTAGTCACAGGATAAGCTAGGACGTCAGCAGGTCTGGGATTACAGGATACAGGTCATAAAGACCCTACAGAAAGAAAACAGGATGCAGGAAAGATGCCGGCCAAAACCAAGATGGCAACCAAATTGCCCTTGGTCATCCTCACTGCTCATTATATGTTAATTATAATGCAATGATGTGTTAAAAGTCATGCCCACCTGTGCAATGACAGTTTACAAATGCCATGGCAATGTCCGGAAGTTATCCTATATGGTCTAAAAGGGGAAGGAATCTTGAGTTTTGGGAAGTCCTTGCCCCTTTCCAGGAAAACTCATGAATAATTCACCCAGGCTGGGTGCGGTGGCTCACACCTGTAATCCCAGCACTTTGGGAGTTGGAGGTGGGTGGATCACAAGGTCAGGAGATCGAGACCATCCTGGCCAACATGGTGACGCCCGATCTCTACTAAAATACAAAAAATTAGCCAGGTGTGGTGACGTGCACCTGTAGTCCCACCTTCTTGGGAGACTGAAGCAGGAAAATCACTTGAACCCGGGAGGTGGAGGTTGCAGTGAGCCGAGATCACACCCCTGCACTTCAGCCTGGTGACAGACCTATCTCAAAAAAAAAAAAAAAAAAAAAAAAAAGCCAGGCACAGTGGCTCATGCCTATAATCCCCAGCACTTTGGGAGGCTGAGGTGGGCGGATCATGAGGTCAGGAGATCTAGACCATTCTGGCTAACATGGTGATACCCCATCTCTACTAAAAATACAAAAAATTAGCCGGGTGTGGTGGTGAAGGCCTGTAGTCCCAGCTACTTGGGAGGCTGAGGCAGGAGAATCACTTGAACCTGGGAGGCGGAGGTTGCAGTGAGCCGAGATCACGCCACTACATTCCAGCCTGGTGCCAGAGCAAGACTCTGTCTCAAAACAAAAAACAAAAAACCCACCTTTGTTTAGCATAGAATCAAGAAATAACCACGAGTATACTCAACAGCCCTGCTGCTGGGGATTACAGGCTCGGCCTGTGGAGCAGCGATGCTTTTCCGCCTTACTTCTCTAATAAACTTGCTTTCACTTTCCTATCCCAAATGCTTTCTTAAGTGAGATCCAAGAACCCTCTCTTGAGGTTCTGGACCAGGACCCCTTTCTGGTAACATTTTGGGAAGTTGGGGAATGAGACAGTGAGTATATATCACCCAGAGAGCAAGCATTCCGTGAGTGCTTATTCTTCTCCTTAACCCTGCCGGTCCAGGTAACACATCCCACCCTGAGTGGAGAACTGGAAAGGCCCTGCACCAGGCTCTTAGTTTTTCTGGAAGGAAGAGAACTGGAAGATCTAGAAGGATCAGGGATCCCGAGACCCTCAGCCCTAGAAGGCTTTTGGTATGAGCTGCTCCACATCCTAGGAAGAAGCTCCAGTCCTGACTCAGCCTCTCAGCAGCAAGGTGACACTGGGCAAGCTACTCCACCCCTCAGACCGTCCATGTGGAAAATGGTGCCTCCTTCCAAGGTCGAGGTTAATATGGAATGAGACTGTGCACATGAAGTACTGAGCCCATTATCCCTGGCCAAGCCACGGGCTCAAGAAATAGCAGCCTTTTCTGTTATAAATCAGAATAGTTACACAAGAATAGATTCTGTATAGCATTAATTATATTCATTTATCAAAACAATAATTATCATGGTCCGTGACTACTATGATAATTATAACTGTACTATATTACTATTGTCATGCACAGCAATATGGCAACAGGGTGCCTGAGTAGGTTGGCATGTTTCTCAAGGTCACTTAATCTCAGGGCTCCAGAACCAGAAAAGAAACGGCACAGCTGGCCGCACCCACAATGTGGGGGGTCTGCCGGCCGTTCCTGCTTAAACCACGAGGGGGCACTCAAAGACAAACCAGAGGCTGGACCTACAGATGGGTCCTACAGACCGGTGTGTGTGTGTGTGTGTGTGTGTGTGTGTGTGTGTGTATGGTGTGGACTGTGTGTGGTGTGTGCATGTAGGGGTGTGAGTGGTGTGTGTGGTGTGTTTGTAGGGCATGTGTGGTGTGTGTAGTGTGTGCATGTGGGGGGGGTGTGTGGTGTGTTTGTTTGTGTAGGATATGTAGGGGGTATGTATGTGTAGAGGATGTGTGCATGGGGGTGTGTGTAGGGTATGTAGGCTGTGTGTGGTATGTGGGGTATGTGTGTTTGTGAGGATGTTGTATGTGTGTGGGGTGTGTGTGGGGGGGGTATGTGGGGAGTGTGGGGGTGTGGTGTGTGGGGGGTGTGGTGTGTGAGGTGTGTGTGAATGTGTATAGTGTGCTTGTGTATGATGTGGTGTGTGCATGTAGGGGGTGTGTGCGGTGTGTCTGTGTGTGTGTAGGATATGTACGGTGTGTGTACTGTGTGTGTGTGTGTGTGTGGTGTGTGGTGCGTGTATTTTTTCCTTTCCTCCTTCATCACTTTCTCCCTTCCCACAGTCATTGCTACAGACACCCTTGGGCTAATATCTCAGAAACGGGATTTTGGGGTGATGACTGTTTAGAGGAACTGAGAGTTAACACGAAATCTTTTTGATTTAGTCGAAGATGACAAAATCTGAGGATTTCACATATTCTATTCTAACAGGAAAATCTGACAGCATTGCTGCCTCCCCATCCAGGGCTGATGCTCATGAGCTTGCCCAGTTCCCGCCTGGCCCACCCATATGCTGAGGTTTCCTGCCTGGTCTCTTGCAGGCACCTGAGGAATGATCTCCTTTCTGACCTTGGTGGAACACAGGGCAGTGTGGGGCACTGAGCAAGGCTGAACAGAGGGAGGGGCTGGAGTCTGTGCTTAGCCCCTGCTGTTTAACCCTTGGCAAGCGCTTGACCATTTTCTGCCCAACTGAATGGACTTGGAGTTTTGCTCCCAGCCTGTCCCACAACAACCCCATGACCTGGGCAAATGATTTGTCTTCCCTGGGCCTTGGGCCCAAGTACATCCAAATCAGCCCCTATGGCTGGTCCAGGGCCAGTGGGCAGTGAGGTCTTCCATTCAGCCCTCACCAAGCTCGGGGGAGGCCAGAGGCTTGGGCCTTCTTACCTTGCTCTCCAATACCTTCTGGAACTTGGACTCGATCTGGTTGTGGAAGAGATTCAGCAGCCACCTGGGGAGAGAAGCACAGTCTGCCACTGAACTCAGCCGGGTGTCTGGGAAAGCCAGACCCTGGTTCCTGGCCAGGCCAGTCCACAAAGGGAGCCCTTTCCACCGCCTCCTGGCACCCTGCTGTGTCCCAGCACACCCAGCCTGATTCCGAGCATCTGGTTTCTCAACACCTATGGCACCGATCCGATCGCATGATCGCATTCAGAGGATTTGGGGAAGGGACTTGAGAATCCACATTTTTCTTTACTTTTTTTTTGAGACAGGGTCTCACTCTGTCACCCAGGCTGGAGTGCAGTGGCACAATCTCAGCTCACTGCAACGTCTATTGCCTGGCCTCAAGCCATCCTCCTACCTTAGCCCCTGAAGTAGCTAAGTAGCTGAGACTACAGGCGTGTGCCATTACGCCTGGCTTTTTTTTTTTTTTTTTTGAGATGGAGTCTCACTCTATTGCTTAGTCTGGAGTGCTGTGGCACAATCTCGGCTCACTGCAAACCTCCGCCTTCTAGTCTCAAGCGATTCTCCTGCATCAGCTTCCTAAGTAGCTGGGATTACAGGTGCCTGCCACCACACCCGGCTAATTTTTTGTATTTTTAGTAGAGACGGGATTTCACCACGTTGGCCAGGCTGGTCTCGAACTCTTGACCTCAGGTGTTCTGCCTGCCTTGGCCTCCCAAAGTGTTGGGATTACAGGCGTGAGCCACTGCGCCCGGCCAAGCCTGGCTAATGCTTGTATTTTTTGTAGAGACAGCTTTTCATCATGTTGACCAGGCTGGTCTCAAACTCCTGAGCTCAAGTGATTTGCTGCCTCGGACTCCCAAATTGCTGGGATTACAGGTGTGAACCACTGCATTTGGCCACACTTTTCTAAACAAGGAAACTGAGACCAGAAGAGATGAAATGACTCGTCCAAGGACTTGAATACTTTTTACAAATTCTCCTTCAACCAAAGCTTCTGTGTTCCTCCCATAGCCAGAGTTCATTCACCTGACAAGGGTTCCCTGAAGCTTACTTTTTTAATGAAAATGATGCACCAGTATTCCTGGCTTAAGTCTGTATCCGTTCATCTCAACAGGGTTCCCCAAAGAATAACCTTCAAGTGCCCGTGCCATCCACCTGGATCATTACAATTACTGGAGGCCACGCTGAACGCTGGACGGGCTGGGGGCTGCAACCAGGAGTCCAGTTGGCAGCGCCCCGATGGGGACCTACCCCAAGTCTCCCGACATGTCCACCTCCACGTCGCCGATGTCGCTGCTGCATCTGGAGGCGGTAACTGTGGGCCTCCCTGAGGACTCGCTGCCCAATAGGAGGTTGGCGGAAATGCTGATGCCCTTGACACTCACATCAAAGGAGCCTTGCAGTTTCCTGGAGGAGATGAGAGAAGCCACGGTTGGTTCCTAGACCAGGGTCTGCCGCCATTTGTGGAGAGAATAGCAAGCTCGCTTCTTACCCCAAAATAAATGGAGCTGAGCAGAGATTTAAGAATAACAAATAAAGCCATAAAAGATCTAAAAGAAAGCCCAGATCCAGTATTTACAGTCCAGGGATGGACAAAGGCATTTCTAGGCAAGATCCAAGTTTCATAAGCCACATCCTTCATATATTTATGAGATCCGAGTCTCATTAGTATATAAAGGAAATACTTGATAAACTTGCCAGCATAGAAAATTAAAACTTTGGTGGACAAAAAATGCCATATGTAAAGTAAAAAACAAATTGCATTACGAGACATCCAAAGAGCCAATTTCCTGAATATATGAGCTAATTTCCTTAATATACAAAGAACAAGCCAATATCAATTAACAAGGAAAGAAAAAACAACCAATTCAAAAGAAAAAAAATGTATGACCAGGAAATGCAATAGAAAATAAGCATATAAAAGTTATTAAAAATGAAAATAACAATGGCACCAGTTCTCACCTATCAGATTCAATAAACTTTTGAAGTTTTAATACCCAGTGCTATTAAATGTATGAGTAAACAGAAGTCCCAGACACTGGGGCTAGGAGAGCACCTTGGCACAACCTTTCTGAAACATAAATCAGTAGGAACTCTCCTTGCTCTAACACACATACTCTTTGGCCCAGTAATTTAACTTCTAAGCCTTTATCCTATAGCTCTTCCTACCAAGATATATGTGTGGCGTGCGGCAGTTCACCGAAGCATCATGAGTAGCAGCAAAAAACAAAAAAAAATTGAGGAGACAACCTGAATGTCCACAAGCAGTGACAGGTTGAGTAAGTTGTGAGCACCTATGTTATGCGGCCTTTGAAAACAATGGGGCAAAAATGTGCTCTATTCTAGGGGTCTCCAACCCCAATGGCAGTTGTCTGGAGCTGGGGGAAGGGAAAGAGGGAATGCTGGAAACAGATGCTGGGTGCCACAAAGAAAAGTCAGCACTGAGACAAAGGATCTCTCAGCAAGGCAATCTTTACTTCCTGCAGAAAGGGTACCCCCACCAGCAGTCTTGCCATGAGAGTACAATGAACAAAGGAAAAGGAGACATATTTATCCCTTAGGCATTTGGGGTCATCCTTACTGCTGTGTCTGATCTCTGTTGACTGGAGCCAGACCTCGCAATCTAAAACTGAACTTGATTGGCTAATAACTTAAAACTTTCTTGAATAGGCAAAGAGGAAGTCCAAATAAGGAAAGGGCAGGAAGTTGCCTGCAAAAGGACTTAGAAAAGTAATGACAGAAATATCTTGGTTAAAGTTCAAGAACATAGAATGTACTATGTCCCTGTGAGCATGTCTAGCACAAATATCTTGGTTAAAGAATAAGAATATAGAATGTACTTATTCCTTTATGTCTAATAGCTGCATAGGATAGCGCTTAACAAAGAGTTACCAGCAAAAAGCAAGAAGGCTTTAAAGAAAGTCTTTAAAACAAACTATTATTTCTAACGCTTATGAGTTATTCTTTAACAAGAAAGGAAACTTCGAAGAGGAACTTTTCTACTTCCTACAGGGGATGATTGATTGTTTAATGAGTAAGGAGTTTTCTCTTGGGATGATGAAAATGTTTTGGAACTAGATAGGGGTGGAGGTAATACTGTGAATGTTCTAAATGCCACTGAATTGTATACTTTCAAATAATCAATTTTATGTTCTGTGAATTTCATATCGATTTTTAAAAGCACAGTCAAAAAAGTAAAAAAAAATGAGGTAGATTGTCATATACCCATCTAAAGAGACATTTAAGATACTTCAGTAACAAAAGCCAGGGTAGAAGAGTACGGCCGATTCCTTTTCTGGAACTAGAATGAATTGCATATGTAGGTGACATATAAACTGGCATCTTTCTAAATCAATAGAATGTGAGCCACACATGTCATTTTAAATTTCCCAGAAGACACATTAAAAAAGATGAAAAGAAAGAGCTGGAATTAATTTTAGTAATACAGAATATTATTTCAACATGTAATCAATACAAAAATTATTAATGAGATTATCATTTTTTTTTTCTTTTTGAGACAGGGTCTCACTCTCTTGCCCAGCCTGGAGTGCAGTGGTGCGATGTCAGCTCACCATAACCTTCACCTCCCAGGCTCAAGCAATTCTCCTGCCTCAGCCTCCCAAGTAGCTGAAATTATAGGCATGTGCCGCTACGGCCTGGCTAATTTTTGTATTTCTAGTAGAAACGGGGTTTCATCATGTCGGCCAGGCTGGTCTCGAACACTTGACCTCAAATGATCCACCTGCCTTGGCCTCCTAAAGTGCTGAGATTATAGGCATGAGCCATCGTGCCCAGCAGCTGTTTTTTTTAATACGAAATCTTCAGATCCAGTGTTGCACATGTAGAGTAGATCTCAACTTGTACCAGGTACTTTTCAAGTACTCAGTAAAGGCATGGCTGGTGGCTGGTATTTTGGGCAGTGCAGGTCTGAAGTATAAATACGGTCATGTCGCTCAGCAGAGACTGGCTGTTCCATCTGTTATGGGCTGCACCGTGTCACGACCTGCTTCCCAAATTCAAATGTTGAGGCTCTGATTCCCAGTACCAGAGAATGTGGCTATTAAGGTGGGCCCTAATCCAATCTGACTAGTGCCTTTATGGAAAGAGACTAGGACACACGCGAGAAATGGGGTTTTTCTTTTTTTTTCTTTAGAGATGAAGTCTCACTCTGTCCCCCAGGATGGAGTGCAGTGGCATGATCTCAGCTACTGCAACCTCTGCCTCCAGGGTTCAAATGATTCTTCTGTCTCTGCCTCCTGAGTAGTTGGGATTACAGGTGTCCGCCACCACACCTGGCTAATTTTTCGTTTTTTAAGACTGAGTTTTGCTATGTTGGCCAAGCTGGTCTCGAACTCCTGACCTCAAGTGATCTGCCTGCCTCGGCCTCCCAAAGTGCTGGGATTACAGGTGTGAGCCAAAGCACATGGCCTCAGAACCAGGATTTCTTGAGCACAGAGGAAATACCACGTGAGGACATTGCTGAAGGGTAGCCAGCCACAAGCCAAGGAGAGTGGCCTCAGAAGAAACCAGGCCTGCCAAAACCTTGACCTTGGCCTTCAGCCTTCAGAATGGTGAGAAAACACATTTCTGCTTAAGCCACCCAGTCTATGCTTGTTATGACAGCCCTAGCACACGAATACCCTTCCATTCAGTGACTCTGAGGTCAGATATCTGTTCAAAGTGCCTGAGAGCCAGAGCCCCTGGAAGCAGCCCTTGACCAAAGGCAAGCAGGAGGAAGGGGCGACCGGGCGGGGCTGGAGTAACTTAGAGGCGTGTTCTATTCTGTCCCCGAGTTCCCCAGTTCGACTGAGCCTCATTCGCCCACTAGGCTGAGTTCCTTCCCTTCCCTTCCTCATTTCCCTGCTCCCCTGTGGATATTTCCTCAGATCACTTCCAAGATAAAGTATTGCACTGAGATTCTTGCCTTAAGGTCTGTTTCTGTGGGAAGCAAACCAAGGAGACTTGATATTATTGCATTTAGCCTCCCATGACTCTATCAAGGAAGCAGGCCTGTCCCCTCTGGGACATGAGGAAGTAGAGACTCAGAGAGGGAAAGACACTCACTCCAGAGCCAGGACTCTATCCCCAGGCCACCTCTGGGCTTGGGCTCCACCTGTCCATCACCTGGCCTTTCTGATAAGCTAAGAACACCTTGGGCCTAAGAAGGATGGGGCGAAGGCCAAGGCCAAGAGCTTCAGGTCCTGGGAGCAGAGCCAACTTACAAGAATGACTTGCGCACCTTCCACCTGCCCTGGACCCTGATAGAGGAGTCGGAGATGCTGAGACTCAGGCCCTGGCCAGGGACGGGCCTCATCGCAGAGCGAAGCAGGTCACAGCTGTGGATGTTCAACCTGAAGGGAGAGACACGGAAGGAGGTGTCAGCCCTGGGCCTGGGCCCAGCTTCCACATTTGCACCCCTCCCACTCCACAGTGGGGACTAGACCAGCAGGGTCTGCTCCAGGTGAGCACCTGCTATGTACCAGGCACCGACCATGTGGCCAGCTCAGCACATTCTTCATGCCATTTGGGTCACACCGAGGGGGTCAGCACTGTTCTTACTCCCTTTCCACAGAGGAGGAAATTGAACCTCAAGGAAGAGATGCAGTTGCCTGCGGGTTCACAGGCATCGGAACCCATGACTAATGACCCCAGGTGGCATCCTGAGCAGGTTCATAGACACGTCCCTTTGGGTTTGCAGCTCCCTCTCTCAATACATCCAGGTAGGGGAAACAGATTTAGGGAAGATGATGGCAGCCTTAAGAGAAGACCCAAAAAGGGTCAGCAAGGTTATCAACAGTGTGAAAAGAATGGTCAAGTTCTGTTGTATTTGCCTGGCACATAGTAGGTGCTCAATAGATGTTTGCTGATGGACCGAATAAAAGAAGGTGAGAATGAAGGAAACACTCAATAGGAATAGGTGGGGAGGGGTGCAATGTGCTTCGGGCCTGATTGTCCTTTCAGAATTTCCTTCTGAACTCCTCAGGGAACTATCCCACCGTCTACCCCAGAGAGGTCCCCCTGCAGCCCAATCCTGAGGCTCTCCCTCCCTCACTCTCCAATCCCCTCTGACTGTCAGTTCCAGCCACCTCGGGGCCCCAGCAGAAGGGAGAGCCCCACCTGTGGAACTCATAGTGTCCACGGCCGACGTGGGGTATCCTGAAGTCCCCGGTGAAGTCTGGCAGCGTGATCCTGAGCAGCTCACTCTGCAGAGCCAATAGCCCCTGCTGGGCCGCTGTGGACAGGAAGCAGCTGGGAGTCAGCTTGATTGACCTGCCTCTTCCCCTGCTCTAAACCCTACTGTGGCTCCCACCTGCCCTGAGGAGAGAGCCCAACATCCTTATTGGCATTAAGTGCAATGACAGGATATGAGACCCTCTGCGAGCCAGGTAGCATGAGGGACATTCAGAGGCATCCCTGCATTTCTTGTGGCATTGTTATGCTCACGTCCATTTTACAGATGAGGACATGAAATGCCTTTGCCAACAACTCCCTGAGGGCAAAAGTGCTGTGTGCTTCAGCATGTGGTCCTCCTTCTGGTCTTTCATGGCATCTGGCCTGTGTAGAAGAAACTGGACGGATCAAGGGCTAGAGAAAGGGGACATCTTTCTAGCTGGGCGACTTTGACAAAGCCCTCAACCAACCTTCACTTTGTTTATCTGTCAAATAGCAACGACAACAATACTTTCCTATCGGGGTGGGATTGCAACTGCAAAGCAACGGGGGCTGGGAAGATAACAAGCACCCCAGCTTGGTGCCTGGCACACAGCAGGCACTCAGTAAATGCCCGGAACAGCAAACAGGGTTTATATTACTAAAAATATGGCAAGGACCAAAATGCCCAACCTCAGAGGACTGGTAACGTAAACATGGCATGTGTGCACAGCGCAAAGGAACAAAAGACAAACCCTCCTGATACAGGGTTTCAGTGCAAGTAATGGTTACCAGGTCCCACTGTTTCGAGATCTGAGGGGCCCAGGTTTCTGGCCCCAAGGCAGGCATGGGTACACAGGTGTCCAGTGGCCTCCTCTTTCACCTCTTTCCAATTTGCTCTTCTCCCTCTAGCAAACCCACATGGCGGGGTCCCTCTGCCTGGAACGCTACCCCTTGTCCCTGTGTAATTCCCACTGTCTTTTCCACCTTACTTCATCCTGGAAGCCTTCCCTGATTTCCCTCTCCCTGCCTCAAGCCAGTCTGGGTTCCCAAAAACTCTACCTAAGGGAATATTGTTATCTCATTTCACGGGTAAGGCAATTCAGGCTCTAGGAATTCGAGAAGCACCTGTGGCCAGTGCCTGTCCATATCCTTGAGTCTTTCCAGTGAGAGACAGTTGACTCCCAGCTGCCAATGTCTGCCTCCCTGAGCCTCAGTTTCCTCATCTGCAAAACCAGGCCTTCCTAACCAAGCTCTTAAGAGAGTGGCTGAGATGAGGCAAGATGAATGGTGATGAATGTGGGGTCTGAGGCTCTTTGTCCTCAGACAAAGAAAGCAGGTACATGCAACAGGACAGACATGCTGGGGAGTTGACGTCCCCCTGCCTAGAAGCCCTCAATCGATCACTGTGGTGTATACACATCCCAGCTCCCTTGCCACCTGGATAGTCCGGGGGCTTTGCTTCAACTAAAGAAATAGTTCTACTTTTGCCCATCCTTTGTTTTATTTTTATTTATTTATTTTTTTGAGACAGTCTCCTTCTATTGCTCAGGCTGCAATGCAGTGGCATGATCTCAGCTCACTGCAACCTCTGTCTCCTGGGTTCAGGTGGTTCTCCTGCCTCAGCCTCTTGAGTAGCTGGGATTACAGATGCCTGTCACCATGCCTGGCTAGTTTCTGTATTTTTAGTAGAGCCGAGGTTTCACCAAGTTGGCCAGGCTGGTCTCGAACTCCTGGCCTCAAACTATCCTTGGCCTTTCAAAGTGCTGGGATTACAGGCATGGGTCACTGTGCCTGGCCTGCCCATTCTTTAAAACTGAGGAATAATATACATAAAGTGCCTAACGGGCACAAATTTTAAAGGTATTGCTAAATAATTTTTAATGTTTATACAGCCATGTGACCACCACCTGAATCAAGACACAGCATCTTCCAGCACCCCAGCAGGCTCCCTCATGCCCTTCAGGGTCTCTGCCTGCCTCTAGAGGTGACCACAGTTCTGACTTCTAGTTCAGAGGCATGTATTTCCCAGTGGAGTGGTTCCTGTCCTCGGAGGTGGTGGCGGGTTGAATCCCACACTCTCTCCTGGCTGTCTTCTCTTCCTCATCTCAGCACCGCTTCCCCACAGTGTTTCCTGGGATAATTTCCCAGATCAAATACTTGCACGCAAAGCTGTGCTCTCTCGGCTGGTGGAGGACCTCACTACCATAAGTAACCTGCCCGGGACACTCAGCTGGTGGGCGGTGAGGCTGGAATCCGAGCCAGAGCCCCCAGAAGATGGCACTGCCCCAGCGAGAGGGTCCAGTCTGTGTCCCCTCTCCCTGTCCCCACTGTACCCAGAGCAGCCTGGAGCCTGGGTTTGCCAAATCCAGCCAGCAGCCTTGGCTTCTTACCATATTCCAGGCCCTTGTCGGTGATCCTGGCGACCAGGCCGGGGTTGGCACCCAGAGCCTCTGGGGTGGACCTGAGCAGCAATGCCAGCAGAATGGACGGCAGTGCCCCGGCCAAGGCCCCCATCCTAGATCCCCAGTGCAGGGCGCCGGGACTGTCCCAGCTGTGGGGTGGATCCAAGTCCCTTAAATAGCCAAGGCTGGAGGGCTGGGGGCAGTTCCTGAGGCTGGGCGGGCTCCTGGGAGCGGGAATGGGAGCCACAGGGACTGGAACCTGCTTGCGACATCCCTGGGATCTATAAGGTCATACTTAGAAGCCAGTTTTCACTGCCCAGATCAGAGGATGAGGCAGCCTGGCCCCTGTGATCATCGCTAGCCACCCTCACTGCAGAAACACCCCACATTCATCACCATTCATCTTGCATCATCTCAGCCAGTCTCTTAAGAGCTCGGCCAGGAAGGTCTGGTTTTGCAGATGAGGAAACTGAGGCTCAAAGAGGCCACACAGCTTCCTCAAGATCTCACACCCAGCAGATGGCAGGGTCGAGAGTGAAGCCACGTCTGGCCCCCTCTAATCGCTCTTTTTTAAATATACCTGCTCTGTTTATTTAAAAAAATAAATGTTTCGCAGCCAGTGCGGTGGCTCACGCCTATAATCATAGAAATCTGGGAGGCTGAGGCGGCTGGATTGCCTGAGCTTAGGAGTTCGAGACCAGCCTGGCCAATGTGGTGAAACCCCATCTCTACTAATATACAAAAAATTAGCATGGTGGCGGGCGCCTATGGTCCCAGCTGCTCAGGAGGCTGAGGCAGGAGAATCACCTGAACCCAGGAGGTAGAAGTTGCAGTAAGCCAAGATTGCACCAGTGTGCTCCAGCTTGGGTGACAGAGGGAGATTCCGGCTCCTAAATAAACAAATAAATGTTTCCCCCAGGGGAAAACAGCCTCTCTCAAACCTTGCTAGTGGTACAATTTCCTGGAAGGCAATTGGTAAATGTTTAAACAGCTGCATGCCCTGTGACCCAGCAATTCAATTTCAGGGACTTGCCCCTGAGTATATAATTCAGTCAGTGTGCCAGCAAATCACCACTGTAAGACACCATTGCTATGCTGTGTGAAACAGGGCAGAAGTGAGACCCAACCTCGTGTATCCGACAGAAAGGCATTGGTTAAATGAATTATGACACCCTCTTTAAAGTGAGGCTGCAGAAATAAAGGTATTTCTTGGCAAGGAGAGGGGTGCATGAGGCATCAGTCTCCAGTGGCACCAGAGAGTAAGGTTCTATTTTGGGGGTTTCAAAACAGGCTTCCATATTCAACAATCTGGGAAATATTTAGCAAGGAGTTCTGAGCCATTGTTTCTGGTTGGCGGATAGAATTATAAGTGTTAAATTATAATTATAATTAAACATATAAATATAAATTATATTTATAATATAATTTATTAAAAATAATAATTTTGCTTGTTGATGTGTAAAATTTTTTTTCTTTCTTTCTTTTTTTTTTTCTCTTGAGATAGAGTCTTGCTCTGTCGCCCTCTGCTCACCACAACCTCTGCCTCCCAGGTCCTAGTTCAAGCAATTCTCCTGCCTTAGCCTCCAGAGTAGCTGGGATTACAGGAAGGCACCACCATGCCCAGCTAATTTTTGTGTTTTTAGTAGAGACAGGGTTTCACCATGTTGGCCAGGCTGATCTTGAACTCCTGACCTTGTGATCCACGCACCTCAGCCTCCCAAAGTGCTGTGATTACAGGCATGAGCCACCTTGCCTGCCTTTATTTTTATTTATTTATTTATTTATTTATGTTTTGAGGCAAAGTCGACTCTCGCTCAGGCAGGAGTGCAGCGATCATTGTTTGCTGCAACCTCGACCTCCTGGGCTCAAGTGAACCTCCCACCACAGCCCCCTAAGTAGCTGGAACTACAGGCGTGAGCCACCACATTCAGCTAATTTTTTGTATTTTAGTAGAGACGAGATCTTGCTATGTTGCCCAGGCTAGTGTTGAACTCCTGAGCTCAAGTGAGCCTCCTGCTCTGGCCTTCCAAAGTACTGGGATTACAGACTTGGACCACCACGCCCAGCCTCTAAAATTTTTATATTCTTTGGGTCATGGTCCTAGGCATGTATTTGTCGTAAGTAAAGATAGCAAAATTTTGTTTTGGAAAGCAACGTTTATAGTAGGGACTGTGCTTAATTTTTAGAGTTTTGCCCCAGCACTGCTTACATTTGTGAGTTCTGCTCTGCCCTCACCCCCAGGAAGCCTTCCCTGACCACTCCCATGCTTCTCTGGATTCTAGAAAGGGTCCCCTCTGAGGTCCCAGGACCCCTTGTGCTTTCACCACCATAACGTTAACCACCCTGCTGTTTTGGTAATTGTGGTCCTTTAAAAATCTGCCCATGAGGGCTGGGCGCAGTGGCTCATGCCTTTAATCCCAGCATTTTGGGAGGCTGAGGCAGGTGGATCACAAGGTTAGGAGATTGAGACCATCCTGGCCAAAATGGTGAAACCCCGTCTGTACTAAAAATACAAAAAAATTAGCTGGGCATGGTGGTAAGTGCCTGTAGTCCCAGCTACTTGGAAGGCTAAGGCAGGAGAATCACTTGAACCTGGGAGGTGGAGGTTGCAGTGAGCCGAGATCATGCCGCTACACTTTAGCTTGGTGACAGAGCGAGAATCCGTCTTAAAAAAGAAAAAGAAAATATACCCACAGATTCTTTGATACTCCTTCCATCAAAAGGTAGAGTTTCTGTCCCCTTCCCTTGAAACTGAGCAGGTCTTTGTGACAGTCCCAGCCAATCGAATGTGGTGGGATTAACTGGGCAACTCCCAATAGGTCACAAACAGCACTGGCAGGCACTGAGGTTAAGATCAGAACGTCCCACGTGAAGCACAGGGAACCCCACAGTCCGGGCCTCTCTGCTCCTCTGTACTGCATTGTTCCTGTCACTGGGGCTGTTTGTTGGGGTCCTCCTCTGTCCCTCCCCCCAGTCCCCACCCCACCAGTCTGAATGCTCCTTGCAGGCAGGGCTGAGTCTTCCATTTCCTGAGAACCTTGTCGCACCCAGCAGGAATCGGAAAGAAACTGATATTTACTGAGCACCTACTATGTGCAGGCACCGTGCTGGTCAAGCTGCGCGTCTCCTCTCATCCCTGCGTTAGCAATTCCAGGTGGAATTTTAGTCTCGTCTTGAGCTGAAGAAACTGAGGTTTGGTGAGGTGAAGTGATGTAGGCTGCAGTCACCCAGCAGGAATTTAAGTCCAGGTCTGTGGGATGCCATTCCAAAACACTGGTCAGGGCAGGCTTCTCTTGGCAGGCAACAAGTTGAGCAGGGGCCTGAGGGTAAGGAACTGACTTTGGGAGGCTTCGGAGCAGGAAAGGGCTCACAGGGGCAACCCTAGTGTGCCTAGGGGCCTTTGCTTCCTGGAACTCCTCCCGCCCAGGTGGGGAGGAGAGTAGAAGATGTTCTGGAGCATGGGGATCTTATGGGGACATGAATGCCACTCTTCCTCTGACACCAGTTTAAGGATGTTCCTGGCTGGGGACCATTTGTGGGGCTGGGAATTTCCCACTGCAGCAACCTTTGGACCTTAGAGCTGCCACGTGGCCCAGGACCACCCTCCACCCCTACAGGTGCCCACTCCTGGCTAAGGACTCTGCTGATGGCCCAGGACCCAGCAGAGGCCTCAGGAAGCAGCATGACCCCGGTGCTGGTTAGAACCCCTGGGCCTTTCTCCTTCCAGGCTGTCCATCCAATTCCACAAAAGAAACAGTTGCTGCCACTTGGCCACCACCCAGTCCTATTGCAGTGAAATAGGGCACTTTTTTAACAAGGATGTTTATTGTGTTCTTGAGCAGGAGAGGGCCCACAGAAATGACACTGCACTGAATGATGGTCAGGCGATCATAAAACTGTCCCTCTGACATGGTATGTGGCCACGAATGGTGCCAAGAGGGAGAGGAGTTCCCTAACAGATAGTAGACGTCATCTAGAGCCAGCAAACCGCCCTTCCCTGTTAAGATCTTAAGCATGTGCCATTGGGGCAAATGGTGGCGTTTGGCCTGTATGTGACATTTCTCTCAGCGCGCCGGAACAGTAAGGGAAAATCACCCCAAGTGAGCACGGGCACAACCTCAGTTAAGCACACTGCGCATGCGGCCTCTCCCAAGTGCTGGCTGGCCATTGCGCTTGCAGGAATAGAGCAATAGCCCGACCAAGGGAGGAATCAAGGAGGAAGAGAAACCCCAGAACCAAGCCTGTATATAAACATCCCGAGCCAAAGGCTGAGCGGGGCACTTGGTCTCTCAATTGTACTTTGCTTCTTTCAATAAACCTTTGCCTCTGCTTTAAAACTTGCCTCTGTCTCTACTAAAAAATATACAAAAAATTAGCTGGGCATGGTGGTGCGTGCCTGTAATCCCAGCTACTCAGGAGGCTGAGGCAGGAGAATTGCCTGAACCCAGGAGGCGGAGGTTGCCGTGAGCCGAGATCACGCCATTGCACTCCAGCCTGGGTGACAAGCGCGAAACTCCGTCTCAAAACAAAAACAAAAAACAAAAACTTGCCTCTGTCTCTCAGCTGAATTCTTTCCTCTGGGAAGACAAGGGCCAGGAGTGCCGCGGACTTGCCGCCGTAACATGCTGACTACAAGAGCATTACCGAAAAGGTTTTGAAAGGCCCAGATTTGGAATCCGTAGTATCTAGAACACTGAGTGGTAAATAACAGATAATTGCCAAAGGAATAAACAAACCTTATGTTTTTCTTTATGAACTCTGGGGCCAGATGGCCAGGATTTGAATCCTGACTCCCCCATGGGGTGACTTTGGGCACTTTGTGACTCAGTTTCCTCATCTCTAGTTGGGTTCAGCCAAAGGGTGGGATGGCAGAAGGTCAGATGTCATGGCATGTTTCCCTGCTCTCTTCTTCTCTTGATCATGTTAAAAGTAAAATGCTCAGTGCTGCAAAGTGGAACCAACACTCAAGCAAAAGTTTTCTCAGCAAGACAATTTACTTCTATAGAAGGGCGCCTCCTGCATGCAAGGCAGAGGTAAGGGAGAGTGCTCAGAACAAAGGAGGGCAGGAGTTTTTATTCCTAATGCAGACCCTGTTCCTGTGTCCTCCCCCATGGGCTGTGGTCAGATCGCACGATCTAGGCTAATTCTGATTGGCTATTCCTGACTTCATCAAAGGAGGCAAGGGTTGGCTTTTGACGGGTTGGAAGGACGGATACATAGGTGATGGGAGATGCTGGGGTGTGTTTGGTCACAGCAGAGATAGGGAGG